GGCAAGGGTCTCTTTTCTATGAGCGCGGGGGAGGGGCAATAGAGAGAAGAGCAGAAGAGTGAAGACTCACCAAAATGGCCGAAACACCACACATGTTGAATATCGTGTCACGGAAATAGTTCGTGTAGAGGTTGAAGAGGAATCGAGTGTTCTTACACCCAAACAAGAGTTTGACTTGTACCAGTTTGTTTGTGAAACCTACGGGAAAATTTTTCTCTTCTGGTCACGACGATATCGGTCATTTTTTTGGCGACCACAAATCTTTTGGCGGGGTATCGTATTGGTCAAGGCGGGCCGGACAATGATCCGCAGTGGTGGGGTCCCCCAAAATATGCCATTTCTTTACTCCGTGTTAGTGACATTTATTAAACCCAATATCAAATCACGATGTCAAGATGATTCTTCATTTCTCCGTCATCTTGTCGTTATTGCAGACGATCAGACGTCATTTATCATGAGGCATATTCTGAAACACCTAATTACGACTAAAGTTTCGATAATTGGTTCAAGCTGCAATCCGACTTTATCCATCAAACACGCCGAAACCGTGTAAGTGGAAGCCAAGATATCGATTGCAACAGATAACAGACTATCGAAATTTCACAAAACATTAATCCCGCATTTCGAAGTTCCCATGTCAACTGACCACCCTCATGTAACATTGGCTCGTTTTACAACCAAGCTTCACCGCGGTTGGGCCTGTTCATTGAGTATGTGGGGTATCTTTCTATCGATATCAGTTTATACATAGTAGGATCTCTGGTGCATTGCTCCAGCAGCCACCTCCGAAGTCTCGATTTGTTCAGGTCATATGCGAAATACAGCTCTAGCACTAAATATTTTAAGGAAACGAATGTCTCTGGCATGGACAGTATCTCATTTCTTACGCGAAATGTACCAAGAGGGTGCAGAAACATGAGAAGCCCACATGGCACGGGACTCCCGGAAGACGGCAACAAATACCAGTCCGGCCACCGCAGGGTACCGGGGAATCATTATCTACAAACCGTCTAGTCGATTCCTATGCATAGTTCATAGTCCTCGCAGCACTTTTCGTTTGATTTATTGAATCGTTCCTTCTGCATTTCCACAATTAGCTACATGCAACATCAGCATTCTTTTCATTTATAAGACAAGAGATGTATATGCATACAAGTGTCAATACCCCAGAATCTCTGAGTATTAACGGCTCTGGATATGGCTCTGGAATAAGACTGAACGAAGAAGCAAGCATCTCATGCGGCAAATAGATAGTCCAACACTTTGATTTTCTTTGTTCTCCTTGGCGCCGCCTGTCTTGCAACTTCTGAGTCATGGCACGTCCATTCTATAAGTCAAGGTGAATGCCACCCTTGTCGAAACCATGTAATAATCAGGCTCGCACAGGATAAGGATTGATCTGTATGTATGACGCAATGCCCAGCCAGTTGCCATTCCTCCACACCAGCGATAAAGTTTTCCGCAACCTATGTTTCTCCAATACCCCATATTCTCCCATTCTTGAAATACGACTCTTGTAAATGAATGTTCTCCTTATCAAAATCTCAGAAATATAGGCCCTAACTCAGCTGCGATCCTCAACAAGCGAGGAATCACCTCATAAGCCCCGTTGGCTCAGTGGTAAAGCGTATCACTAGTAATGATAAGATCACTGGTTCGATTCCAGTACGGGGCACGTGATTCCACAATATCTATCTTTTGCCGATCTGACGAGTATCTCTTTTTCATAGTCGCAATGATTTCTGTGGTGTTGAGGCAGCGCTGCTGCCTTTTTGGTGGCGACCTCGCCTATTTGCACGTGGCACTTCGGGAGCACCCGCCTTGGTCCTTCCTGAGTTTCGCACAGTGATGTGGTGTTCCTCTTGCTGATCGAAATTGATCTAAAGGGAACGCACTATAAGGCGGCAGATGGTATTGACAAAAGCACCTCATCTTGAATCTTGTTGCAAATGTAGAGTCCCATGTCTGCGCGTATCGGTGCCATCTCAAACATCTGCAGTAGATTGCATACATAGGGTGCTTCGCATGGAGAATGTATTGACCTCAACAGCACCACGACTGTCAGGCGACGGCATGTATAAACGTTCAACGCCTGTGAATTGTCTTCTGTCTCAAGTTGTTGAATTGCATTGAGCAATGATATCGAGATGTGGGAAGTGCTTGCATACGTGACATCATCCCGCATAAACCTTAAATTAAGTAAGCGCGCGTGCCGTCCCGCTTTTACTTCACAGCAACAAAAAGTCAAAGTTCGTCAGCAAATGCTCGTGAGATCAACTGAGATTCTACCAAGACTGAGAAAAATTAGGGCGCTTGAAGGCGCCAGGTGATTCAAATATGTTGCCCCGTACTGGAATCGAACCAGTGATCTTATCATTACTAGTGATACGCTTTACCACTGAGCCAACGGGGCTTGTGTAACAGCATCCAGAGTAGAGCCTAAGAAGCCCTGCAGCAAAGAGGGTCGAGGGATCAAGGAATAGTTGTAGGTGCTTGAGTTAACTGAAGGATAATATAGTAGTCTTCTAAGTTGTTGAGTCAGATTCAGAGCTCTGGCCTGGCAGTCCTTTTTAAGTCTAGTATACTATAACAAAGCCATCAGTAGTAACCCAAAGTGTAGGAAAGCCAATTGGTTCGAAACCATATATTCATTCGTCATTCAGCAGCTGCTGCTATGTTTCAAATATCTCGAAATCAACAACAATCGTTATAATAACCATTTCCCCATAGATAAACTCCCGTCTTTTTATGCCTAAAATCAGAAATGTTTCGTCTCGTCGGCTGCTTTTGGCGCCTCGACCCTTGCAATCTCTTCGTCATATGATGGAGTTCTCGAGTTATAAGCGACTCGGATGTCATCGATCTCATCACCAACCTCCATCCATCGATCGCTAGTCGCAGGCACTGGCGAGATCTTGCATAGAGCCCAGTACATCACTGATGAAACGATAAAACCACAGAAGTAGTTGAGCTGATAAATGTAGATCGCGCCCTGAGGAACGTTCTTGGCGCCGACAGCATCGGCGAAACCGACCACGTTGATGACAATTCCGGCGACGTAGGCAACATAGCCACGCCAGTTGAAACCACCTGTGAAGTAGTACGGTCCCTCTTTGCGAGCATCGTAGAGTTCCTTAGTATCGACGTAACCCTTGCGCACAATGTAGTAATCGGAAACCATAACACCAGCGATTGAGCTCAGGAAGACACTGTAGGCCGAGAGGTAGGTCGTGAACTGGTTGCTGTCCTTGAGAAGCTGCCAAGGACAGATGCACAGCCCAACGACGGCGCAAATGTAACTTCCACGACGGATGTTAAGCCAGCGGGGAAGCAAAGCAGTCAAGTCCGTACCAGCAGAAACGGAATTGGCCGCAATGTTGGTACCGAGCTGTGCAAGGGCGAAGGATGTAGCAATGAAGAAAACACCAAAGCGCTCGCCCGAACTTCCATCGTCAATGAACCTGTCCAGAAGATCAAGGGGGTTCCAGATGGCCTCTTCGTACAGGACGGAGGAAGCTGAAGAGACCATGATGCCGATGAACGAAGTGATGGCGAAACCGAAGGGGATCGTGATCATCTGGGACCAGAGTGCGTCTTTGGGCTTCTGCGCAAATCGAGAAAAGTCACTGGCATTGACAATGAGTGTCGCAAAGTTGGAGATAGAAGACATGATGCCCTTGACAATTTCCCAGGCCAAGTCGCTGCCGTGGACCTTGTTGCCTGCCTTTACAATGGGGCCAATACCACCTGCGCGCGAGATGGTCCAGGCCAGGAAGGTAATTCCAGCCACGGGAACAACGTATGCCTTGACAGTAAAGAGATGTCGGACCTTGTGGACAGGGAACCAGAGTGCAGGAAGCGATACAAGCCAAAAGATGAAGAAGGAAGCGAAGTGTGCGGTATCGGTGCCCGAGTTTTCGCTGAAAGTGTTGGGAACATTGGCCCATGACTTCCAGATAGTGCGGATCATGAGATAGATACAATCACCGCCAATGTAAGCCTGCACTCCATACCATACACAGGCTGTTATGCGTTAGTAATGAATTCTTATTATATTGGGAAAGATAGAGCATACCCATAGCAGCACGGTTCAGTACAGGCCACAAGCTACCCCAGATACCGAAGGAGGTTCTGTTGGCAACAGGGAATCCAATGTGGTACATGGCACCGAAACGAGCATTGATCGCAACAAAGATACCAGTGATGCTGTATCCGATCCAGACACAGAGCCAGGCTTGCCACCATGATAGACCATTGACAATCATGGACGATGAAATCATCCAAGTGTTGATGTTGAAAGAATCGGCGATCCAGAAACCAACAAAGTTCCATGGGCCCCATTGTCGGCGCTCCTTCTCGACGGGTTTGAGATCATGGTTCGTAAGCTGCATAAGAGTTCAGTACAACACGGTCTCGTTGATCGCAATGCGCAATGCACTCCAATGATGGAAAGCTAAAGCTTGTGAGGCCTTCATACCATAAGCTGGGTGCTGGTCAAGCCAGGTTCAGACTCAACGGCGGCTTTATCAGCCCAGACCTTAAATCGCGATCTGGTCTCCATGGCTTCGGCGTATGACGAGGTGGGAGGTGGAAGTATAAAAGAGTAACGGGTATCAAAATGCTTCTGAGGTGTGATCTAGAAGAAACTCAAAAAGCAAGATAGACTTTTTGTATTGTAATGGACCTTGTCCGAGGTGCTTATGACGTGTAGGTGACACCAAGTAGGGCCGGCAGACTGGGATTAAATCCAATGACACAAGAAATGATGGAAGAACGTGAGATGGTAGTCTTGCCGAAGGATGAGAGGGGACCAATTGGAACTTCTCCACCGTCTTCTTGTCTTAGAAAGTCAGGTCGCAGTGGGTGACAGGCAGTATTTATATTTATGGTTTGAGATTGACATGCCGCGTTGGTTGCGTTACGGTTGCGTTGACAAGAGGAACTAGACCCCATCTTGGCTCGAGGTTATCGGCGCTCAGCAGCCACTATCAGTCTGATCGTCATCCCCAGACCCAGCCGTTGCAGATAACTAGGCGACAAGGAACATACCACGCAAGGACCCTCGCCGGCGGCCACTTTTGCCGTAGTAGGTCAAGCTGAGAATGGTTATCCTTCCCCATGTTGGCACCGAGAGGACTTTGCATTTCCGGTCGGTAGTTGTTTGTTGTTTCATCGAGCACACGACCAATTTGTGACGGTGTTGTACATTCAGATATCCGGACCTCGAAAAGCAGAAGGATCTGCATGGTAATAGTATCACGCAACAACAAGTCGAAGCGTTCATAGGTATCCATTCGAATATGATCAAAGTACAATGGTACGTATGTTTTTCGGCATAGAATAGAACGATGCGGAGAGATGATTCGAGTGACATGGATACGATAATTGGGCCCGAGAAGCCAAGTCGTCTTTCGGTGGGTGCCCCCACATAAGACCCTAAATCCATGGAGCAACACTTGGTATGAGTGGTTGTTGAATGGGGTTTCCTGGTAATGTTGACGTAGACGTTGGAATTGGCCCCAATGTCGCTTTGTATAGGAGAGATGCACCAAAGTCGAGTTTGAATATTTGTTGTTGTTTGTTGCAACAGAGAAACAAAACGTGCAAGCAGTTTGCAGAGTAGACGGTACGTACTCCTCTTGAAGTTCTGGGCCTAAAAAGATGCTCTGCAGAAATGCAACTGCAACTGCAGGCAGGGCCGCCGCTATCAGCGCCATGTGAGCAGGAGCCAACCCATTGGAGGGTCGATTACCCCAGGCGGATATAAACGAAGCAATTTCATTGGCCAACTCGGTTTCCTTATCACCGCAACGATGCGTCTAAGATACGGGTACCGTACCGCCTTTCCCAAACCGAGTTAGTCTGGAACTACAGAACAAATCTGTTACTCGATCTCATCGAGTCAACCGTCTCTTTTATAGTAAAATTGTCCAGGCGTGCAGTTATCTGCCCTATCAGGACTATCTTGAACTTCATCCACGTAGTAGTCACTGAAATACGATCTCGTTGTCAACAGCTTAGGTCATTTCGGGTTTCAACCGAAACTCTATTGCCTGATCTCTCTCTCCAACCCCTCTTAATCTGGAGTTCGATGCGTTGGTTCTCCTTCTGGTTGATATCGGCATAAGAATCCTTGTTCCCGTTTCTGGCAGCACCTCGCGATACCACTTTTCAGCTTCATATTGCCCCGAAAGTTCGCCGTTTTTACGTCGTGTGGTTAGATCAATAACGACCCTGTCACAAATAACACACCACCTTCGAAATGAAATTATGTACTTCAGGACTGGTTTCAGTTTTCTCATATGGCATGGTAGATCTATTCTGGACTGACATGGCCCAACCGAGGGCAGAGTCATGCCGGTACATCTAGAAATCCAAGTAACACCGAGGCAAAGCAGCAATAAGACTAACTTGAATAAGTCCTTGGCCCATGCATAGTATGATTCAACTCCTCATGAGCTGCATTCTCCAGAAAAGTTAGCCAGTGGTTGCAATTCTTCGGTTTTGGGTCGGCATTCGTGTATCAAGGAACATTGACAGTCAATGCGTCTGATATGCAAGTATTACTTGACGAAAATCACAGACGCGACTTCAACTCCGTCAATCTCGAAACCACATCAGAGAGGACGAAACCGGCATTGGTTGTAAGTCTGGTCATCGGCCCGCAAACTTTGTAAACTCACTCATCCGATGGGGCAGAGTAAACGACCTCATACGATTTAAAGAGTTTCTTTTTTTCAAGTAACTGGAAACAGACACCACAGAATCGGGTCAGAAAATGATATACTGCATTGGCTTAGTATCGCGATTTTGTAATCATGGAAGATACCAAGATATTACTTACACACAGCATCTCGAGCTCTGTCACGCGTATGGGCCCAGTTTCCGCAGTGTAAAGTCGATCAGATACTTGCAGTAAGAAGAATTATAGACATGACTGTAAAGATTTAGAGACTGGGTGTCTAAATCGAGGTCAGCTAACTATACTATCAGGAGTGTCCAGATCTTATGATAAATCACATGAAATCCGAAAATCTTTATCGTAGGACTGCTGCTCTAGGGTAAACCTTTCCAAACACGACTGCATTTTATGATGTCGCTCGCATCCCAAAGAACAGCGTAAATTCCTATTAGATTTTTCACATTGTGAGAGTATAATTTGAGGGGAACTCGATGAGATGATAGAAAGTATGGCTTATGATTGGACTCGACTTACGCTGCGTCACCATCCAATACAGGAGCAAACATCCGGGGCACCGTATCCAAACAAACTGGGTACCCTACATCGAAGAGAAGTTATATAAGGTGTCCAATTGATATTTATAGAGTAGCTGCGTCTTCATTAACGACGACTGCCGATATTCCAAGACTCTGCTAGTGTCATGGTCCAGCAGCCAAGGCTACAGCTCAGACAAGACAGGGTCCAGAGAAAAAACAAAAAAGAAACACGTGAATGGACCAATAGCTTCTGCCCCGCGATTTGAGTAGTATCGAGGTGAGAGTGCCGAAAGGCTGCGAGAATTCATCCCTAGGCCACAAGTAATTTGATATAATTTATCTCGCTCTAACTACAAAAGGAATCGACTTACTGACTGACTATTATCGGTACTCTCTTCTATATCAATTTAATAGGTGCTTCCTTCTGAGAAGCACGACGTTGGACTCTTCCTGCCTCAAGCTCGAGACCCACACTTGGTTTCTCCCCCCACCATCGTCGTCAATTCCGCTTCTTTTCTCCCCGCCAACCTCAACTTTTTTTTAACCATCTCATTCAAACCTTTTTATTTACCAAAGTCCTTGATATACAATCATGGAGGACCAGTTGGTGCAGCTCCTTTCCAACACTCAGCTGTCTGAACAGGGTCCCAGACTACAGGCCGAACTCGAGCTGAAGCGCGCCCGAACGAATCCCGCCTTTCCCCTGTCTCTCGCCAACATCGCCGCCCACACCTCGATTGATACCAACATCCGCCAGGCTGCACTGAGCAACCTGCGACTTTTTATCGAGAACAACTGGAGTAACGATGATCCTGATGATGGGCCCATCATTCCTATCTCTGATGAGGCGAGAGGCCAGCTCAAGCAGGTCCTGCTCGACCTTGTGTTGAGCCCGGAGGACGATCGCAAAGTCAAGATCTCAGCCAGTTACGCTGTTGGCAAAATCGCTGTGCACGACTTCCCTGAGCAATGGCCAAACCTTCTCCCCACAGTTATCTCCGTCGTCCCGGCCGGCACCGATTCACAGCTTCACGGCGCCCTGCGATTACTCAACGACATAATTGAAGAGAGTTTGAGCGAGGACCAGTTCTTTTCAATGGCCCAAGATATTGCCAAGGCCCTTGCCGAAGTCGCCCTCAATGAGAACCGAAAGCCCATGCACCGAGCGCTCGCTATTTCCATCTTCCGAGGATGTTTTGATCTCCTCAATATGATTAAGGAGGACCACGCTAAGGAGGTCCGCGCTTTTGCGGATGGTCTTCTTCAACAATGGAACCCCTTCTTTATTACCGTTCTACAGAGCCCTCTTCCAGAAGCCAACCTAGAGAGCGGGTCTCAGCCTGACTCTTGGAGCCATATTATCGCTCTCAAACTTCAGGTCGTCAAGACACTCCTCCGAATTCGACGCGTCTTCCCTAACCTACTTCTTCCCCAAAGTACCATCTTCTTCAGTGCAGTCTGGAAAGAGCTCTCTACTCTGCAGGGACCACACGAGCAGCTCTATATCAAAGAGGATGCCCAAGGACGTCTCGAAGACTCGGACAACCTTCCATATACCTTGGATTTCCTCATTCTCGAAGAATTGGACTTCCTTAACCAATGCTTCAGAGCCCCTCCTGTGCAAGCCGAGCTGGACGGCCACCTCAATGCTCATGCCTCAGCTCAAGAGGTTCCCTGGATGAAGGAGATTATGAACATGCTTATTGGTTATTCGCGAGTGACTCGGGAGGAAGAGGACTTGTGGGATATCGACTGCTCCCTGTATCTTGCTGAGGAGACCTCCGTGACTGCCAACTATACCGCACGAACTGCCGCAGGGGACCTGTTAATCAAGATGGGTGAGTGGTTTAACCAGAAGACGATCGACGGCCTGTTTGGTCAAACACAGTCCCTATTTGGTGGCGAAGGTTCCGACTGGCGTAGCCAAGAGGCGGCGCTCTACCTTTTTGTCATGCTGGTTAGCGACTTCCAAGACATGAACAAGGATATCCCCGAAGCAGTGGCCCACGCCTATCTTTCCCTGGTTGACTACGCCGTTAACCGGCCCGGAGAGCCTCTTCTCCGCGCTAGAGGTTATCTCGTCGCCGGTATGCTTTGCCGTTCTTTCCAGACACCGGTTGAGCTGTTGGACCGCATTATCACCTCTATCACTCAAGAGGAGTCCGAGGTTGTGCAGGTCGCCTGTGTCAAGGCTGTCGAGGGTTTGATAAACGCTGGCCGAGTGTCGGCCGATAGGCAGGTTCCTATTATCAACGCCATTCAAAGCTACATGAACAACAAGGACCCCAGTGATATGGAAGATGCAGACGAACTTCTCGTTACGCTCGCTGAAGCTCTCCGCGCCGCCATTACTCTCGATAAACGCATCGCCCTGTCCAATGATGTTAAGTCGGTTGATCTGCTTTTCATGCTAGCCAAGCTAGGCGCAAGCAACTTCCAAGTCACTATGCTGATTTCCGAGGCATTTGAAGATATTGTTGCTGATCTCTCTGACACTGAATCTTACACCGCTCTCTGCGCAAAGCTTCTGCCCACGCTTACCGGCGCATTTGATGTCGCTAACCTGACTGAGGATAACCCTCTGGTCACAGTGAGTATCTTAATGAAACAGTTTTCATGCTTAACTGACAATACCCAGGTTGCCACCGAGTTATTGGCTGTCTTGGCCGAGAACGGACCTGAGCCTCTCCCCGCAGGTTTTGTCGCGGCTACTTTCCCTAAGTTGAACCGTCTCCTTATGGAGTCTACCGAGGGAGAGGTCCTCCGACCTGGATCTGAAGTTGTGAAGTGGATGCTTCAGCATGATCATCAGCAAGTCCTTGCTTGGCAAGATGCCAACGGCCGCTCTGGTCTGGAGGTTTGCTTGCACATCATTGACCGACTTCTGGGTCCTTCTATTGAGGATAACTCAGCCTCCGAGGTTGGCGGTCTGGCTGCCGAGCTCGTCGAGAAGGCTGGCCAAGAGCGCCTTGGTCCTTTCCTACCTCAGCTTCTCCAAGCTGTCGCTAACCGACTTGCTACCGCTCAAGCTGCAGCCTTCATTCAATCTCTTATTCTTGTCTTCGCCCGACTTACCCTCTCTGGCGCTCAAGATGTTGTCGAGTTCCTGAGCCAGGTTCAGATCAACGGGGAAAGTGGCCTGCAGGTTGTCATGGCCAAGTGGCTAGAGAACTCTGTCAACTTTGCTGGATACGATGAAATTCGACAAAAGTATGCCCAGCCGAATCGGACACAAGCCATCTGCTAACTTGATTACTAGTGTTATTGCACTGTCGAAGCTTTACTCTCTGAATGATCCTCGCCTGGCCCAGACACAAGTCAAGGGCGACCTGATCGTCAACAACGACGATGGGCTTATCAAGACGCGCTCACGCGCAAAGCAGAGTATGTATCCAACAATTCACGACTTCTCAACCACCACCTCGACCCTAGATTCAATCTACGCCCGATACGCTGAAAGTCAGCAAGCTAATGAGACCAACCAAAAATCAGACCCAGACCAATACACGATCGTTCCTGCTTCCCTCAAAATCATCAAGGTCCTCATTGAGGAGCTTCTGTCTGCATCTGGCCAACGGGCTGCTGCGAACGCCGCCTCTGCTGCTGTTGCGTCTGCTAGCTTTGACGACGAGAATGACGAAGAGGGTTGGGAGGATGAGGATGATACTCTCGACCTCAGCCTTGGTACCACGAAAGCTGACCTGATGTCTTTCATGGAAGGTGGCCAGAGACAGCGAGACGACGAAACCCAAGCCTACCTGACCGACTTCTTCATCCGCTGCGGCCGCGAGAACATTGCCAACTTCCAGGAGTGGTACAACATGCTTACAGAAGAAGAGAAGTCGAAGCTCAACGAGGTTGCCAGCTCAGCAGGACAATAGACTGGAACTGCATATGCTTGCAACGGATCTTCGAATAAGGAGGAGAAGAAGGTCAGCTCCGCTCGTCGACGGTACCATCAGAAGCTTGCTTTCCGAATACAGGCAAGAGCCATTGCTATTAAACTTCTGATATGCCGCTTACAGAAGGAGACAGAGAGCGCGATAAACTCTGGGTCACTGAAATTGGTTTAATGGATACCAGAGAAGCCTGCCTTATTATGACTGGACATGAATTGCAGATAGAATTAGAGAAAACGTGCGGGCGGTCTGTTTGAAAGAGAGTATGAATTAACGAGGAATGGAATACACCACAATGGAAAAGTCGAAACATGAACTAGTTGAGTAGAAGAGAATTGATCATTAATCATTCTGCCGAAGCAAGCGTACACCCGCCATTAGTATCTACCTAGTCAACCGTTGCTGGTAACCATCGCTTGCTACGATGTTCCGTTTCTCTCCTGTCTAGATGATATCTCCGCCAAAGCCTCCTCCAAATCCGCCACCATAACCTCCACCAAAGGGATTGTTTCCCCTTCCGCTACCAGGACCAGGGAACCTCGGGTTGCCACCAGGGCCAGTGGGATCCCAGCGGGCTCCTGGCGGTGCTTGGGGATCGAAACCAGAGGAACCGTCACCTCCTTGCCCGCCAAACAAAGGATCATCGAAAGTAGGATGCATCCCCGAGCCGCCACCAGGACGAGGTAGTCCTCCGCCAATGAACGAGCCACGAAGAGGATCGTGCGGACCAAGACCGGGAGGATTCAAGTCATCGTGACCGATGTTGTAGGGCGATCTTCCTGGCATTTGAAGACCGCCTCGTGGAGGCCGGTTCATCTCGTACTCATCCTCGAAGCCGGGAGGAGGGAAGTCGCCCACTGGTGCAGGCCGTGGACGAGCCATCTCAGGGAGTGGATTCGCTGGGGGTTGAAGCGGGTGTGGGTGTGGTACAGGATCGCCACGGAACGGACGGTCTGGGTTCTGAGCTTCTTGAGCACGGCGCTCGGAGCGTGCATTAGCTTCGGCTTCAGCTGTCTCAACATAGCCTTCGCTTTGGAGTTTTGGGATGAGCTTTTGAACGATGTTGACCTTGAGGTCATGTAAGATATCTGACCAGATGGATTAGTTTGTGATGCCCCATCAAAGGGAAGCGAAAGGACATACCAGCAATAGCTTGTTCAGAGGCGAAGACACCGCGGAGCTTCTCGGGAAGATCACTTCGATCTTCCTGGCCGTCCTTGATGGTGATGCGAAGAGGGAGTTTCCTAGAATCCACAACGTCGCTGATCGACCTCTCAAAACGACGGATGTTGTCATCTGCGACGGCTACTCCTCGAACCTCGACCTTTTTACCCATGCGGTCAATACGGATACTAAAAGTCATGGCTGATTGCTTGTGCTTGTAGACAAAACTGTAAGAACCGAAACCTGAATTCCATTGCGGCGGTAGACGAGGAGCGAGTGACTCGCATTCAGCTGTTCCGTGTGAGCCAAGTCATGATGGTAATGGATGGTAAACTCACGTATGTTCTTGTCCTCATCAAAACCTAGGAGCTTGAAGCCGAGAGCAGCGAGATATGAATGGATGAGGAGAGCGATGACTTCGTACGACGAAGCGAGGTCAGATGAATCGTCATTGGGGGGATGCGTTGGTAGAGCATCTGCCATGCCATTTAGAATGGCGGCAACACTGAGAGGTTCTGACATGATGAAGTGCGATGGTTTTGATGCCTTTTTTGATGATGTAGTTGATGAGTGGAGTTTAAGTAGATGTAGTAGCTCGCTAAAGACAGTGGAGAAGATGGAGGTTATGAGTTAACGCTGAGGAAGTTTGGGAAGCGGCGTCATGAAATAGTTGCCTCCTCAGCCCTATATGTGGATCCTTTACTTTGGGTATCGCGGGGCATCGTCAGTGATTCTGGAGAAAAGCCATGTATTGGTGCAGGATTGGTTGCCTAGATAAGGCATTGATTAGGCACTTGAGCTTAATAATCTCAGGCTCGAAGCATGGTATCATTGAGTGACCTCAACATGGCGTGTGTTACCTCACTCAGAATTCTGCAGGGACTGTATACCAAGGTAGAGATCACTCTCATGACGACACTCACGTGATATCGCGTATCACTCAACGCGTTCCACCACGTACCATCTCTCAAACCACGAATTTCTACCATCACCACTTCTCCTCTCTATAACCCTCAACTCACCCCACGATGGAAACAGGCCCTCTGATCCCCGCCTCCCAAGCATCCCATCTCCTCTCCTCATTCACGACCTTCCTAACACTAACCCTCCACACCCTCCTCTACCATCGCGCTCTCTACCCCAAAACAACCTTTCTAGCGGCCCGAGCCCTTAATCTCCCCGTCCATCAATCCCGTCATCCCGGTCTCTGCACATGGATAAACGACGCTGTAGCTTCGGTAGCGGCACAGTTACGCAAAGGAACTGTACGTCGTATAGCCATTGCGATGCATGCTGCAAAGACCTTTGATGTGCTGGAGAGATGGGTCTTTGATGTTGATTTGTTTCCTGCTGGGTGGGGTGATAGGGAGGAGGCGACTTACAACCCTGCGTTGGTAGAGGGTGATGATGATGGTGTGGTGAATTGGACGGATGTCAATGAGGCGCTGAGAGGTGCTCTGAGGAGGGTGGCGCAAAAGGCTGAGATGATGCCTGATTTACCTGAAGGGAGCACTTTTACTGTTGCCGTTGAGCTACGTGATGATGCAGACTCACCCATAGGTGTAAGTGTATCGGTTATCAGATGAACTTTGACTGACTGGTCTAGCATCCCCAACATTGGATACCATCTCAACCAAATCTTCAACCACCAAACGATACCTCATTAAAACAAGGCTCTTCTCTTGGGGGTCAAAGTACAACCCCTATTCGCTCTGTCCAAGCTGGTCCTTTATTCTTTGAATGCTGGATCGAACAAAGCGCACCCGTAACCTCATGAAATTCACATATATGATACCCAACTTTGGAACAGATAGATTATCGTCATCATGACGCTTCATAACCTCTAATTCATATTGTATAAACATGACATCAATCCATTATTGATTGTCCCAGCCACCCATTCCCAGACCTGGACCAGTCTGTGCCATGCGACCCTGATCCTACCCCCTATTCCGACAAAGCCCAGAACCCGCCGCGTTATGTACAGCCCGGCCGTGGAAACATGACAAATACCTTGACTCATTACCATCAAAATCATTTTCAAACGCCCAAACAGCCTCCCAGCCAGCCTCCCAGAGGACAGCAGCGCCTACTCCGTCGTCCCCTTCAGCGCTGCGCGGAGACTCACCATCTCGCGCTTCAGTCGCGCGTTCTCCTTCTTCATCCGCGCTGTCTCGTCGCTTTGGTCGCGGAGTCGCATCATGAGCTCTTCCTTCTCATCCTTACCCTTGCCCTTGAGAGCCTTGACTATCTTGCCAAGCTCCCCATTGAACTTCTCATATAGTAACTCGTTTTCTGCCACTGCCTCCTTGTACAGCTGGTCAATCGCTCGCACCTTGGCCTCGGCTGCCTTGACCGTGGTTTCCATATCGCGCTGGATCGCATTTTGCTTGTCTTGTAGTTCCTGAATAGCAGTGGGAATGCGGTCTTCCAACTCCCGGACAGCAGCACTGACTCGTCTCATATCGACAGACTGGGAGCCCGGAGGTCGTGTATTGTTGACGCGTGCCATTTCCTCACCAATTTTGGACAGCTCAGATCTGAGAGAAGCGTCCACGTCGTCGACAGCCTGCTTCTCAGTGTTGAGTCGCTCTCGAAGCTTTTGCGGGGACTGTAAGCGGAGTCTCTGCGTTCCTCGCCTGGTTGGACTTGAGCTTGGACGGGGCGGTGATTCAGATCCTGGAGGCGCTGAGCGGTAGGGGCGCAATGTCGGGATATTAGTTGATGATAGGGTCCTTGAGTGCCTGTGACCTTTGGCTGGCGACGTGCGTCGTGTTGGCTCTTCTGAAAGTTCCATGGGACTGGGCGCCAAAGTATTCGGCGAGGTAATTTGCTGAAACGGATCTGGAACACTCTCCTTCTGCTTGGAACCTCTCAACGTCGCTACACCGGGACTAACAGGTATTCTAGACGGAGATGTCGCCTTGGGGCTCGCGTTGACCTTTTCTGATGTTTCTTTTGCGTCTTGAAGCGGTTGCGGTGATTCAGCGTCATCATCGAGTGTAGTCGCTGCCATGAGACTCTTGAGGTCTGATAATGAACTACGCCGCTTCTTCTTGGGCGATCGTGGGAGTGGCTTTTCAGTCTCCGGCTCACCGATTGTCTCCAATAACCTATGAGAGCTGCCAGGTCTTTGCATTTCGTCAAACGCTCCTGCTATGGGCGGACGATCCCTGGAACCTGGGCGTCTCGACAGCTTTTTGGGCAATGTGTTGTCATCGATAGACCTTGAACGGCCTAACGATGCTTTAGATAAGCTGTTTACCTCGCCTGTGGCGGGATTTCTGTGCTTGCTGAGCTGTCGCCATACTGAAGGTCTCTCGTCTCTGCTATTTTGCCGTAACAGATTGTCGAAACCAAATTTGCGGCGCAGCGACGAAGTGTTTGAGGCCAACGAGGGTGTGTACCCCTTGCCACGGATCGCTGAATTGATCGACTCATATGTTGAGTTATCGAGGTTGAAACTGTGATTTAAGCCAGGCTCTTCAAAAATTCGATCGCAGTCTTCCACCAGACGATCGAGAAGGTTGATATAATTAGGAGCTGTTCCATCATAGACGAGCAGCTCTGCAAAAGCAAGTGTTAACGCTCCCCTGTCACCATCATTGCCACACCCGTCCAGCAGATTGGCCAAGAGCTTGATGAGGGCAGTGAAAGCGCGACGGTTCTGTGGCGCCATGTCTCCAAACAAAAAGTTGACGAAGTCCGCAAAGTCTCCAGGCACTCTCTTATTCACCCGCGCCTGGAGCGTATCAAGGGAATGCATTGACATGACAGGGCCAATTTGATCAGCCCAAGCAATGCGAAGGAACTTTTCGAAAGCAACAAATATGACCTCGGTGCCTAGATCGGCGGCGGCGTCAACGTCAAACGGGCTTTCAATCAGTCTGTTATATAGTTCGTTCACAGACAGCTCATCAACCACAGAGCGTTGGAGCAATGTCCGACCAATAATAAGACCCTTGCGGGACTGAAGAGCAGCAACATATGCAGTAAACGTCTGCTCGAGGCGTACTAATGGGTTTTCGGTCCTTGTTTCCTCTTGAGATACACTGTCCTTGCCTCCCCTTATTGAGCTGACAACAGATGCTTGGCTGTTGTTTCGGTGTATTGAAGGTACCTGCTTATGTTTTGAGCCCAAACTTGCTGTGTCGGAGATATGCACAGAGCTGCCTCCCCAGAAACTGGAGAGAAGCTTGACAGGAGAAGAAGCCAAGAACGATTTGGTCTTCTCCGCTCTTGTGTTGAGTAAGAGTCCATGTAGAGTCTTGGAATAATATGAGACGAGAGGTGCCGTCAATTGCATATTGGAGATACTATGCTGTGTGCTTAATAGTTGAATAACTGTTGCTGGTTAGCTCAGGGCTCTGGGGATTATCGTGCTGATTCTCACCTCGTCTTGACATCGTGGGGAGGAAGTCTTCCAGAGCAATTTCGTCCTGGAACTGCCTCCCATTCAGGCCAACTGTGAGCATCGATACCTTCTTCATATCGTTTGTGGTCACGTTCACGACAATCTCGACACCGTAATGGCCTACAGGCGCTCCTTTAGTGCCCCTATCATGATCGACGACCACTCGAATCGGGGCAGGCTCCTTTCGGCCCTCGATGAGTTGGTCGGCGCCCTCCTGGAAGATAGCAGCGTGAAGTCCCAGATTGCTATCTGGCATTCGCGCTGATCGTAGAGTCCAGGTTGGGTCTTCTCGCTCTTTTTCCGAGAATCGAGCTTCGACTCTCGCTTTGACCACATCCTCTCCCCACTTGGCGGCTCTGGCTTCGTACATCTCTTGTAAGAGGAAACATCGTGATGTCACGGCCTTGCTGATGCGGTGCTCGCCTGGATGAGCTCCCCTCATTTCTGACGTCGAAGTCATCCAGAATAGTGTGCCATCTACTGCCTCAGTAAATCGCACGTCAGCCATGTCATGCCACCCTGTAAACACGAACTCATATGCCGCTGGACCTCCTGCTGCATTGGTCATAGAAATAAGTAGACCGGCTGCTGAAGGTTTCTCAATCTCACGAAGAAGCTCTCGTCCTGTCATATTCCCGCTCATCTTCTTGAGGATAACCACACAATCTGAAAAGAGTAGGAAGATGCCAGATTTATCCGACTGGTTGAGCAATGGCTGAAAAGGTGGTGCCAACTCAGTGAAATCGGCGGCTGCAATGAGACGTCCTTGTGGTTCAAGATTCAAAGGCCAGGCTTCAACCATATTTCGAAGTCTATTGGCGACATGAGGCTTGTCGGGTAAGGGATCGTCCATCGAGCAGATATTTGTAATGATGTCTCGTGCCTTCAACATGGGTTGTAAGGCGGGGTGTGTCATAGGAATACAACCAACGATCTGATCAATAAGCAAACTATAACGAGGAAGTCTCTGAACAGGCTCGATGAGAATAGAGCGTATCGTCTGCTCGCCAGCCTGAGCTACCCTCTGTTTGAAACTCGATTGCTGGTCGAGGAAAGAGTTGAGTAACGTGGGAAAATGTTGGCTGGCCTTGATATAATCCTGATAGCACTCTGTGAACTTCGGAAACCACTCCAAGAATAACCTGGCGATTTGTAGAGCACCACTTGGGTCTCTTGTTCTGCCCAGTTTGGACCCCATAAAGCTCATCGTAGGTGTTTCCATGTCTTTCAAGGCTTCTTCTTCGGTGTCGTCTATGATCCTCCGCATCTCCTCCATAAAGGCAGAGTTGACCTGAAGGATGCCATCTGCAGAACTGGGGAAGAGCTTCTCCAACTCTTCCTCGGAAGGGCTCAGACTACCAGGAGCTCGCGCTTGGGCGCTCTCTCGAAAATCGGCTGCGACGTGCTTCACCAGCTCCCTCACTTTACCCACATACCGCTCCTCGGTCTCCACCAATTCTGTCAGCTTCATGCGCAATTCCACCTTTTGATCTTTTAGAAACGACTTGCTTCGATTTAAGGCGGTCGGCTTGGAGGGCGCTCTTCGTAAACGACTAGTCGGCAGGAAGACTGGCTCTCCGAATAGCTTTATCAGCGGGGTGTACCCTCCATACTGGCGCAAGGTTGGGTCGAGGATATCGTCTTCGTCGTCGGGCACGTCCTCGAGGTCGGCGGCTTGGAGGGGCACGATAGCGCCTGGCGGGAGAACAAAGTCGAGGTCGACATTGCTGATATGTTGTGTCTGCAGAGCATCTTGTAACGTCTCGATGATGTCGGCTGTGTGGTCGCTCTGGACCATGTCCTTAACAATCTCGGCAGCATGTTGCTCGCTGAACAGAGTAGGTGCACTGCCTGGACGTCGACCTCGCGTAGGGTATAGGTTCTTGAGGTATGTTTTTACGCCATCGGGCAGCTCTGTGAAGTACTTGAAGAGGGCGAAGGCGAGAGCGCGGTAGACCTCATCGCCCTGAAACTCGCGGGGTAAATGGTGGACGACGCCGTAGAATGGAGAATTGGGCGAGATTGTGATTCGAGGGAAGCTCTGGAAGCCGGCGGGGGTGAAGACGTGGACTTGGACTCGAGAACTGTTGAGGGTATAGTTTGCGGTAGTCGAGGGCCCATGGAAGAGTAGCAGAGGAAGATGGCCTAGCAACGGATCTGCGGCGTGGTATAGAGTGACATTGTCAGACGACAGCGCCAACTCCTCGGTAACGCGAACCATGGCGCGGTGTCAGAATTAAATCCGTTGGTCAAGAAGGGACTCGATGTGTGTTGACGTCGATGTTGACTTGACTTGACGGGCGGTGGTCTCCAAGTTGGGCCGCAGATGGACAGCGATTCGACGAGAAGCGACGAACCAATGGCCCAGCCCAAGATAGACTCAAGCCTAACTAAAGTACAGAGACGAGAGAGACCTTTTGGATATGAACGAGTCGCCTCCTCCCTCGTCACGGACACAGAGATTCGCGCATGCGGGCAAAGTCGATCTAGTTTTCGTGGGGGGTCGTTAAGAAAGAAAAAAAAAAAAAAATGGTCTAGGATTAGAAAATGTGACAAGGCAAGGCAAGACAACCTAAGCAAAGACAAAGACGAGGGTTTAGTTTTGGAGGTTTGAGCTTTGGCCGTAGTCGGGCGGGAGCTGGGAGTCAACAAAGGCCCAGAATCGGGAGCGGGAACACAAGCGAACAAGTGGGTCCCATCGGTTTCGAAAGTAAACACACCAACCTAAGGTAACTGCGCTGGGCCCAGCTGGAGCCCAAAAACCCACTAAAATTTACAGGTCAGGTCCCTACAGCACGATACGATACGATCGTGCGTCACACAGATTCACTTTTGATGTTGCATCCAACCAACAGTTGATCAACAACAACACGCGATAGCAACAACAAACATTGTTACTGAATCAGATTGTATCATTGTTGTTATTCACGGCTGCAGCTAGTATGACACTAATAAGTACCCAAGTTAGTAGTCTCTTGCTCTTGGTACCTTTTATATTTTGTGTCCCAAATACACTCGGTGGCCTGGACAACAAAAAACCTAATCTCAACAACAGCGGTCAAACACAAATTCAATGCTGACCATGCCCTGGGCGGGGATCAGCGGGAGCTCCCTTGCCAAATTCCAAGGCATTGACCGCTAAACTTGGAGAAGAGGGCCCCGCCAATATAAACCTGAAGTCTCCATAGACCACGTCTGACGCGTTCAGCTATTTCCGACAACAGACAGGCCTTTGTACATATATGATTGCCAAGGAATATGAGTTCACTGTAAATGAACTATGATATACGAATATAGAATGCCCACATCTGATTCTGCTTCATGAAACAACTAAATCTACAGGTGCAGGTGGCAGGTGGCAGGTGGCTATTCTGCCGACTCTCCCTTGAAAGCCCGAATAACCTCTTCGGCTCCCCGTATCCCACTCCTCACCGCACCGTCCATATACCCCTTCCAGACCAACGAAGTCTCAGTACCTACAAAATGCAGTCTCCCAACCACCTCACGCAATGCCTTCCCACTATCACTCGTCAACGTTCCCGGCATCATCACCGGTGACGGACAACCCCAAATCCAGGGCTGCTTGATCCACTCCTGCAAGATGATATTGACAGGTTCGGGTGCCTTTACACCGACACCACTGAAGACTCCGTTGAACTGCTCGAGCACGATTCTTCGTTTCTCTGTATATGACCACTTGGACCAGTCTCTGCCTCTGTCACCCACGACAAAGCAGGTGATGCTGTACTGTCCATCTTCTGGTGAGCATGTATCTCGTGAGAAGTGAATCGGCCCTGTCTCGCATTCTATGATGCCGCTGAAACCAGCGTCACGCCACCACGGCTTGTCAAAGACAAAGATGGCTTTAGACGTACAGCCTAGTGCAGTGCTTTCACCTAGTGTCTTTTTGCTATCTGGTAGCGGCGGCTCGAAATTGATAGAAGGGTAAAGACACGTGGGAACTGAGACAATGACTCTCTTGGCTCGGAAGTTCTGCTTAGGGTTGGCTGTTTCGATCAAAACACCATCAGAGCCTTGTTTGATTGTCTTGACGGGGCTGCGAAGTCTCACAGCCGTCTCTGGGAGCTTTGCTGCTAGACGGATCGAAAAGGTCTGGTTGCCTGTTTCTTGTCAGCTAAAGGCTCACTTCATGGAATGGTTAAGGTACTAGCCCTGTCTGTTGCGCAGATATTGCCCCCCATCCTTCTTGTCAGAAGCCATATTATCCAAGCCCGTACCGCTGCGGATATAATCGACCATGAACAAGGCGCTGACTTCATCTGGCCCAACACCCAAGAGGGGACTCGTAGCCGAATCAGCAACAGCAGGACCAAGTTCAGGACCCAGGAACTTCACACTGAGTTGATTGAACGTCATAGAGTCCAGCATCTCAGCTTCGGGATGAGCTGAAGGGTTCTCTGGGTCAATCTCGTCAACCCACTTGTTCAGCTTTTCAAGGAGTTTCTGAACAATATCAGCTGCATCTGGAGGTACAGGCATTCCGGTACCATGTTTTATCTTGGTAACGCCGCCATTTACCTCCTGATGCAGATTGTACCCAGTGGCTCTCTGCTCGATCAGATCAAATCCAAACTCTTGCGCAAGTTTGTATATCTCGCTTTGGTTCGTATCATTGAGCCAAGCGGCGCCCAAATCGACCTTACCTCCCAGGTGAGAGGCATCGACGCTCAGAGTCTTGCCGCCGACTCTGTCGCCAGCTTCGAGAACGATAACAGAATGACCAGCTTCATGGACATCGACAGCGGCGCGAAGACCAGAAAGGCCTGCGCCGACGACGACAACGTCGACTCTCTCGGGCTTGTGTGAATTAGTAATCGTCATTTTAGGATGAATGGCAAAGTAAAGAGGAAAAGAGCAAAGCTGCTACTCTGACATATTTATACGCTACACAGCAAGGGGGCCAAATCCTTCTTGAAGCTATAATCTGACATGACTGAAGCAGATTGGTAGTTGTACACATTCCTTTTAGGTCTGAGCATCTTACTCATTGTCGTACTGTTTGTGAGAGTGAGATTTGCTCATTGATCGACCCTGCTGAGGGGAGAAGGTCAGCAAAAGCAAATTAAGCTTCTTTTATCTCACGCTTGAAGCGATGAACCCGCGCTTTTGTAATATATATTCCCTTTTAGATTTATGATCAATTACGCGTTTTAATTTATGACAATTCTTTCCAAGAGCGCTCAATTCCGGCTTTTCGTCCCTCATGATAGAGGGGCCCCCGAGATAAGATGTTCTGACAGATTATCCTTCAACATAGGTAAGCGTATGCCTGTACCTGGCAATCTGATTATATCCTGACTCACAATTATTCGGAGGCGCCATAAAATCAATTATATACCCGTATATCACTCTTTTTTGGCAAAGTTTGCCTCATAAGCCCATCAGTGTAATTCATTTATCTCAGCCTCCAAACTCCAACGGGAGATCTTCACGTGGACCCAATGCCCACTTCACTCTTAGCGCGTCATGATACATCCCTCCTCTCTCCTACACCAAACAGTCTCCCTTTCAACCAACACAATCACTAGAAACAAGCTATCATCACAATGTCAAGCCAATCAGGCGGTATCACAGTCCAGTACAACCCTTCCTCAACAAACTATCGCCTCATCGAACTCCCTCCGGACCTATTATCTCTTCTCGAATCCGACGATGCACCCGTGTAAGTCAACCCCTACATTCACTCTCTTACAAGTATTATACTCATCTTAGTCAGATTGACCATGGAGTCCTCTGATTCATCGGCTGTTATCAAAACGCCTACAAAGACGTACGCTCTTCGTCAGAAGAACACTTCGAATGCTCTCATGCTCCTCTCACCTACGCCTTTGCCTGCATCGTCAGATGGACCCCTCGAGCAGGGCGTCTCTATCATTTCGACCATCAAGGAGACTGTGGAGCTAGATACTGTTCCTGATGTGTCTGCTGGCACTACGAAAGGATTTGGTGGCGGTAAAGGGAAATGGCATGAGCGATTCGGGAGAAACAGGTAGTGGGCTGTATATGAATATTATGATACGCTTTGATTACCTCAAGAATAGGCAATGCGGAATATGAGTCAAGGTGTTGTCTTCCTACCATTACAGCATACAAAGCCCGTCATTTGCCAATCAAGAGGTAGGAAGTATCTCATTAAAAGAAATTAACGCCGTCTAATAACATGACGAAGAACCCAGTTTCGCAGTCCATGAAGGAGATGATGCTATTCCACAAAATACATGCAACACCCTACTGAATCCATAACTTTGCTCCCGTTTCCCTGGCCTTCAGGCTTCTTGCACCACTTGCTAGAGAGTACGTGTGTGGTCACATTGGCTGTGTTGCTCTTGATCCCCTGCACAGTCGAGTTTCTAAAAAGGCACCTGTCTGTCCTCTCAACTGAACCCTTTCGTTCATTAAGCCCAGTCATCGCTACCCGGGGCCACGCCAATTCTCCATTGGGTCAGGTTGCCCCATCATGTAAAATGGTTCAAAGTTTGCCAGTCCTTGAAAGTTTAGCCCTGGCATCGCTGGGCCTGGGTCTCCTGGTGCCGCTGGGAACGCTCCAGCCTGGGGCTGTTGTTGTGGTTGTATTGGTATTCCTGCCATGTGTTGTGCTTGCGGTACCGGCGGAGGCCCAAGTGGTGGTGGTACTCTATTACCAAGGCGAGCAACTGCATTCTTGAGGCGACGTCGGATACCTATATGTGCCTGATCATGGACTTGGTTCTGCAGGCGGTTCAATGCAAGAGGAATTTGGGGTTCCCCTGGTCGCCGCCGAGCATTGTGAATGGCATGGGCATCGTGTAGTTGCTGGGCGTAGGCTTGAGCGTGGTCATGGGCTCGGGCATGAGCTTCCTGGTGCCTCAATAAAGCATCGAGATCTTCTTGACGAAAATGGTATGGGTTGTGTGCCGGTCCATGCTGTGCCTGTGGCTGCTGTGGTGGAGCATCGAAAAACGGCCTTTGTCCTTCAAGCGGCAGAACCGGCGGCATAGGCATGAAGTTGACTCGATCCCTAAATCTCTGTCCAAACTTATTTTTCCGCCGCATATCGTCTGTCTTGACCCTTTCAGACATGTTGAAATCCAGAAGTTCGGGCGCTGATGCAAGTTCTGGATTCTCCTCCAAAACCTTCTGCTTAGCTGCCTTTTCAGCCGCATTGACTTCGTTTTCGTGACGCTCTTCAGCACTCTCGAATAAGGGACAGTTGCCTTGCTTGCCACCTCGCCTCTCATCGTTGAAATGATCATAGTCACAAGACTTGGAACAGACGTAGCACTGAACGTTACCACAGCCTTTGCGGGTGCAAGTCATCTTGTTGCAGCCTTCTTCCTTGATAAAAGGGGTGTCGCCTACCAAGACATAAGCAGTCAGTATAAGAAGGAAAGAAGCCTGAATGGACGTCATACACTTGTTGCATTTGCGGATGAGGGCTCTCGACATAGCCTCTTCTACCTCCCGCCGCAGGTCGACACCTCTTTCGATGGCTGCCTCCTGACAGGTTTTCGGTATGTGTGTTTCGTAGTTACAAAGCCGGCAACTCGTGATTTTGCAGTCGTCGTTTCGGCACCGGAATTCTCTGTCGACGTCAACTGGCGGATACTCCTCTGCATAGTGACAAAAGGGGCACTTGGCGAGGCCGGGTAGTGCAGCCATGCGCAGATTGGCCTCTTGTTCAATTCGATCGATTGCCGCAGTCAGTTTCTTATTCAAGAACTTCTGGCGCTCGCTATAAGAGAACCCAGCCGTACACCCAATCATGGACATGCATTCAAGTTCGTACTTTGAAAGGCCAATTTGTGTCTCTGCGTGTCGGCGGGCGCAGTTGATACAGAAAGGCTAAAAGGGGGTTAGCCAGAGTTTTCTTGCTAACACAGAGCAACCCATGACATTTCCCAAATTTACAGAAGCCTTTTTAAATATAGTATAGTTGAAATGGGGGACACTTACGTGAGGATCATCGCCTTGACAATAGACGAGTCTGTTCCATGGAGTATCGATAAAGCAACACCCGCACTCAGTTACTTCTCCTCTTGCATCTGCCGACTCAAGGTTCATCCTTTCGGCCTCCTCGGCCAATGCTTCTGATCGACGCTTTTCAACTACATCCCACTGCAGTAATCGAGCAGCCTCGAGTTCCTTCATCAATTCTTTCTCCCAGTCGTTGGAGCAGGTTTGTATGGACGCGTCGATCCTCTCTTTTCTGTATCGCTGTACCGGCACTGAGGGTGTCTTCTTCAATTTCCAAGGCAATGGGTGATGGTCGCTTGCCTGATTGATGGCAGTATTGATGGCAATAAATGCTGGGAAAAGGCGATTTCCGTTGTCAGAAAGGGTTTGTTGAATGACCTTGACTGGTACCAGTGGGAAATCTCCTGCGATCATTTGCTTGCTGTGTCAAAGTTAACTGGATAGCTCTCAACCCTAATCTCGGTCATGCTGGCACGAAGCTCTAACACCAAAAGCCACCCACCTAATCACGGATGATATGCGGTCGAAAGGGGAGATAAACTTACATAGTGGCCATTTGGGTACTCTTCGGAGCAATGACTTGTCCTTCAAGGTTACTGTATTTGCGCTTCGCTTCGGAGAGTCTATTCTGTAGTTTCTCGACTTCGTCTTCGTCATCTTGTCCCTCGGTTGTGCGCTTCCTCTTGCCGATGGCCTGTTTCGATCGCTTTGCCTTTTGATATACTTGCCCAGACTCTTGGAGATCGAGGAGATGATTGATCACTTCATGGGGGACGAATGAGAGAGGCCCAGCAATCGTCTGGACATAGTCGAGACAGATGTCGGGAAATAGAGCAGTAACTTCTTGTATGCAAGTATCTTGTAGAGGCGGAGATGATTCTTCTGTCTCGCTTTCGGGATCCTCCATCCTCGTGATGGTGAAGTTCTTTGGCTCTTTGTTCACAAACAAAAGTTGAAGCCTAGGTTTGATTATAACGGTTAGAAATGATATGAAGACAGAGGATTCATAGTCTCGAAGAGCCCTGCTTTTTGTTTATGATCTGGCGGTGGATCGATCTGTATCACTTCCATTCCGCGAGCTTGTGAATGATGTTGCCGCCAGCTGACACTGCTCGAGCAGATGTCCTTCACAAATAAATGCTCTGGCAGGTGCAAAGGCATATGTAGTAAAGAGAAGATGCAGTGGCAGTGGGGGACAGAAGGAGTTAATTGCGACAGTGATTCAACACTTGCAAGGACTGTCACATAAGTATAGTACTAAAGATGTTGGCATCGCACCTTCGCACCAACCTTCACTTTCACTCCGAGACGATGGCCTCTTCCACTTTTCACGGCTCATCCGAAACAATTTCGTGCGCAAAGGCAAATGAGAATCAAGGTTCACCGTGAAGAGGTGACTGAAAGACAAGGGCGGCGTCTACGGTGATAATGACGCCACGGCTAAACACGAAAGCTTATGTCCATGATTGTAAGTGGCGCTCTTCTCTGGCGATGAAGGGATTCTGAGTAAGGTGTACGAGAAGCCAGCCCGCGACTTTGCGGCGTGAGGAAATTTTTGACTTGTTGTTTGTTTGTTCAAGAACATGAATGAGATAGAAGAACCTCGATGTTCTTACCTGCGACAAAGATACTGATTCTGTAGGTATTTCGGTGAATACTCAGCACAGTGGAAGCTGTGCTTAAGCTGCTCGATCGTATTTCGATTCGCTATAAGTGAATGATCGAGGCCGTATCGTGATGTTGAGATTGATTAATTCGACGTCGGTTGAAATGGTCGGTCGAGTGATGGATGAATTTAGAGAATAGAAGAGAAGAGAAGGTTAAAAGGCGTTTAGGTTTCTCGCTTATAATAGACGGGAAGAGAGAGAATGAATGGCCAGCTCCTTCTATCCCTTCTTTGTGCTTTATTCTAAGACTCCATCGGAAAATGGATGAAAAGCGATTAATCGATTGTTCAATGATCGCACTATCGCAGTTTGAAGCTGCCTCGTTTCAAACCCCCGCTCGCTTCAATAGAGTAGAGGTTCGCAGACAATGAAATGGAAGATGACAATAGGAAATAGGAACTATGTAAGGGGAGAGAAGAAGTTAAGAATAGAGAGTTAGAGGGAGGCGCAATATGCCAGAGGGAGTGATATGTTCAAGGATTAATTCATCAACCATGGGGTCCAAGATTCATAATGTTGGTATAGCTTCATGAGAAAGTAGGCAGACGCTCACGAGATGCGGAGTAAGAGTCAGACGAGATGGGAGCTGAGCGAGCGAGCGAGCGAGTGACGACAAAACCAAGATATAGAATAGAGGCTACAACACTCTTTGATTGGAGTTTACGAATTCGACAGAGACATGCAGGAGAAGAGTCAGTCTTGATGATGGAGTAATTCAAGGGACAAGGAAGCCCAAGTTCAGAAAAGATGACGGGCGAAGCCTTGGGTCTCGTGATGGATGGATGGATGCAATGTATTGGTTTGTAGGTTGGTAAATTCATAAGCTGTCGCACTTGGGTATGATACGATGCGACATGCAATTTGAATGAATGGTAGCATTAGTCGTCTAGCCTGCACCTAGAGCTTGCCTTAGGTTGCTTTGCCTTGGTACAACAGAGCAAAGCAACGACGGCGTTTGTGGCGTATAAGGTTTCTTCGGAAGGGATCAAAGTCAGTCAGTCAATCAATCAAATCAATCAATGAGATGGCTTCCGTCAAATGTAGGTGGATGGATGTGGATGGCCAGATGAGGGGTTGTCAGTTGGTCATTCAGCTGAATATACAACCCAACAACTCCTTGCCAGGTCAAATATCTGCCCATCATTTTAGCCTAGAAGGTCTATTCGCATAATCCACACACTCTAGGAGTAGATGCATTAGTCTACCGCATAATGCTGAGGAAAGCATATTTACATGATACTGTATAAGATCGATTCTCCAAGAACTATTCAACTGTCTGTCCTCTCGCTCTATAAACTTGCCACCTCAAGCTCTCCTAGGTAGTTGAAACAAATCAGTTTCTAGTTACACAAAATTCATATCCCATCAAACCGCCAATGCACAGATCCGTGGTTTGTCGGCCCAAGAGTTAATACTCATTTCGAGAGCCTATAAACCTCGCAAACGGATACTTCCCGTCCCTGCAAACTGACAACTGACGTGTATTAATTATCATTATTCGTACCATCACATCACTCTCACATAACACAGTGAGCCGAACCGCTCAGGGGCTAGTCCTACTCATCGTCCTCAGATTCAGCATATGAATCTCCTACCTCATCTTCTTCTTCCATTGCATCTTCATCATACGAGACAACTTTCCGTCCGCTCCGTGTTGACCGTCTCGTTGCACGTCCAGCTGAAGGCTTTTCCTTGGCCACTTTTGCTGGACCTCGCCTCCTTGTCCTTGCACTCGTTTGTGGCGGCTCAGACTCCGCCTCGGATTGCGGATCCAGTTTGGGTTCCTCTTCCTCTTCCTCTTCATGCTTCAGCCCTGCATCAAACTTTGTGTTCACCGGCCGAGACTCCGGTTCAGACTCCGACCCTGCTTCGACCTGCGATTCCTTGCCCGGTTCTTGTTTGCTGTCAACCTCCATCTGCATCATTACTCTTTGCTGATCTGCGCCATCGTGCTCCATCACTAGTCCATCATCGCCGTCGTCGTCCTCATCAACAGCAGGGAAGAAGCTCGAAGTGTGGTGAGCCTGGGGTTCCTCTTCCTCCTCTTCTTCCACATACCCCTCTGGAAGAAATCCGCCAGCCATCTCTTCATCCTCAACCTGTGGTTGCTTCTTGGTTTGGACCGAGTCTCTAGCATGTCCAAACACTGATATTTCATCAGTAATTTCGCCATACTCTTGTCGAATTCGTTCCGCAATACGCATGCCCATGAGGAAGCGACGCCATTGAGCTAACGCCTTCTTTCGTCGTTTCTCATCTTCTTTTCGTGCGCGTTCTGCCTCATCCTTCTCGAGCTCTACCATCACCATGTCGTGGTTCTCTTCAGCAATCACAACTCCCTGGATAACAGGCACAGCCATTCGGTGACCAAATTCAAAGTCCACAACGGCTTCCGCATAGTCGATTTGTAACTTTTTACAAACACGCATAGCCCCTCGGAAGGGTACATGCACAGCACCCTCAGGGCACATATGTTCAGCAAACAAATCGATATTCCTGCAGCTCGGTTAGTAGATTCGAGTTTGAAGAAGCAATCGGCTACATACCCGTATTCGTTCTTGGGGATAACGCCGTCCTTGATCGGTGGTGGAATGATCCAGTCGGTTTGCTCCCAGCTGTAGAGCCCCTGCAGGACCTTTTGTCCTGTGGCAGCTTCTGCTTCCATGATTTCTCGCCGGCGATTTATCGTAGCTGCGCGGTAGGGTACCCTCTTCAATGGCTGCTCTCCTGCCAGTGGTGCACGTCCCTGTTTATGCCAGGTCTCGGCACTCTTGACGTTCAGAACATCGCTGCGAAGGAACACGTCCTCATCCTCGACCTTGCCACCTTTGCCCTTGTTTTTGAACACTTTGACACCCTTGGCCCCAGGCCTGAGTGCCTCTTCACGCTTCAAGTGCCGCTCGAGGACAAACTCCTTGGACTGCTTGTAGTATTGTAATGTCTCCTGGCCCTCCTTGATCTCCTTCTTTTCGGGCTTGGCAGGCTTCAGATCTGTTGCTTCTTCCATCTCATCGACTTCGGTTACAGGGTGGTCTTTGCTGCCTCTCAGATATCCAGATATTGCGGTTTTGAACCAGTCAAACTGGTCATATCTCTTAACCTTCCCATGACGGTTGTAGACGGGGACTTTCTCTGGTGTCATCCTCACTCCCTTGGTACGGCCAGGAAGCATATTCCGTTTCAGATATCTGACTGTGACATCCTTCCCGGTCCCATCTCGTGAATAAGCCACGATGTATGCCATGATTTGACGTGCTTTGTCGGCCTTGGCTCCACGGGGTTCCAATGATTCGATGAGATCTCGGTTTGTTCCAACAACGTTTTTGACGATAGCATCAACGGGCAGGCATTTGTTAGTGACTGGTGATATGACTTCTGTCCAATAGTGTGGGAACTCCATGTCGGCGTCATATTTTTTGGCCGGTGTCTTGGCCGATGTCTTCCTTGGCGTGACATCCATCTCAACGATAGATTCATCATCAGTGTCCTTATACTCAAGCTCCAGATCATCTGGGTCGCTTTCAACCTCAGTTTTGGGTCGTGTTTTCCGTGTCGGATTTCTCGTGGGCTCTTTCGTTTTCTTCGTTGACTTCTTCTTTGCCGTAACCGCGCTCTTTGTCGCCGTTTTCGCCTTCTTCTCGGGTGTCTCGTTTATCTGATCCGCACTTACACTCTTTTCTGGCTCGGCCTCCTCAAGTTTATTCCATCCAAAGCCTAGACAAGGCAAGTTTGCGACCATTCGTGCTTCGAGGTCCAGTCCACGAAGCAAAGCTGTAAATAGCTGGGCGCCTACGTCTCTACTCCCTTCACATGTTCGCGCATGATGTCTGAAATCCTCCAGGTTTGAGATCTTCTCACCAAATTGCTCTGGGTCATGAGATTCGACTTTTTGCGCTTTCGTAAGACGGTCTAATCGCTCAAGGGACATATATCCCCATTTCCTCAACCCTGGCGCTGTGACTCGAAAACGCTGTTTCCACCAAGCTGACAATGTTTGCATAAGTCGAAATAGGGGGTCTCCATGACTCATATCAACAGCCCCTTCTTCCAATCTCTCAGCCTCTGCACCCCAGTCGCGCGACTTTCGATCCTGGACCTTTTTGCCTTTACCTTTCGATTTTGCGTTTTCCTTTGCTGGCTTCTTAGGTGTCGGCTTCTTTTCTAGACCACTGTTGCGCCTCCATCGATCCACCTCATCCCAGAGTCTTGGCGGAAGATGAGAGATCATAGTCGCCTGGACTTCGGGATCACAAAGCCATGCATTTCGGATAGCATTGTGCCATAGAAGCAACATGACGTGAACGCAGTGTGTGGCATGCCGGACCTTCCTCTCACGTTTTGAGGGTCCCTTTCTGTCGAATGTGTTTGTGAGTGAGATTCTGGTGTCCCTTGTGAGTGTCAATTCCAAGTCCCCGGAAGTTACCGGGGCGTCTGGTAATGGTGCAACTGGTGCTTGGACATCCTCAAACTCAATGTCTTCATCCTCAGAATCTTCTTCCTTGCCTTTCAGTTGATTTGGTGGCATAACGTCCTCGAATTCATCTTCTGACAACGATGTCAAAGAGCTTTCATCATCATCATCATTTCCGAATCCATGGAGGATCGAGTTTGAGTTAGGTGTCGCAGATGCGTCCAAATCATCGTACAGTGTTGCTTTGCGCCGTGATGAATCGGGCTTCTCTTTGGCTGCTTTTGATGCTCTGCCTTCTCCAGGTGGTGGCGACTCACGCAAGCGTTTGCGTGGTACTAAAGGAGGCATCTTGATATCATAAATAAGATTGTCGCATTCTGCGAAGTAGGATGAATTTAAGCTTGATGAACGGCTTAGACTAGAGCGTGGTGGGTACTTCGTCATAGAAGACGGGAGCACGGGAGGCAGACGCGCAATCACGTGGTTCGATTAAAGAGGCAGTAACATGAACTTGGGCTTCAAGTCAATCGTATCAGTAAGCAAAACGTTTATTTGTTCGAAACTTAAGTAATATAATTAAGAGTTTATATTCACCAAATAGCACCTGCAGTGTTTTTGACTTGGAAATCTTTGGTAGAAGACCTACAAATCACCGTGGGAACACGTACGATAGGCAATTCAGTATTCTCATGTTGGAACACAGATGAACCAATGGAAACCACGAATATGGTAGGAGACCATTTTCACAGTAAACAAAAATATTGATATCATTCCTCTTGGTATCAAATTGCCCAACGCCAGGCCATGTATCCCTATAGGTAGCTAATCCATAAAACACAACGCTCACGCCTCAATCAGGTCTGGGGTAGCTGGTCCAACGCCACGCAACAAAACCACAGTATTTCCACTCTGCAACGCCGTTCCAACCTTTTCGTTATACTCCAAAATTCTGCCTCCTTCAACGTGGAAGACGCGAAGCTTGTCCTTCTCGTCTGAGCTTTGGTTGTTGATGTTTTGTACCTGCAGGCTCCTTGCTGCAGCATCCAGAACTCGGCCTACAACCCAATCCTTGTTGTAGAAGAACTCCCCCTTAGGAAACTTGGCTTTTGCTGTTTCTGCCTCGGCTTCCACATAGATATACACCCTCTTCTCAACAGGTGTCTTGTCGTCGCCCTTGGCTGTCTTCTTCAGGTTGTTTACAGCAATGATACGTGCTGAGGCAGAGCTTGGCTTTGGTTTGGGCAAAGCTCTGCCAGCTTGCTCTTTCTTTGCTGTACCCCATGCGCGCAGTTTGTCGAATGCCGTCTTTGTCTTCTGACCAACATCGAATTGCATAGGCCGAGCCCCGATGGGTACTAAATTACTGCAATTGTGGTCCTCCTTTAGACGATGCTTCAGGCAGTAATCTCGGTTACACGTTTGACAGTGTACACCAGGCGTCAAAGATGTGCCGATTGTGGTCTTGCATTCAGGCGATGCGCAAGGCTTTTGGGACACCTTGTCCCTTAGAATCTTTCCTTGTCCAATGCTTGGCTGCGCAAGCTCTCTCTGGCGCTTTCGCTCCGCCCACGCACCGGGATTTGTACATTTATGTGCCCCTTCGCTTCGGTGATCGAGACAAAATGTCTTTCGGCATGACTGACAGAAAAAAGGGAGAAAGTCGAGTTGGTTGCAGTAGTCATATTCGCAGTGCTTGCCGATCAGCGCGGCTTCGTTTTTGTCGTGCATTTCGACGTAGCTAGTATCCTGAGCTTCTGGTGTGTTTGATGACGCCATGGTGAAGGTGTTTCGTATTTAAAAATGTTAAAATGGCGGTGTTACCCGTAGGCAGAGGTGTTGTCGCAAGTGCTCGTATCAAGATGACAGATACAAAAGGCGGCGGCGAGGAAACGTCTGGAAGGGTCCGTGTATGACCAAGCTTGGCAGATTACGAACGAGTGTGCCACAAGCTTTGACACGTCGAAAGACAAAAAGAATGAGGCGCGATTGCAGAGAGAAGAACAGAACAAGGCCCCGATGGGCTTTTGTGAATCATGCACATAAATCACGAGTAAGAATCACAGGCGTGTTAATAACTTTCAAGCTCCGTTGGCGCACAGCCACTTCCAGGGACCAGGTTGATCGCGGGGTCTCCTCCCCACCACGGAGTTCATTGTTGCATATTTGGATTGGTATAAGTCAGTAACCGACTCTGCGTCGCATACAAGATTCCTATATATTGATCGAACATTGAAACACGAGTTGAGCGCCTTCCACCTCCCAGAACGCCAAGTTTGTGGTGCAGAGTCTTGTATTACAGTTCCTTCTCCTTTGGCCGCTTGGCCAGCAAATCCTCACGACCTGTCGTAGGCGCATTGCCTACTGCGGCCTTACCCCCAAATGTCTCGAATCCTTTGTGGAACGCCCACTCAACAGCGTTCTCGACAGGCTCGTCGAACATAGCTGGGAGGAAGGGAACCACTGCGAGGCCCAGACCAATTGGAGCCCATGTCCTGATGACCTGGTTCTTCATGTTCTTCATGGCTCGGCCAGAATACCTCACAACACTATGAATAGTGAAAGCAGGCAGTCCCATACTCGCGACACTCTGGAAGATTGCGCGCTGGACCATGACAGTGCGATAGTCTTCAAGCGGTGGCACCGTACCCGGCTCGATCGGGCGTGTCTCGGTGGCAGGAAGGCCAGTAACCTTCTCTTGTCTAGGAGAGAGTTGCACCTTGGGGTTCAACACACGCTGATTGTGCCAGTATGACTTGTAACCTTCATACGAAACATCGCCAATAAGATACAACCAAGATACACCGTAGGCAGCGCGAACGAGGTTGGGGTGAGCTACGGGACGGAACGACTCTCCTATATCTGAGGTGTAGGCGACGTATCGATGCGCAGATAAAAGAATTGTTCTAATTCGCGTGGCATAGGCAGCATATCGAAAATTGGTGTCGGTTGAGTCGGGGCCACTATGTGCGATTAGCTCGTGTTACACATTTACAAAGGTACACATACTAGCCATCGGTTATGTCGTCAAAGACATTTCCGTCTCTTCCTGTCTTGTTGACAGCTTTCTGAACACTCTCTGGTAGCTGATCCTTTGAGGGAAGCTTCTCAACGATAGTGTCCTTGATCTGAGCTGCTTCGGTCTTCTTCTCCTCCGGCTTGGGGTCTTTTGATTTGCCCCACCAAGACATTTCAAAGATTGAACAGAAAATCAAAGACAAACTAATGAGGTTGTTTGAAGAAAAGAAAGATGCGATAACAAGCCTTCAGAGCAGTAGAAGCTTCCATTTTGATGGCCCGCCGCTACCCTACCTTTACCCACTGGGATCTATGGCTGCAGGCTTCTGCAAGAAAGTTGATAACCCTGGGTCAGTGACGTTGCTTCCGTAGATCCGATTGATCCCGATCAACGATATGATCCGGAGAATAACCGCACACTCTGGGGCAGTTCATCCACTTTAGGCCTGTAATTCCAGGCACAAGCTCTAAGTTGAATTTGAGAGCTCGGCAAACTATCTCAACCGCGACATTCGAACATCCACCCATTGCCCTTCGTCATCACCCAATTCGTCTTTTTCGGTCTTGTCTAATTATTCACAATGGCTGGTATCGCTTATTACACCATTGCTGGCAAGCAGGTCGCCGGTCACTACGTTCGTTCAACCTCAATTGCGCTCGCCGCAGACTAGAGACTTCTAAAACTAACATGAATGACAGCTCGCCGTGGCCTGGTTGGGAACTCTCGTCGTCGGTACCAAGCTTGCCCTGTCTGGCGGCTCCTCTAAGCCCACCGCTACCGCTACTCCTCCCATCAACGCCTCCAGCTCCGACGAGGCCGACTTCATCAAGTGCGCGAATTCACCCGACGATGCTGAGCCTTCATGGACTAACCCGATACCAGGAACTTCCTTGATCAGCAGGACAAGAAGAACTAGACGGTTGAATCGAAGACGATGGTTGTATGGTTGTTTGGATGCGGTGTACGTTTATAAGTCATGCAGACATGAGCTGTCCATCGAGCCGGACAGCCGAATTCAGATACCAACAAAAGCCGATTTCGCCAATTGTGACATAACGCAGTACTATTCCCCCTTGTGATGCACTCGATGATACGCATATCGAGTCCGACTGTGATTTATGCGGAGCTGGGTGATCCCGATACCGAACACTGGCTCAGAATATTTCCTTCACATCTCTATGAACCGAGGTTTCCTGGAGCTGCGTAATGGCCATGATGTGAGGCAATGCTAACTGTCATGTTACCCACGATAATTCGCAGCCAGTGCAGTTCCGTTACTTGAAGAACTTGACCTTACCCTTCATTTTCATCTCCACCTGACACACAGAACTCGAATATTCCTGGAATACCAACCTGGGGGGCTTAAATCAGGTTGAACTGATTCTCTCAGCAAAGAGGATTTCGTTGTTGATTCAGCGCCCTATTGTCTGTCATGTTAGTGCGTCGCATTTCAACCTGTGCCTCATCGATCGATACCAACCAACTGGATCTGTTGAGACTTCAGCATCGCTACATGAATGTTAATGGACCCGTATGCCGACTTGAATATGGAAAATTGTGTTGATACTATTGGGTAAACTGCATTACCGAGGGATATACAGCTGATTCTCTGCTATGGATCATACCTTGGATATGGACCTGAGAAATGAGGTAAAGTCCCTTTTCTGTTGCATGAATATAGAATTCGCCATGGCAAGATCGACAAGGTGAGTTTGTCTCCCCTTGTTCAATCTTGCCATAAGGAGCAATGTTCTCGAAGCAAGGATGCATGTAACAAAGCGTAAGTGCAAGGCAATCGTATCGCTATGTTCACAGCCTTACACTGCATGTGGTCATCATTAAATCTATAATCTCTATTACACACTTATGTGCGGTTCTACTTTTGGTAAATACAATAACGCTAAGATACAAAGTAAAATGAGCAGTATCAGTTCGATACATACTCCAAAGATGCTTGTCCTGTTCGACCGAGCTGCCACATTCTCAAGGCAGACATCACCACCATTAGAGACCACCGATCTCCAAAGTTCTGCTGCATTGCTTTATCAGAGAACTCAATCTTGCATGTCTTCCATGCTGCCTCCTTCCACGAGGCCATGGCGAGGTATTCCAATGGCGCCTTCATATCTCCAGTTCGGTAAAGCTTGAATTCGTGACAGTATTTAGGATCCTTGGCCGCTTGGAGCGGTGTCATGGACCACTCGAATTCTTCCCGAATAAAGCTGCAGTCTTGGACTGTCTCTGCTTGCTTTGTTTCTATTGCCCATCGGAATACCACGCACTGCTCGGTTTCATCGTATAGTGCCTGTACGATTTCAGTGGCAACCCTAGTATCGATGTCTGACCCAGGGGCTGCGGATACATTGACAATACTCTCTACAACACCTGGGTCAGATAACCCGTCCCGCAGCGTCTCGCCAGCTGCTGCTAGTATTTCGTCCTTTCCGGTTGGTCCGTTGTGGAGGAGAAGACAAGGCGAACCTGAGTTTCGGCCAAAAAGTCCAGAGTGTTCTGATACAGCAAACATCTTTGAGCAGCCATCATTGCCGAGAAAGAAAGTTCGCAGTTTGTTCCATTGCCAAGATATCTTCAAGGTTTTTGGTATTGGGCGATATGGTGTATCCACACACTCGCTGACCAGGGCTGTACTGGATGGAGTGAGGGAGTTGAAGAGGGCAATTCTTGTGGAGGAAGATGTCGTCGAAGCAGCCGTTGAAGACCTAGCGGTTCCTGGAACTCTATAATGTGGCATGGAGCCATCGTGGTCTCCCAGTGTGCTGGCCATGGTGGATGATTCTTCTGGTTGTTCTGGAACAAGTCGACGACAAGGGTAGGGTTTGATGTATAGCGTGTAGCGGTGGCAATATTTGCGGATTGACGACTACCTACTGTACATATAAGTCGTTATCTCAATCAATGTCTGGCATGTTGAAGAGCAAGAAAGGGGACTGAAACGGCTGTAGAGGAACAGAAATATCACACAGTCAGCCAGTCAGGTACATATCGACTTATTAGTGTACCGGCAGATCGCCATGCAGACGAAACTAGTGCGCACATGTTCAAAGTTCTCGAACTCTAAGCCAAGTGGCGACATGGTTCATGCTCAGAGCGGGTATACCTGATCAGGAAGTTGACGGACATATCGAGAGCCGCTAGTCATGTAATCAAGTCTCTAGTTTGCTTTATCAGAGTCTGACGAGTTCTTCTGGGGATAGCTTAAACGAGTCTTTATGATAGTTTGAGGTTAATGCTTGTAAGGAGTAGGCGAACGAGGAAACTATTAGAGCAGCATCTCTGTTTTTCTTCAACCTGATCATCCGTTATCCGTTGCACTGCCTAATAGAGAGTCAGTGCGAGACCGGCCCGGAGGTTGTATTCCTGTCCATCCCGTTTCTACCCACTCTCAACGGTTGGCCGAGTTATCCAACTGACACATGAGCTCCTGATTTATACTCAACTTGGCATGAATCTTTAGTGACAGCTCACAGAGTTTGAATATGACTGTAACCATACGACTTGGCGAATCGTCGTAGCGAGGAGTTTATCCTTTTACGAGGACTGATCATGATATGCATGCGTTTTCCAATTAGGTAACATGGAAATTTGTGCCGAAACGGAGGAAACCCCATGTCCAATTATCCTGGCATGCCTATGGCCGTGATCCTTGTGGACATCCATGCTTCTATCAAAGTTGCTGAAACAATCAGGACTAGCGATTCAGTCTAGTACGTTATCGAGGAGGCATATATCGAGGCCATTAAGAGCATTCAATATCATGAATATTATTGAGACAAGAATACAAGAGCACAGGTGAAGTTGATATGAAGACGTAATCAAAGGCCATGGCTTTATTTCAACGATATTCTAATCTCAATACTGTCATGATCATGATCATTTTTGCTATACAATACGATTACCTAATCCTCCGTTTGTCGCACCTGCCCCCTAATTCATTTGCCTACACATCACGTGACGTCCATACAAAGCTTACTCCTCCCCCGCCATCGACATTCTCTCGCCAAACAGCCATCAACTATCTCCTTAATCGAAACATCCCACCTCCCCCAAGCGCACGTCCTTCGGTTACAACGATAGCCTCACCATCTCCAATTCAATACCCCCAAAATCGAGAACCCACACCTTAAGGAGATAGCCGTCCTGGGCATGTCGGCTGCTACCACCGACCCGGCCCTTGTCGCCGCTCCCGCCCCGGACCTCTCTCCTGTTGATGCCGTCGCTCAGGTAGGCCACGATGTCACCTCCGTTGACCATGTCGGTGATCACGTCGGCGCATCGCCAAAGGAGAGACATTCCCTAACACTCGACCAACGCCGTGCTCTGCGTCGCTGGGCGAATAGCCAGCCTATCCGTCCCTCGCACAAGGCTTGTATCGAATGGTTCTTTTCTCAGTATGGCCAGCAAATAAGCCAATCCACCGTGTCACACTCGCTGTCACCCAAGTACTCGCGTCTAGATAGTGACAATCCTCAACTTTCGGGTTCCCGTCTGCGCTACGGAAACTGGCCTGATGTAGAGAAGCTCGTCCTTATATGGTATCAACAGGTACAAGCATCTGGTCGCCAACCTACCAATGAAGAACTTGGTGACAAGGCAAAATCAATATTCGGACAGTTGCCGCGATATAAGGATGAAAACCCTCCTGAATTTTCTCCAGGTTGGATCCATCGTTTCAAGAAACGTTATGGTCTCTTGATAAGACGACAGCGCCGTCATGGGGACGGAGGAATCAATGCCGCCGAGGATATAGGATATTTGGCAGATTGTGTCCCTCGTTACATGAGCGTCGCCCCTGACACAAGTCCAGCTGCGATCAAAGAAGAAATTATACGCGCTGTTGGTATCGAGCCCACCCTCAACACATGTGCCTTGGTGCGCGATGAAGTGGTCCGTAGAATGACAGGCCCTCCTCAACAGGTGCCTCCTCCACCACCTCTCATGATGACGCATGATCCCCCTGCAATCCCCCCTCCTCAGCCTGACCAGCCCATCTACGCCGATGATGATCCTGAAGTTGTCTTACAGAATGCTTTGCGCCAGCTTCAGCAAGAAGAACAAGCTGCCGAAGAACAGGCAGCGGCTGTACGAGAAGAGCGTGAACGCGCAGAAAGAGCAGGACTTCAGCCTAATAGCATTCTGACCACACCGACTGTGCGTGCTACTTCCGTTCAGCGCTACACGGCCACACCAGCGCACGATATGACTACTGACCTCACGCTCACTCCAATTACTTCGGAGCAGCCCATGACTCGAGATGATCGTCCCGTGCGATGCCCATTCTGCGTTAATCAACGAATGCTGCGATCCATCAAAGAGGCCGTGGAACATCTTTCCACTCACGTTGTTGTCTGAGAGCTTGTTGGGGTATCTAAAACCGCCAGGCTTATGAGGGAGTACTGGTTGACGACTTGGGTTTTTGGAGTTTCGGTAGACGAATAATGTGGAGTTCGGGTTATAAATGTATGTGAAGACGCACCTCAGTTCAGTTATCTTTCTAGGGAGGCAATGGCACATGAATCCTTGCGATCTGCTCCCTGTTTCGTTGATTTTCTGTGAATGGCTCACATATGTCTATGCTATATAATCCAACATGGTCGTTGCCTCGTTTATAACAGTCCGCTTGCTTTCAATGCCTTCATAACCTCATCACTATCCTTCTGAGCTTGAGACTTGTGCTTCTTGTGCTCGCCCGGATCAATATAGTTCACCCAGAACTTAAGACCTTCCAATCCCTCCTCACGACACAACTCTCCTCGCTCTTCCGCCATCAGCAACTCTTCCTCTGCAACACCAAGACTCCAGCCAAAGCGTTCCGCAGCTTCTTGGGCTGTAACTCCTCTGCCAAACTCTTTCCAATCCCAAGGCACTTCGCGCTCAGGGGGAAACTCGTGAAGATCGCGTAGCCATGCAAGTAGGGCCCTGACCGTGGTGCCGTCGGTACGGTCACGACCCTGAACAACCATAACACCACTGCGGAAGGTGCGCAGACGAACAGGCAGTTTAAGCTTGCTCCAGAGCCGGGCGGCTTTCTCGAAGTCTGCTGGGCTGACGAGTTCGACGCCGCCTCGAGCTCTGTTGAACATAGCCCAGAGATCGACGAGCGTTATGATACCGCCCGCCTTCTTAAGGACTCCTCTGGAGTCATCGGTGAGGAACTCAGCTAAGTTTCTGGCGAGCTCCGACAAATAGAGTGACTCGGAGCTCCCACCACCGACAATATCCTTTGTCGTGACTAGGCCAAGTTGGCTGGCCGATTCCGCTAAAATCGCGTTCTCTTCGGCTGATGCGTTGCCTTGCCCGTTATTTGTTTGTCTTGCGAATCGCTCCGCAAGTGCGATGACCTCCTTAGCAGATGACATAAGAGCCTCCAGATCCTCGAAAGCACTGCCTATTAGTAACTCATTGTTTTTGCGCATGTTCAATCCAAGTTGTTCTAGACCAGCAATACCGACTCCCTTCTGTCGCCCTCCCAGAGTGCCGGCCGGTGTGTCTTTAGATCCTTCGTCCGCAGCTCGGCTGTTTGGAGCAGGGGGTGCATCTCTGAGAAGCCATTTACGTTGGGTCATAGAGCCCTTGAGTCGCTCATAGAATATTTTCTCGCCACCTCTTCGGAAAGAAATTTTGACACTCTCAGGGGCATCACTTCCATTCTTGTTGATTTTGCTTGGGTCCAGTACAGGCCCCGGGGAGTCCGTCCTTATGGTATCAGCTGTGGAGCTTTGCTGGATAGATGATGGGACATTTTGCGAAATCAGGGGCCCACCACACATCTCGCAAGTCATCAAGGAAGGATGATTTGAGAAGGTACAACGAGGACATTGGAAAGATGCAGTCGAGTTTGAACCATTGGTAGCATCGGGCAAGTTTGAAGCTGGCTTTTGGTCCAGATTTTCAGATAAAGGTCGAGTGCCAGAGTGAGCTGGCCGTAACGGGAGAGGTGCATTCAGAGCTGGTGAGGCTACTGAGCGATTGCTTGCGCCAGAGATTGCAGCCTTGAGAACGTGAGATAAGGTCGGCTTGATCCCGCATGCTAAACATGGTGGTAGAGGTGTATGGGCGTTTGCCGAAGTAGGATCAAAGTTCGAGGGGACCGGATTTGAGAAACTGCATATAGTGCAGACCCATGTTGCGCTTGTCACAGCTGGAGGCTCAGGGGGTGCTCTATAAGCAGACTCGGAAATTCCTGGCGATCCAGATAGATTTCTCTGTGCACTTGATGCGTTCGACAGAGCACGACTGTGATACGATGATCGCTTTGGAGGCTTTGGTATCAGAGTCACCTTAGCTGATGACTTCAGAAAGCCAGCATAGAATTCGTAACGTTCCACATCTTTCAGGTCCAAAGCAACGGAGTGCGTACGGGGCTCCTGCTTATCAACATAACAGACCCGATGTGAGGTTAAGTAAACCTGCCCATTTTGTTGATTGGGGAGCTTGAATTTACTATTATCGTGTTAATATCAGAGCTTCAACTTGCATCGCCAAGAACAACCTACCCCTCATACAAGCCTACGTTGTCCTGAACAAATAGGAGCACCTCATCTGGAAGATACGAGGGCCGTAGTGCTGTAGTAAGGTCTATATGTTTCAGAAACATCCGTCATGAGGGTGAAACTGAAGCAGAGAGAAGTGAAAGCTGTGGCTGTTGATGAATGGATGAGCGATGATGCAAGTGGATGATGACTTGCAGCAAACAGAAGCAAGCTAGGAGACAGGCGCTTGATAAATCTTCCAATCAGAGAACAGTAACCAAGAGTCGGTATAAGACGGTCTTTGTTTCGACTCCAAGTAGATTCAAAGGTTACAGTGAAGTACTTCAGTATCATATGAGTCTTCCAAGGCACGCGAGACTTGATCGGCCCCTCCAGTTGACGGCCCCACTGTTGACGATAAGCTTCCATTCGGCGGATCCCTAAACCTAAACTACCAACGCTCACTGAGGTTCCGGCAGCGCTTTCTACCGGAGCACAGTTTTTCCGTGAATAGGCAGGGACCACACCGCCACCGCCAGTCTCTGACCACGAAAATACCTCCCAAAGAAACCTACCTCCACTCTCACTCCAATCAAGGACCCTTCATCATCATCTCGCCTTTCTGCCATTATCCGCCCGGCATCATCTTTTTTCTCCCCAACCTGTTTGTGAAACTAACCATTCGTACCGCTAGCATTTCGACGCCATGATGCCAACCTGGCCAGCGCAGCAAGCGCCGAGCGTAACTCAGCAAACCGTACCGACATCCTACGCCTACCCAACGAGTAAGTCATCTCCCGGACTGCCCGCAAACGACATCCCCTTTTCTCGACCGACAGCCCTGACACGAAATGCAGATCCAGCCTTCATTCCCGTAGCCGTTCGTCAAGGATTCAGTCAGTACGCAGCCCCAGCTGCTCCTTATGCCGGCTACGTGCCTCCACAGCCCCCGGTGCAACATCAAATGTCTCCCGCTTCTCCCGTGAATGGTGTAACCCCGACACCTGAGCAAGCCAAGTCCAAAGTGGACTGGCCCGAATCTGTTCGGAGCTATGTTCAAAGATCTTTCCTCCCCCAAAATGACGAACCCACCGTGTCTCGCGCGGAAATCGAGGCTAAGCTTAAGAGCACCATCGGTACCGCAAAAGAAAACGGCACGTTATACACACTCGATTGGGACAACATGCCCCTCCCACAGGCCCTAGTCAAAGCCGAACGTGATGCGGATATCAAGCAGAGTTTCCATGTTCCCATCAACTCCAAGAAGAGGAAATCTACCGATTTTGCCAGTAATGACAACTCCCAGCCCCCGTGGCGTACTAACTCGCGTTCTTCACTTGAGGACCGTATTTCCTATCCTTCCCCCGAAAAGCGTGCTTCCATGGACGAGCCCCTCCCGAAATCAAGTAAGTTCCAGAAGGAAGTCAACAAGCGCAAGCGACGGTTCGAGAACGAATACAAGTCGCTCAGATCGCCCAGTCCGCCTCCACCTTCATCTGGACCTATTATTGGCACATGCGAGATACTCGAGAAGAAGTATCTTCGCCTTACCGCCCCTCCAGTTCCGTCCAAGGTTCGACCTGAGCACATTTTGCGTCAGACTCTAGAACTTCTGAAGAAGAAGTGGAAGCGGGAAAGCAACTATTCGTACATTTGTGATCAGTTCAAGTCTATGAGGCAAGATCTGACTGTGCAACATATCAAGAACGACTTTACTGTTTCCGTTTATGAAATTCATGCCCGAATTGCCTTGGAGAAGGGGGATATTGGTGAGTATAATCAGTGCCAGACCCAGCTGCGGTCATTGTATGGCATGGGCCTAAAAGGCAACCCCATTGAATTCAAGGCGTATCGCATTCTTTATTTCATCCACACGGCCAACCGAACTGGATTGAACGACACTTTGGCAGATCTAACCACAGCAGAGAAAGGGGAGAAGCCGATTAAGCATGCTTTAGAAGTGCGATCATCATTGGCGTTGGGCAACTATCATAAGTTCTTCCAGCTTTACCTTGACACCCCTAACATGGGTGCATACTTGATGGACATGTTTGTTGTTCGAGAACGGCTTGCTGCGTTGTGCAATATTTGCAAAGCGTAAGTTCCGTCCATCCTCGTTGTTTTACTTGAACATGGTTTGCTAACTATCATACAGATACAAGCCGGACGTGAAACTTCGTTTCATCACTGAGGAACTCGGTTTCGAGTCTGATGCTGATGCAGCCCAGTTCATCATCGATCACCAAGGCCGACATCTGTTGGAAGATCGAACAGACTACATCGCGTTTTTGACCGGGAAAGCCGGTCCCCTATTCGAGGGCGCGCGCAGCACGGCGTTCCAAAAGGTTGATATCAAGGGCCAGATCTAAACCTTTACTGCTTCTTTCTCGGGTTCTTTCCTTTTTTCCTTTTTGCGTTGCGACTTCCATCGACGTCTCACGGCTTGAGACTTGACCGTCGTTATGTTTATCGACGAGACATGATGATACTTTCACACTTGTGATGCGTTTTCATTCATGTAGACAACTCGGCGTTTTATACCCCCATTTCTGCTTAGGTGGCAACGAAATGTCTTCTATTCTACTACGCACCACCTGAGGCTAGGCCTATGCATAAGTCTCTTATGCTGCTTTGCCTCGGACTTTGATCAATTAACCGTAGCCTCGATACCAGCTTCCATTCTATCGACCGAGGCGACACTTTTGCTGTACGACAAATCACAAAATTGGATGTTGGGTGGGAACTTAGACACAGTGGGCTTGATGGGAAGATTCAGACAGGAACTCAAAGTCATCTCGATCCTGGTACTGTTGGGGTCGGTAATTGGCCTGTGGAGTGTTGGGCAGTCATGTAATCGCCCGCTTTATCATTGCACAGTGAATGCATACTGGCCTCAATAGGAACCAGGATGAGATCGATGGATAGAGTCCCGGCGTTTCAGGGAGTTGTGGGTTGGTAATTCTTAACAAGTAGCAATTGATCGTATTCCAGTTTTTTTCTGCTTGAATGAATAAACGAAAAACCAATGCTCTGTTTTTATATCGTGTTGAAATGGAAGTGTCGAAGTTGAGCTGTTCTGCTTGTAGAATAGCTGTGAGATTGGGTAAGGTATATAAGACAAATATCTACTGGCCCGACTGGGAATGTCTGGCTGGACTCGGGGCGCAGTTGGCAACTGTTTCATGAGGCCCACTATGTGTGGGCCACACTGATCGATTGTTCGAATCCCAGGCATAACTACCACTTGTGGCGTCGTCCGGACGTCAACTATCGTGTTAAAATCACTGTGTTTAACTCCTACTGTTGAAACCCTGCATTGTCTGTGACAATCACCTAGGCCATCCCTTTGGGTTGAGAGCCGAACGCCTGTTGCAAGGCGTAAAACCGCAAATCAATGTGTTAAGGCCTTTGGTAGTGCCTTTAAAGTACTGTGGAGAAAAGAACGCCCTGTGTTGCCCATGTATGAGACTCTGGCTAGACGTTCCCCCTTTTTTGGACTTTTTATTCAATACTTGAGTTGTCTTTTCTCTTGCTGTAAAAAGCCTGTATGTATGTTTTTACCCTCTTGTTTCTTTCTTTTTTATTCCATGGACCCATCCCGAAGACTGATAGTCGATGAACAAGTGTGAGTGTCTGTCGCATTCACTTGAGGCCAAATGACTGCCACACGACATCACCATGGTGGTTTGGATGCCAATAACGGAAAAGACCTTCTGTGCTCCGAGACTCGGCAACAATGACAAACCCCTGCTGAAAGAGTAACACTGGCCTAGAGAGAAAATTTGACATGGAAGCAGGGAGTCCCAAAGTGTCGGGATAGACAGGATCTAATGATGTCTTGGCTCAAGGGAGGGAATCTTGCTTCCTTCTTACACAAAGTGTTTTCCAAGACATGTACTTAGATCCATATCTACATACATTTTGCTAAGGACGAAGAGCTTCCATTCAAAACAGTTACGGCTGATCTTCACGAGTCATATTTCCCAGGTGATGCACAGAAACCGTCGTTTTTGAAGCGAACGGGAGATTGACACACGAGATTAGACCCAGGGCAACGGTATCCGCAGACGAGACAGCGGCGCCATGATCCATCGTGGGTTTTTTTTTTTGGCGGGGGACGCTTCCGGTGGATTATCAGCTAAAAGTGAGCAGGGGAGGGGTCAGTTGGGATTGGATCATGGAATGAATTCAATGGAATGAGAATGACTTGAAGACTGAAGATCAACATGTCGCGTGAAGAGACAGTTTAGAGACACACGATGGTTGTATGTATATTCACTTGCACGTTGATACAATGGTTCAGGTATGATTTCATCAAATCAGCCATTAATAACAAAAGCCTATAGACTGGAACGTAACATATCGCTGACTGGCATTTAGACAACTAACAAAGAGCATCATCCGGCCATGCTTTAACATTCTGGAAATGTGTGCGCGCGGCAGTTGTTTGCATAAACACAAGACAATGGGCTACCAACATCCGGCGTCAGGTGGAAGTGTCTTTATGCGAAGTGAGGTAAATGTATGCTGTGTGGTGGTTCTTTGTCTTGGATAGAGGCTGGCATTAATGTTAAGATGTGGTATTATGCCGAATCTTGACCAGGGATATCTGAAAGTCAATGTCAGAGAAAGATGGATGAGATGCTGCACTAACATGGCATGCATAAACTGGCTCTCGCTCTCTCAAATCATTTCATCTCGATTTCTAGAATTGAGGTCGCAGTCCTAGTCTTTGATGCAATGCGATCGCTGCGTGGCCCCCCTGTTTGTTCCATCCATGGATGGACTGGACGGACTGTGTGTGATGCATCCCTGCCACGCGACGATTTCCCCGTTTCCACGAGTCACTTACTGACTGTAAGTTGCTGTAAGACGCCTGTAACTCACTGCGGAAATTTCCCTTGTATTAGCGTCACCAACGACGTGATGTGCCAACGCCAGAGCTAACGTCCGTGTCTGTGTCTGTGTCTGTGTCTGTGTCTGTGTGTATCGGGCATCACGAACAAGAGAGGGGACTTTTCAGTTGGTAAACCCACCCCTGATCCCTGACTAATTTATCATTTGTCCGCACACCCATGCCCATGACCGTGGCCCGGGGATGAGCGAAGAGGAATGAGACGAGACAGGGTTGAGCGGTTGGCCCGAGTCAACCGGCCAAGTCGATGCCTTCTTTGCTGATTATGAGGGGTAGAGTAGGATAGGGATTGGCCGTGTAAGCGTTTGCCCGTGGCTGTTTGCAGGTGGTGAAAGTTATTTTGAGCGTGGAGGATGTGTTTGTGTGGCAGATCTCATGCACAATTTTACCCACTGAGAAACCTGTCGTGTGCAGTTTGTGGTGCCTAGTAAGCGCTGGACTGAAAGTTGACGCCGTTGAAAGGGATTGGATGCTTTGATTATCAAGTTGAGGGCTTCGAGATGAGCTTGGCAGCTTCTAATGGCTTTAGAGGGAAAGAGGTTACAGCTAAAGAAGAATAGCTCAGCTTAGGATTCACTTAGTTCAAACATGTCAGCTTCCACAGGTGATGCTCTAACTGTAGTAGCTGGTACATAGCTGAAGCTCAGTCAAAGCTTGAAGCCATTGATTGGGATATGAGTGTTGACTATTGATCACTGACCACCAACCAGAGCCATTCATGGAGTCTTCTGTTATTGAGGGAATATGTGATTTATCCTTTCGCATTTCGTTCATATTTTCTCCCTTCTCTCGACTTCATCTCCATTTTATGACATCTCTTGGTCAAATTCATCCACTAAACCACTTACAAGACGTCGCTGGCAGGCGCCAAGTTGTCAGAGGCGACCCCTCCATCACCCCACCTTGAGAGCCCAAGGTAATTAATTTCACCCTCCATCTTCTCGCTGAGGAGCGCAGCCTTAGCCATTTTACCTTTATCGTCGAAACTCAAAGGCGCCCACAGCTCGCGTCAGTATCGCGTTAAAGGGAACCCAAGGCGAAGTCCCTCTAGTCTTGGTGATTATCGTACGCGTCGAGGGTCACAGATCCACGGACGTTGGATTTCCGAGTATCTGATCAGTCACAGTTATATGGCTGCACCAACCAAAGTCATCAGGTCATCAAGAAGCAAAAGAGGCAAAGCAAAGCAAGCAAGCAAACACCAAATTGTCCCTTTTTATTTCCAGCCGCCAAATGCTATTTTTCTCCATCTCATCAACCTTTCCCAGAAACTTACACAAATCGCTTCCACAACGTTCGATCCACTCGAGGGAACATCGTCCAGCCCACTCTCAGGCTACTTCGCCCCCTGGCGTGTATTCTGTACTCACATTCGCGCTCGTTCGTTCGTTCGTTCGCTCGCTCGCAGCCCAATCTTTGTGTGTGTGCAACCGCAGGCATTCGCTGTAAGGTACCCTACCTTTACCTTGGAGGGTCCAGGTCCCTCCCTCCCCTCCACTTCAACGGTGCTGCTGCAACCGCTACAACTTTGTGTCTGTCCGTCCTGCACCTCGCTGCCTTGCCCGTGCCAGGTCTAGCGGTTATAGAGGTACTGCCACTGTAGCGTACCTTGCCTTGCCTGGCCTTAAACCAAACATCGGATTGGATCGAAATAAGGTAGCCCAGCCCGCCGCTGTGTCCCGCCGGGTCGTGTCGTCTTCCCTCGTCTCGTACTTTTAGTACCTTGCTCAGGTCGTCTCGTCTTGCGATCCTTTTCCTACAACCTCCACCTTCGAGCGATTCACAACTTCCCAACTTGCAACTGCCCAGGAGGCATTCAGTTACACAAAAATGAAGGTTCGTCATCGCTCCTTTCCCTTCCGTCGCTCATGCCTCTTCATGCAGCTGCCTGCCATCTCATATCTCTATTGTATCATGCCGTGCTTTGCCTCCAACTTCTCGTGCCTCACAAGGCGTTATTCCCATCTTCTCAGCTACCTGAGCCAAACCCCCTCCCCCGCCGCATTCAACTCGTCTTCGCTCATTATTTGCGCCGGCTTCGCTGGCTGTCCAAGAAATACTCGAGTCAAAAGCTAACAGTAATGCGCTTCGTGCAGGCTCTTCGACGTTCGATCAAAGGTGACAAGGACAAAGGATCCGTCGCTCCCAAATCGGCTGTCGCCATTGTTCCTCCAAAGAAGGTTGGTGGCCTCCCACTCCCAAGCCAATCTCAAGCCTCAAATCCTATTCAATTATGGTCTGCCACATTAGGCACCGCCATGGTTCCACGACAAACTTGACTTCAATCACTGAGCCCAGACGCTGATGCCCAATCTAATTTGCAGGTCATTCGAGCTCTTTACGATTACGAGGCACGATCGAGCCAAGAACTGAGCTTTTCGAGAGGCGACTTTTTCCACGTTATCGGCCGCGAAAACGACCAAGATTGGTACGAAGCATGTAATCCAGCTCTCCCTGACGCCCGGGGTCTCGTCCCTGTCACCTTCTTCCAAGCGCTTGGCCGAACCGAGAGAGATAGCGCACAGTCCGACGGTGGCCAACTTCCCACTCCGACAAAGAACCCCGACCACGATTCTGGATATAGCGAATCTCCAGCAATGCAAACTGCGCCAGCCGTCATGTCACCCACTACAGCCGTGCCCCAGCAAGGCCACCAGCGTAATTCGAAGTCGGTTGGAAAGTCAGGCGCCATGGTCTACGGAATTGTCATGTACGACTTTGCTGCGGAGAGAGCAGACGAGTTGGAGGCCAAAGCTGGCGAGGCTATTATCGTCATCGCACAGTCGAACCCCGAGTGGTTCGTGGCCAAGCCCATCGGTCGATTGGGTGGCCCAGGACTCATCCCCGTTTCCTTTGTCGAGATTCGTGATATGGCAAGCGATAAGGCAATTGCAAACCCGGGTGACGCCATAAAGCGTGCTGGTGTTCCAAAGGTGGAAGAATGGAAGAAGATGGCCGCGGAATACAAGAACAGCAGCATCACACTGGGCAAGTTTGAGGGAGGCGGTCCTCAACAACCTGGGCAGGGTATCGAGCAAGGCATGGAACGAATGAGCATTCAGCAACAGCAGCATTCTCGACAACCTTCTCAGAATGGAGCGCAGCCCGGATACGCATCTCAACCTCGAACGTCCCAACAACCTCAGCAAAATCATGTACAGAAACCGGCCTCACAACTCAACGCACCGCTACAAGCACGCATACCACGATACTGCTTTGCAGAGGATAAGTACTGGTTCGTGATCGAAGCATTGCTAGAAGACGGACGACAATGGGAGCTGTCTCGCTATTACGAGGACTTTTACGATTTCCAGATCGCTCTTCTGACCGAATTCCCAGCTGAGGCTGGTAACACAGGGACACAGAAGCGTACACTGCCCTACATGCCTGGACCAGTCAACTATGTCACAGATGCAATCACCGAAGGACGCCTCCATAACTTGGACGCGTACGTGAAGAACATGCTGAACCAGCCCCATTACATCTCGAGGTGCAACCTGGTGAGACAGTTCTTTGCACCCCGCGAAGGAGATTACGAGATCGATCCGAACGACAACGAAGAGGAGTACCGCCTATCACAAGCATCACAGCTGTCATCGGCCGAGTCCCCAGCTGGCGGATCACAGAGCAATTTGAACGGCAGTGCATATGGTCTCTCAGCTGCACCAGCGCATCAGATGGGCCCAGGTTCCCCTGACATCCAAAGACAACCATCTTCTTTGTCACAACCCTCACAAACCTCTCTCGGTAACGGTATGCAACCCCAGGCTCAACCGGCATCAGCAATGAAGATCAAGATGTATTTCAACGGAGATCTCATTGCCATCCGAGTACCAACAGACATCTCATTCCAAGCACTTTATGAAAAGATTTGTGATCGTCTGAAGGTGCCGGCGGGTCAGGAGGTCCAACTGTTTTACAAGGACGAGCCCACTGGAGATAAGCCAAGTATGCTTAGTGACAACGACTTGGACTATGCTCTGCAGCGGAACGAGAAGCTTCTGCTCTATGTGGAGGCCGTGTGAACTGCCCTGCCCACTCGAGATGACGACTGCGGCGTTTCAGCTTGATTGTAACGCTGCATGGACGGATCTAAGTTGACAGCCAAACCGAAAAGTCCACCAAAGAGCGTTGGGTGTGCACTGACATCGTATATTCTCGTTCCCGAACCCTTGCCGTATAGTACAGTACAGACTCTGGCCCTACACTTTGAAAACGTGCGTTCTTCTCTTCCTTGATGGATCTACAATTTCTCATGAGTCCCCAACGGACGACACGCATACTTTCAACACTTTTTTCTTTTTCTTTGTCCCCTTTTTTTCTTGTCCATTTTATTCTACGCGGATTTTATGACGACACGTCGGTGAGGAACTTGATGCTTCTTTGATACCATTTTATTAGCTGGATGACGCATAAGTTTCATGACCAGTGTACCTGACGCTCGTTGTCTCTTCTTTGGGCATTTCTCATGCCCCCCTATTTGCTCCTCTTTTGAAAACTTTCTTCTTCACATGTGTATTCAGGCGGGTATATGGCCTTTTGAATGCTATTTTGATATCACACGACTGAGCTTAGTGCTTTTCTTCCCTTTACTTTTTATCTTCTTCTGTACTTCCTCACTGAAAGTGACAGGGCCTGGAGGTGGCATTCGGCATAGGGGTCGATAGTTGGTGGACGTGGTATGCGTTACAGTATAGGGGGAGGGAATGGCTGGGGAGGTTCAGTTAGGTGGTTCCAGTAAGCCGCATTTAGAAGCCTATAGGTTACAAATAGCGGACGTTGCTGGGGTCGCGAAAAGCTTGCACTGCAAGGATCTTGAGGATCAGAGGAGGCAAGATACATATATCTTGATCTTGGTGGTGGAGGTGGAAAGCAAAGATGAGCGCGCATGAGCGTGATGAATGAAAGCGACAATTGTGTTATTTTGTGTAAGCGATGCATGTGAATATCAATGTCAATGGTGTTTGTCTGTAGTTAACAATTTGCATTCCTCTCACTTGAAGGTGAAGGTCGAGGAGGTTAAATCAGTCTCTCATTTAATCAAGTTGGCCGTATCAGTCTTGACTCCTCCCTTCGTTACCTAGTATCCTGTCTAACGTGTTCTAGAAGTCTATTATGAGTGATGGATCGTCATCGTATGCTCTTTTGTATTCCCCCATCCGTAGAAAAACCATGAGATGTAACATTAACCCCCAATGCCGTGGATCTTTACAAGATCAAACAAGTAAATGCAACCATAGTCACGTAGCCTCGTAACTGTAAACGCCGGAAATCAGAAGAATCTGCAGAGAAAACCTTCTCTTGCAGTGTGAGATGATACGTTGGACCGAGCTCGTCTACTCCAGCTTGGTCATGAGGTTCTTGCGAACTTTCATGTTGACAACACCACCGACTCCAAAAGCAGGAACAATTCGACATATTCTCGCGACGGAGCTGATGAACCAGTTGCGCCGCACAAGGTCTAATCGATCACGCATCGTCACGACAGCTCCTCCAGGTCCAGTCGCTTGACGATTGTATAAGTCTAGACCGAACAAATGCATAGGCGTAGAAATGAACTGAACCATAGCAGGGGCCATGAACTGCGCTGCATAAAGTCCAGAGGCTCTCTTCTTCATCTCTGCGGAAAACCGCTTATCCAAATACGGCCCCAGCAAAGGGGGCACATTGAACGACGCAAAGATAGTCAAGCAATCGCGCAGCGCAAAAAGAGTGTATGAAGCGAGAGGGACAGGTCTAGGCACAACACCAGGCGGTCCAAACATACGCACAAAGACTTGATCCTTGTAGATACAGACTCCGATGTTTGCGGCGCTGGACGCAGCGAATTTTGTTGTTCCGGCTGTGACGCTCGAGGCGGGCTTGTTGTTGACGGTCGAGAACGAGGTGTCGACGGCGTTGGCGGTGAGATATGTTCCGCCGTAGAGGCAGAAGATGAGCGCTGTTGGCTTGGAGAAGAGTATTGTGTGTGGGCGGGTGAAGAGGGTTCGGAGGGAGGATTTTACAGAGTTTGCGAGGGTGTTTGCGCCGGATGCGTTCTCCATGATGGAGCTGTCATGATGTCAGTTTTTTTTTGGAGTTTGGAGTTTGGAGTTTGGAGTTTGGCGATGTCGGCGTGTCTCAGAAACATGGCATATGAATGGCGGTGATAGTCCAAGGGGCATGGTAATTTACTGACCGGTCGATAATGGCAATGATGGGCGCTACCATGGAAGCAGCGCTCGCAGCGGATAGAAAGTCAGTGCCGAGTCGTGATGTCAAGTTCTTGGTATTCCATGTATTTTTGGTGGTGATCTGCTCGGGCGTAGTTGTCCCGGCGAGAACCAACGCCGGCGCATCAGAGTCTTTCATGATGATCCAAGATCTGGTCTCTTTTTCTCGTTTCTCACGTGGTAATATCAGACCGTAACTCGCTCAGAAACACAGGAAAATACAATATCAAGTCTAGTAAGAAGAATGAGATGACGGAACGGGTATGACGAAAAGAAAACAGGTTCCTGGGGGAATAAAAGGGAACTAGAAAAAAACCACTAGATAAGTTATTGGGAGGTTGTAGACCCCGAAGCAACCCTTTCAGTGGATAAACGTTGAAACTGCATGAACTAGCGGTAGCGGTAGCTAATTCCCATGCGCTGGTTGGGCGCGGTGTGAGCTTTGCTTTGGGGGTTTTAGTTAGCTGAAGCGAAGCTCTTCTGACTGACTGAGTCTGGGGGGCGCCGATCTCGGCGGGGGCTTCGGAGCCGTTGCCGAGTTTATAAGGGACTCAGATGTCAGCGGCTTGTCGCGGATACCAACGATTGATACCGAGAACTGATAGATATTGTATGATTATAAGGAATTTGAGATTGGCAAGAGTAGTTTATGAGATGTGTTCATATTGCGTGGTTACTATTTGAGGATTGTGTAACAGCCAACAAGACTCACGCTCAAGCCCACGTTGAACAACAAGATCAAAGCTCTTCCATTACGCATTGAACACCAAAAGTCACATACGAGAACCATGTTCAAAAACACATTCTTGACATTTTTACCGCCAAATGATCAAAGCCGTCTCAAACTAGACCCTTCCTCCCCCGCAATGCTCTCCATTCTCCATGACTTACACGCCATCTTCTCCACGCCGACGTTTGCCGCTCACCGGGAGCTCTACCTAGGTATTCCTCGCCCAATCTCGTTGCATATCGGGGTCTTATCTTTGTCAAATTCGAAGACTCTGCAGGTGACCCCAGTGAACTGATTCAGCCCATATGCAGGCACCGCACTACAGGGTGATCACCGTTTGCCAGCTCCTCCAACGGCATGGACCGGCTTTAACTTATACTTGACGAATACAATACAAGCTTCTTCGAGGGCACCAGGTTGTGGGGTTGTTGCCGACTCGTATCCTATCCCATTCTTAAACGACCTGATCCACAGGCACAGCAGATGTCCAGAGCCGCTTCTCTCCGTCTCCCCACTGCTACTCCCAACATCATGCCAATTCTTCTGGAACGCTTCGCTGCCGGCCCCTCTGTTGGAATACCCACTCTTGACCTCGACCGATGAGACCCGATCAGAGAAGGAACCAAATCTAGATATTCCAATGTTCCAAAGCTGTCAAGGACCGGCCCGATCACCAAAAGCCCGTAGCTAGGCGGGAGTGGCACCTGTACTTGAGCTTCCACTGTCGTTTCCACTTGCTTGCTTCTCCTGGATAGCCATGATAGCTGCAGTGAGTTGATCGATCTTCCGGTTTAGCTCGGTGAGCTGCACCTCCATGGCTGTTGGCGCATCCACGTCATCCTCGCGCACCTCGATACTCTGACCATTCGCTCGTCCTCTAGGAGAAAGCGTCTGGCGACCGACATTGGACGCAGATCGCTTCTGAGCAATTGCGTGCCTGCCGTTGCGTCGAGAAGAGCGCGATGGACCCTTGAACCCAGCAAATTCATCTTCTACGGCTCCTGGCTTGCGATACATCTCGTACAGCTTGATGATGCCAACAATGGGCCAATGAGTCGCCTTGAGGAGCATGATACGCCCAGCACGGAACTTCTCATCGGCCGTAAAGAATAGACGCCAAGGTCGGAAGAGTACCAAGGCCAGCAGATTGAAAGGAGGGAAGAAATGGGTGAGTCGGTTACTAGTCGACGCTTCCAAGACGTAGACGCTGTACACATACAGGTACTCCTCCTTAGCGTGGGTGATAACCCGCGAGAAGCTGTTGGACAGCATACCTGTCAGGGAGCCCATCAACAGGAAGCTGGAGAGTGTAATGAAGATGATCATCAGAGGAGGTCCAAAGAAGGGATCGATCTGATTCATTATCTCGAATCCGATGGGCGCCGAGCCGTAAAATATCTTTGTCAAGATCCAGGCCATGGACTTGAATGCAAAGACATTACGACCCACGAGCGAAAATGTGGTCAGGAAACCACAATACACGACAACAACAAGTACCATGTATTTGAAGAAGTCCTTGCCCATCTCCTTCAAGCATGGAATAAGTGTGCCCCAGGCAGGGCTGAGACTGAGAATCGAGAAGATACGAGGAATCATGAAGAGTGCCTCAAGTGCCAGGATATCAAATGCAAGGTCGTTCAGATCGGGTTTGTTCTGAACAATGCCAATAATACCTAATTGTGTCAGCATATCACTTTGTCGAAAGGACCATATTTCTTACGCAGAATTGCAAAGGTAAACCCGATGGCGATCATGATCATGTCGAATAGGTTCCATATGTCGGTGGCATAAAAGATAGAACCTGCATCAAGCCACTCGCTGAGCTCATCGTAGAAGAAAGCCGCGATCCATAAGAAAAGTATCACTTCAGGGATTGTAATACGTGACTCGTCTCGCACAATGAGTACAGCGTAGTACAGGGCGAGGAAAATGCAGAAGAACAGCACCTCCCAGCTCTTGAGATACTTGGGAACGCGCAGGCGAGAAAAGGGGTCTGCAGTCCTCGGGTTATAGAACCGGACCTTCTTTGTAGAGTGCACAGACAGGCTATCCCAAAAGACTATGTCACCACTCCAAATAGCAGTGATAATCTTTTGAACAATGTGCTGGCTGAGGAAGCGTTTGGCATCGGCAATGGCAGCAATCTCGAGAGCATTCAGGTTCTTAAATGATGAAGTAGGATCACCCTCGTTATCACCGTCCTCATCATCCGATGTCATAGTCAAGCGGGAGAGAGAACTTAGAAGTTGGTTACGCTTCATGCTGCTCCCGGCAGGGCCTGGTCCACGTCGGCGGTTGTCAATGGAGCGAAGGTGAGAGAGCAGAGGGGCGTTTTCGCCAGCTTCCTCGTCGCCCGTGTGACCATTACCAGCCACTTGAGCCTGAGCTTCATTTTCATCATCTAGATCGTGGATCTCGTAAAGGCAGTAATTAACTGCCTCGCGTTCAGAAAGCCTAGTCAGGAATCGCCAAGCAACGATTTCACATGCATCTGCTCGAGATTCTCCCAGAGTGCGGTGTTCTGACGAAGATGCATAATGCCATTTGAGAGCTCTATAGAGATTGGATCAGTCAGCAAAGGTTCATCAGCATTGAACAAGGTGTTCCGAATCATCGTTGCACCGCATATCCCGTCAGATTGAGGATGGGCTGAGCAGATATGTGATTGGCTCCCCTGACAGCATGTCATCTGCAGGCACAGATACCACAAAAGGGTGACGATGCAGCAACTGAGAGTGATGTTGATAGAGAACAAATCGCCGCAAATTGTTTTCGGATTAACACATACAGAAGAGCATTGACAATTGCCGGGTTGGTGCAGGTTGCAGCGAGGTGATCCACCAAGATGCGTAGAGGAGCCCCCGCAGCTGTGGTTCTCAGCTGTTCAAACGTGCTCGGCAGTTCAATGACATCGACAAAGTACCTATAGAGCATCAGTGGGTGTCAATTGATACGAAGTCATGGTTACTCACAGTGAGAGCTTCTTGACGACATCTCTGAAGTTATCGTGAGTGCCAATGTCGGGAAGATCGCGTTCGTATTCGTCCAAATGGCGGATGGAGACAGGACTTCCCTCGCGAGGGGCAGGAAGCTTCTTGGATTTGACCTTGATAGGCATGATGAGGATCTAATTCAGATAAAATATGATCAATCAACGGAGCATATCCCCTGTAAAACCGGTAGGTTTCTTGGAGATGTCAGGAGCTGTCTCTCGGCCACGAGGTGGTCTTGCAGTCGAGCAGAAAGGTTATTCCGTCTCCTTCCTCTGTTTTGACTTTACCACGATGGTACGTGAGGGAGAGGAGATGCGGAGATGGAGTGAGTTGAGAAGGAGGGGATGGATCTGGGGAAAGAAGCGCTCAAGCGGTCAACCAATTGCGGGCCTGTGCACCCTTAAGACGAGTCAAGTTGCGCTGTAGATCGGCTCCCGACCACCAAGAAATGGATAGAAATGGAACTGATGGTATCACGAGAATAAGTGGGAGGCGGGAAAAGGTGACTTTTTGGGGGTTTCAGGAGAAGGTCATCGCTGCCGAAATTAAACCGTCACTGCATCACGGCCATAGGCACAGAAAGTGTGCAGTCTTTTTTAATCAACTACTGTCCTCCGAGCTTAGCGCGCACTGATGATCCTCTACTCCGAATAGGCATCTTTCCTGGTGATAGCTGCAAAAAAGAGCTCCAACCAGAGGCTGGTGACAGTCTCAAGGGTTCATGGCAGAGTGGAGAGGAAGGGTCCCTGGACGAAGCTTGGCACCACTAAGAGATGCTTGTCAGTCTTTAGCAACTGGGGATTGGACGATCTAGACTCGAGAAATCAAGATTTCGGGGTTCAAGGTCAGGTTTAATGATATAAGGAATCTGGAAAGTCGGAATGGCCTCATATAATAATAATACAGTAGGTCAGCAAAAGTCCTAATACATTTTAATATTACCCTAACCACCTTGATTAAATATAGCTACTTTACTTTATAATTAACTAGGTAATATTTATTTAATTTTAATAAAATATATATAAATCTATAGAGAGTTAAAAGGAGATTCTAGGAGTATAAGTTAATACTTAGTATAATAACTATTTATATTATAATACTTATTTAGTTAATCTAGGATTAATTTAATTATATTTTTAACTATATTATCTTTAATCTTAGACTATAGCTCCTTTATAACTACTATTAGCCTCTTAATAGCTTTAATTAACTTTAGATAAGTTATAATTTTAGGATATTATTTGCAAATCTAGGCTTTAAGGACTTTTTATAGATTTTTAATAAGATTAAGATTAGGGCTATATAAAGGCCAGTTTACTAAAGATACCCTATATCTCCTTACCTAAGGGCATAGCTAATCTTAAACTTTTTAATAAGTAAAGGTATAAGTATTATTATATTAAAAAGTCTCTCCTTCCTTAATAAGGTCAGGAAGATAGGACTAAAGATAGGATAAAATACGCTGGCCTATTATGCCCCCCCTCTTAGAGTCAGGGTTATTAGGCAAAGGGATAACCTAGGATGGTTTATTATAGTTAATTATACTAAAGAATATCTATAAGTATCTTAAGGGTTATCTATAAGGTTATATTTTATTTTTATAAAGTCTCTTACCTTATAGTATTATTAGAATATACTTTTATAAAAGGAAGGTCTAAATATATAAATCTATAAAATAACTACTTAATATAATTACTATCTATATAATTAATTATAACCTTATTAGAAAACTACTAATTATATTAAAAAGACTTATTTTTATAATAATATTTATTATAAAATTCTTTTTTTAATTAAGTATATTCTTTACTAAGAAATAGGTATTAAAATATAAGCCTATATTATATACCCTTATTAAGAAGCTAATAACTAATTATTCTTCTTAAGTAATATAATTATACCTAATTAATAATTTCTTAGTATAAAATAAAAAGGTAATTTCTAATAAGTATTTTAATATAAGTTTTATCCTAATTAGATAAGACCTAAGGCCTCCTAAACTACTATTTATCTTTAGCTAACTCTTATTATTAACTATATTAAATAATCCTATAGATTATATACTAAGTTAACCCCTTCTTATCTGTAATTTCTTATACCTAAACTCCTAAATTATATATTATTATAAACCTTATTCTTATATAAGGAGAATAATATATATTTCGCCTTAATCTAGGCATTTTATTCTATTAAAATAATACAACGAAGTTATTGCGCTGTTATTATTGTTTTATAAAAAGCAGGGGTAGACCCGAAATATGTCGGGACTTTTGCCTAGGACTGTAGCATGTGAATTATTAACTGCAAAATACAGCAATTGGTGTCAAATGTATGCTGTGAAGCGATTTGATTATATTGAAATATGGCCCCTGTAGACACTAGTGCGGTAAAGTCTGTTGAAGATCGCAGATAAAATGATCTGTTGGGAGTCACCATCGTCTAAGCTTGGGATAGGCTATCCTAAGACCTTGAAGCTTGTGATGGGTCTTATGATGACTTGAGGATATATTATGATGAGCTTGGCGTTTACCTAAAGGATTATCTCGAGTGCTGAGTTTGACACGACGACGGATCTGTCAGTGCCTATTCCTAAGACAATTTGGCATCTTAATCCCCGACAGAAAGTAGTATTGGTATGATATCGATGCCACATACAGCAGCCGGGACATCTTCAGATTGCTTGCTTAGCTGGAACGCAATCCTGTTTCGTCCTTGATGTCGTTCAGCAATTGAGCTGTTGTTCAGCAGAGGCTGAGCTGAGGAACGCGTCAACCAGCATCAGAAGTGCGTGCATGGTGACGACTACAACAAAAAACAAACGAACGAGCTAATGAAATATCAACCATGGGAATGAAGTCGTATATCGAAGAATCAAGTCAAGTAAGCAACGGACTATCTTTAAGAATCCCATCAACCAACTCCCCCCCCCCACATCAGCTTCTCAATAGACGAACCAGCCAATAACGACACATCTTAAAAATAAGCTGAGCCTTGAAGGAAGATGAAGCTTCCCAAAGCCACGCCGCCATTTGAATACCAAGGTGGAACTCATCTTCAGCTTGAGCAAATCTGACTGGTCCAGTCGTCAATTACAGATTTGACAGTCTCTTTGAAACGTGGGAATGCAGAATGTGCTTGAGACTCACAGCCTCGAAATGGTCGCATCTCGTTGGCTGAGCAGCCGTTAGCTTTGGCGAGCCAGCGCGTCCCCGCCAGAGAGACCCCTGTAGCGGATCAAATCTGACATGGAGGGCTTCTAGGGCTGGATCTGAGCCTCAGACATGAAGTGAAGCTCGCCAAATGGAGTATTTGCGCCAAAACGATGTGATGGAGTTGTATATAAGGAAGAGATGCGAATGGCCAAAATGTTGTTTATCGGACAAGCTCATTAGTTCAATAGCCACCTTCACCTCTAGACTCACCTTCAAATTCCTTCTCTACTGGACCTGACTTACACGACTTACACCATGTCTACCACAACTTTTACTTCAACAGCCACAACGACTTCTTCAGCAACGGCGACTTGCACAACTGCTGTACCCGGGAAATACGGCCGTGTTCCTGTCGATGCGTGCAACGCCAACTATTTCTTTGATCCCAGTTTTGCTGCCAATCTTGCTTTCTGTGTGCTCTTTGGTATGACGACCATGGTCCATCTCATACAAGCAATTCTTTTCAAGAAGGTGAGTGCATCAAACAACCCTGAGAACCCTGATTTCTAACAATTTGCAGAAATTTTGCTGGGTAGCCATTATGGGTGCAGCTTGGGAAACTATAGGATTTGCTTTCAAGACCCTAGGAAGCAGGAATCAGCAGAACATGACATACCTCATCTGGGGCCAACTGTTCTTCCTTCTTGCTCCTCTCTGTAAGTACTTGAAGTATAAGGTCACCCCTTGGGACCAAAGGCTAACTGACTCAGGGATCAATGCTTTCGTCTACATGGCCGTCGCACGTATGGTATACTTCCGCATGCCTGATCGGAAACTCCTGGGTATCAAGGCCATCCGCATGACACTCCTCTTCGTCTGGCTCGATATCATTCTTTTCCTGGTCCAGGGAGCCGGTGGAAGCATGCTCTCGAATAACGATGACATGAATGTTATTCGCATTGGACAGAAGCTTTACATGGCTGGTGTTGGTCTGCAGCTTGCTGTCATTGTGATCTTCATTGGTATCACTGCTTTCTTCTACTTCAAGCTTCGACAACTCGAGGGCCGAAGTATGGGACGCATGAAGTGGCTCATCTTGACCATGCTTGCTGTTCTGATTCTCATTGTGGTAAGTACTTTGTCTTTCTTGATTCGAATTATCCAGCTGACAACTTCAAGATCCGAATCGTGTATCGTCTGATCGAATTTGGTCCTGGTGTCAATGAGCACAACCAACTCTTGATTCATGAAGAGTATCCACTGGGTCTCGATGCAACTCCGATCTTGATCGCCCTCGTATTGCTCAACATCATGCATCCTGGTTTCGTTCTTCGGGGACCCGATAGCGAATTCCCCAAGCTCTCTCGCAAGGAGAAGAAGGCGCTCAAGCAACAGAAGAAGATGGAGAAGAAGCAGGCTAAAGAGGCCAAGAAAGCTCGCAAGGCGGGTGCCCAGGAACTGAAGAATTTGTCTTATGAGGGACAGTCTAACAGTAGTAATGAGCTCGTTTAGGAAGATATGAGTATATTTGTGCGCATTGTGGTGCTATTGATTGCATCATGGTTAGTCGTGTTGGTTTTGTTTGAAAAGGATTATGTACGCTCGTGGCACAGAATGGCTTGGATCTTGAGGAGTTATGGCATGGTTTAGAATCTTGTCTTTCGTGTAATGTACGGGTAGGAAATGTGCTGGCAGTAATAGAGTGGAGGAATAAATGATCTTCTATGCATATCCTTTTGTACCCTGGCCACAATCATGCTAGATATGCATCTCGATACGAGTTCATAGTGCAGGATTCGTATGAGATCTGCGGTGAAGATGTGTAGCATCCCGATTTAGAAGCAAAAATTGATGGTGAAACACCGCCACATTTACCAAACGATGATGTGTGTCAGCTGATGCACTGACGGTCAATTTGGGCGGCTAGAACAGTTGTGGCAGGTGAGTTCAATTTGAGATATAACAGAGCAATTGAGACATAATATAAAATATTGGCGTTGGTGGATGGTAATATTGAAAAGGGAACAAAAACGTGTTGGACTCTTGGACAAGAAGGGATGTGGTTGCAAACAAAAGAAGAGACACTAGCGATCACTAATGCACAAAGATCGACGAAAATTGAGGGCGTGAGATGAGACATTCTTTAGAAGCCGCATGCCAACGTGGCAGACATGGCCCCTCTAGGCCCCTTCTGAGGGTGTGCAACTGTCCAAGTGTCGGAGGAGGCTCTAGGTTCTGAGGATGAGATTGGTTGCTGGAATCCTTCCAAGCATTCCAAACACCGACAAATTGTTTCCGGTTGCTATGTAGTTACTCTATGTCGTCAGTTGTTTACTCAAATTATCATCCCGACTTCTTATTCCTTTTCAATTTCTTTTTTATCCAACGTAATTGAACAAATCCGTCAAACTTGCTTCTTCAAAACCTTCCTTGGTTTTCCAACGACCGCCCCAGCCTCCCCCGAAGCCCACACCAGCCTCTCATAAAACGGCCTGTTCCTCATCCCTGATTGGATCCCGAGTTGCCGTGGGATACAGGGTTGCAGTATCGGAAGACGCCCCCCGGCTGCCAGCACTTTAAACGTCTCTGTTCTGGTTCCTGGTTCGCTCGTCGACGGGCTATAACTTACAGATCCTGGAGTCTTATCTGACGAGAAAATCGTAATCGAGAGGAATCAGAAAGTCTTGGTCAGAGGTGGCTTGACTGCCCGTGAAATAGAGTGGCAGGGTTGCGAGGAAGCCCACACGCGACTCAGGCAGAGAGGATACATAGAAGCAGCAACACCGTCTCGATTTCGAAACGTTCAGGGTCTTCCCTAGTTCATATTCTCTATTTTCAACAGTTTGGAGACTGTACTTTACGCCGGCCAGCCACTTTTTAACTGTACAATTCACTCCACTTGGCTCAAAGTCAGGCCAAGTCTTGGATAAGTTGACGAGGCACAGACTGAGTGTCACAGGCCCCCCCTTCTACTCAAGGGCTTTTGGTTTCTTCCTCCTTTGATCTTTTCTAACCCCTTTGTTACATCATTAGTTTGGTTACTCATCGTATCATTTTTGCATCCTTTGTACTTTTTGCCCGTGCGCTGAGTTTCCTCTCTTCCGTTCAAAGGGTGTCCTCTTTCTAGAGTCTCTCTCTTCTCTTAATATCTACGACTTCACCAAAAGAAAACCCGCCCACAATCTTAATTACACTACAGATTTAACCGATCGACTATACCATGTTTGCTTGAGATTAGATTCACGAGATCGCAAATCATGACCCCGGCCCTTCTAATGGCGCGTCTACCGCCGTTTCTCGTCATCTCTGGCGTTCTCAATCTCGCTACCGGCCACGTTCTGCCACAACCGACAAAGACGGTTGACTTTTATGAACTCAATGTTCTGCCGTATCCTCTCGCCGCGACGCCTGCGCCCGACGACTCATTATTGCTGCGAAGGCAATTCAACACTGTTTGTGGTTACCTAGGGGGGGATCCTGGACTACCAGCAACTTGTTCTGCAGGATCGCATTGTGTGGTAGATGTCGATCATGGCGCTGTGGGCTGTTGTCCCGATGGCGGATCTTGTACATCGGGTGTATTCACAGGCTGTGTGGATGCAGAGAGTGGACCACAAACAGAGGTGAATCCATATGTGTTCACCTGCAGAGGGAGCGATTCGTGCTACAGAAATAGCTATGAAGGCGGCTTCTTTCAATTTGGATGTGGTTCAACATCTGGTTTGGCGACAAAAGTTGTGGCTACAGCTTCAGGAAAGAGTGCGATTGACCTCACAAGCATAAATGTTCCTCTTACACAGCCAGTGAGTTCACTATCTGAACCCACAACACTAGGAACAAGGAGAAGGACAACAACGACGGATACTTCCGCCACAAAATCATCAGCGACAAGGAGCGCATCTACAAAATCTACTGAAACCTCCTCAGGTTCAACAACAGAGTCAACAGCTTCAACAACAAATTCAGAAACTTCCTCAACAGAGTCGGAAACCTCAACAGCGTCGGAGACCGAATCCGACACCACCACAGAAACCACAGCTTCAGAGACAGCAGACCCATCGTCCACGGAATCTGGCGACTCTGATGCCCCTGACACCGACGGCAATGACAATGGCTCCAAGAATACGGGCGCCATCATCGGCGGTACCATCAGCGGCGTAGCAGCGCTCGCAGCTCTCATAGTTCTCGGCATTTGGCTCTGGAAGCGCAAGAAGGGAAATACGCGCCAGGGGCCAGGCGTGAAACACCAGGTGCAGCACATCGGGTAAGCGTCCCTATGAAAGACCTCTTTTTATACTTTTCGCGCAAAAAGCTAACAAATGAATTTTTTCTAGTCCGCCGTTAGACAATAATCATAATTTTGCTCCGGTGCCCCTTATGCATGAGACCGACAAAATGGCACCGCCCCCACCAGTTCCAGTGAGGAACCAGCAGCGCACTATGAACTCGGCTGCTGGCCATGATGAGCCGTATTCCGAACCATGGGATCCTTCCTCTAATTATGGTTATGGTAATTCAGCGGGTGCTGTGGGTGGATCTTCGCACATGGAGCATGATGAGGTGCCTTTGACGCGTGACGACGACTTCGACCATAGTTATAACTCTGGCTTGGGACGAATCAGCGAGGAACAGCCACGACCTGGAACAGCGATCAGTACACCTGGCCAAATGAGCCAAGTATATCCTGGACCCCGCGGCGGCGGTGGAGGGCCGTTGTGGCAGCAGAATCGTGGGCCTGGGTGGTTCTAATTGTATATGAATCTGATGAAAAGGGGAGACGGCACATAGACAGGTGGCGGATGGCACCACGGCTCGAGAATTGCTTTGGCGTTTGCTTTTGGGTTAGCATATGGAGTTGATATCCGGAGTTGCATTACTATAAAGGAGGAGTTGTAATGAGCGGTTCCCAACAGTGCTGGAATAGATGAGCTTGAGCTTGGATTAATCATGAGATATGATGGCCACACGGTCATAGGTATGGGTTTTTGGTAGATAGCTATGATAAAGAAACTAAGCAGTATTGACTAAAAAGTCTTTTTATTCATCTTCGTTTATCATTCCATTATTTTATGTTTCTTTATATCAAATGGGAATCAAAGTAAGACGCTGAACGGAAGCCAATACTTACTCGTCTTGAACCTGTGCTTAACAGTGGATTCCTCTAAGTGTCATCTAACCAATTTGCATGATCATGGTTCAGCCTACCTACCATGTTTCAAATCAGGTCAACCTCCTATAGTCCAGATCTTGACACTAGACTCGTCAAACACTGTCTTCGTTCCCGATGAGTCTCTAAAGCCCCATCCTCCCGAGCACGTTGCGACTACAGAGCCGCTTGAATGTAGAGCAGTGCTTCCTACCGGCGCATCATGGGGCTTCCATGTCCATGATGGATCTACAACGCCAGCTTGAGAGCCAACGCCTTCCCACACCGCAACACCACCATCTTGTGTCCCTGCCCAGACCTCGAAGGATGGGAACTCAGCATAGGGATCACCAGCAAAGACATCCACCGTCATCTTCTGTTGTGTGGGTGCACATCGACCTCGAAGAGTGCAGAGGAGTTCGCCTGTTCCGCGGACGTCATACACAATCAGACCAGAAGCATGTCGCTCGTTGAGGATTAGGTAACGACCGCATGGACTCCAGCGGACTTGAACAATTCCCTGGCCTCCTATTCCTCCGTCTATGTCTTCAGAGCGAGGGAGAGACCAATTTGCAATAACCTTGTCTGAGCGGTGCACATCATACAATCCCATCCACCGTGTCCATGTCCCTGCAGCAATAATAGAGCTCCCGTTACCATCCACAGGCGAGGAAGCGAGAGCAGCGACAGTGCCCTTCATACCAACTCCATTTCCCTTCCGTATATGACGTCTAGAAGGGATGGTGGGTATAGTAAGTATCGGGCCATCTGATCCTGGTCGAGTCATGTCAAAGTAATCAAGCCGGTTCGTTGAGCCGACGAGGAAATGCGTCCCGGGTGCATCCCAGAGGATAGACGATGGCGTGATATACTCTTCTGTTTCAAAACGTATTAATTTATACGAAGCAAGTGGGGCAGAACGCGACGCGAGGCCATCATCATCTGGAGGGAAGAGATGGTAGAGCTGAATAGGGTGATCGCGACATCCTACAAGAACGGTCTGTGAGGATGGCTCAGCTAAAGAGTAGAAGGGCGCTGGGATGATCGTTTGAGAAGGCTCAGGGAGCGATATTGAGGATTGACACTCGAGATGTCGCGGGCGTGAGGCTGATGGGTCGAGGAGATCTTCAGGGAGGACAAAGGTGGATATTGAATTGATGGCAGACGATACGATGAGTGATGTTCCATCGGCAGTCCATTGTGCAGATGTGTAGTAATTTTGTTTGGTGGTGGAAAGGTTCTGGTTGTTTATGTCATTATCAGGCTGAATGATTTGATTTTCAGCGATGAGGTTTAATGATGGTGCTTTCTGCTGCCGGTCACGGTCCCTGTCCTGGTCCTGCAGATCATTCGGCTGTAACTCTGAATGTGAGGGCGCTGATTCAATTGCCGATTCAGGACCATCCGTGTTCATGGTGTAAGTTGAGTTGAAAGTTGCGAGATGGTGATGGACGAGAAAATGAGGTACATGAGTGGATACCTCGCTTTGTTTGACTGTCACTTACACGCTTATCATGATCCTAGCCAATCTCTAATCTCGAGATATGTAATATTCAAGGGTCTTTTTCAGTTAGACAATTCAAGGGTCCTGTGACATTCTTTCTATTGAAACAGATTCTGAAGGACCTCTCACTGTAGATCAAACAACTGAGGCCATCGTCGACTGTCTCATATATCCTCATAGTAACGTCATATGGATTGGCGCCAAGCCCCCGGTAGACAAAGGACCTCCTCAGCGGCCTCCGACAAATCCAATGGCCGTACGTTGGTTCTCTTCTGCAGGGTCCAGCGGGTGACGACACAAAAAGGGCAGCTCGAGATCGCCGTTTTCCGTCTTGGCAGTTATTGTGAAGAGTTGAAAGAGGCGCTGACTACAGGTATATTTCAGGAGACATAACGCTGTGTCTCAGTTTCCAGGTCACTGTAATTTTAGTCTTTCAGCCCAGCCCAGGCCAGGTCAGGTACTGCCGAAGAAAAGAAACGCGTGAGGTGTGAATATCAAGCGGAAGTGTATTTCCTCTGAACAGTTACAGTGGGAGATGGATCACCACTTGGAATCTTGGATGTTGCACCCCTGGTAAGGTACTGTTGGAAGAATTCAGGGCAGGTGCTCGAATGTTTCCTTTTAGAGCCACCCGCTTTTCCTTTAGCTTTTAGGTAAGGAAGACAGGAAGGAACAGTCTCATATTCAGCTTGAGGTGGTCGTCATTTGATTACATTAATTAATTCTCCGACTTCCTTCCTCCCTCTCTTTTCTTTTTATCCTTTCTCCATCTCACCCCAATCCATAAGAAACTTCTTCCTTTGACTTCAACATACCAAGGATAACCCGTATCGTGAAACTTTCTCTTCTCTTCTGTCTCACCAATCATGATCTCCTAGTTCAGCTGGCCAAAAAGGGCAATTCATATCCTCGTATCGTCGACTATCGGTCAGTACCGACTCGCTCGGTATTCCGCTCCAGCTCCAGCTGCGCTACGCTCTCTTGAGCCTCTTCTACAACGCTGCCCCTCCCCGCGAAACACAAACAGCCTCACCCAGAAAAGACACCGACTAAAATAACCCATCATACGTCACTCCCCAGCAACGCAGGGCGCCCGACCTTCTATCATTTCTCTCCACACGAGCCCGTGCCCAAAAACCAGTCCAAAGCTAAGCTGGGCAAACCTCTTTGACGAGAGACGACTGGACCCTGGCGTTCCTTCGTCTGATCTCGTGATTACTTGTGATCATTTTCTCTTTTGTGCCTGCCAGGCTTCTCGTGAGCCTCTCTCTCTCGCGACACCTGCTGGGACGACTCCTCCATCATCCTCTCCCGAAGCTGCGCGGCCGTGTTATTATACCTTCACGCACTTCATCTGATATCCGCCATGGACGTTTTTGCCCCAAAAGACGACCAATGCGATCGGCTTAAGACGCCCTCGTATCTTGAGCTTGTCGTTTCTATGTATGGCTGCGCAACCCCTCTCTAAATTTGACGGCGAGTGATCTTGTTATTAACCTTGATGTTGTAGCGTCCTCTTACTCGGCATTCTCGTGTCTTACCTCCCTCAGCATTATCGCATTATCTCCCGAGGCACCTCCGAAGGCATCTCACCTTACTTTGTATTGCTTGGAACCACTTCCGCTACTGCCGGTTTCGCCAATATCCTTACTGTCCCACCGTCTCGTGCTGCCATAGGATGCTGCAAAGAGCTCGGTAGATTTGAGTGCGCCGCCGGTCTGCTCGGCGTTGCCCAGCTAGGCGCTCAATGGGTTTGCTTCAGCCTCATGTTAGCCTCCACACCCAGCTCGATTTGTTTTCTCCATTAACATTTGAACAGTCTTGTCCTTTTCCTCATCTTCTTCAGATATAGAGAAGCCAATGTTCCACCAGAGGATCTTCGTGGCGATGCACCTAGATGGCAGACCGCTGTCATGGTTGGACTGCTCTGTGTCCTTCACGGCCTCATTGTGGTTATCCTGACGGGTGTCTTTTTCATTGCTCTGCCCGATCATCTCGTTTTTTGGGCCAACTTCCTGGGAATCATGGCCACAGTTCTGGCCGCTATCCAATACGTGCCTCAGATCTGGATGACATACCATTTGAAACATGTTGGCAGTCTGAGCATCCCAATGATGTGCATCCAGACGCCCGGTGGCTTCTTATTCGCAGGAAGCCTTTTTGCCCGTCTGGGCTGGGAAGGATGGAGCACATGGTTCATTTACTTGATCACTGCATCTATGCAGGGATCAGTCCTCTTCATGGGCGTTTATTACGAATACATGGCGCGGCAGCATGGCGGTCATGCCAACGGCCACATCGACAGCGCACCACACTCACCTGTGCAATACTCGAGCGCGCCCCGAAGGCCCCCGCCAGGCAGCAGGACCTATTCTGAGGGCTGGGAGCGCGGTCTCCCAGGACCTTTCACCGGTCACCCGGAGAGATACGCGGAAACGGAGGAGGACCTGCACGATATCCAAGAGAGAGAAGAGCGTGCTATCGAGCGGGAGAGCCAACCGTTGTTAAAGCCCGGCGGTATTGGCAACCCTCACAGGACATACGACGCCACCGCCGAACACTGAGGAATTCACCTCTCTTACCTTACCTTAGACAACAAGACGAGTTCAGGGTCAACAGCGTGCATGTGATATACCATAATTATTTGAGGTATTTTATTGGTATTTAGTGATTACCTAGGATTGCATACTTTTTAGAAATGTACATTTTCTCCTTCTTCTCAGCCGAGACGTCCGAGTTTGACTCATTGAAGATATTACGCCGCAAGGTATGTGTGGGGGCCTTGATGACTCGAAGTCAGCCCGTCCAAGGTTGAGAGGATGCTTGTCGACAGCATTCCTTGTCTCCCTACGCGAGATAAAGAGTAATATCAAATCCCGAGCCAGCTGGTTAGGATGAAATCATGGTACTTCAAGTCAATGTTGAGATATTGCGTTCTACCAATGAAGCCTTGAGTAGCGGTCATTCTCAGCATCATCAGCTTCTCATTACAGAATCGAAGAAGCCTGGTGCCTGGGCCCTATCATGGCCCTAAATGCCCCCCCGCTTCCGCGGGCGACGGGTGACTCGCATCGCCTGCAAATGCGGAATTGGGTGTCGCTGGCTTGCCCCCTGTGGGATGCGGTCGAGATATGATTGGCTGCTTCTATCTAATCAAGTTGAATGAATCACCGCGTGTCATTCATGGTTCATATCAATTCCCGTATGAGGTTTGAGACAGGAGGGGGGAGGGTCAAGAGATGCCCGGTAGCATCCAATCCAATGCCGTCGATCAATTAAACCACCATCTCCATCCTTTCTGTCCTTTCTCCATTGCCGGAGCCATTTCTCCTTCCTCCTTTCATCTCAAGACCTAGAACCTAGAGATTCCTTCTTCTCCCTATCAGACCTAGAGTCTTTGTCTCAAGACAGCGTCAAGAGTTTCAATCACTCTCATCTCTTAACCTTATCCTTATCGTACTCTATCATCAGCGACCACCCCGCGAGTCTTATCATCATGGCTATCTACAGCTCCGTCCCGCCACCCGAACAACAGTCGGCCTCAAATACTCCTACTCCCGCGGCGACAAATCCTTCGCTGGCGGCTGTGCAGCTACATTCGCCTCCTACGCCAGTTAAGAATGGGAGCATTGATATCGATGCTTGGACTGTTTCGGCTCTTCAATCTCTCAGCGTTTCCCCCATCGCCCGTGGAACTGGCACTCCTCTTGCAATTCCTCTAGATGAAGCTGTCAAAGCCAAGTCCAATTCTCCCGAGCGCAACGTCAATTTTGACGAAGATGAGGCCCCGATATCGACCCTAAGACGACCACCTTCTAGGAGAGATAGCCAGCGAAAGCGGGAATTGGTTCTGAAGGGCAAGGAGGGCAGTCGCCAGCGACGTCGCTGGGAGAATGGTATGGCTTTACCATTGTTAAGGAAGCACTCCGAACTCGGATCTGCTTCCTTTTGCGCAGCAGCATACTGATCGTTGGCCTCACTGTGTTAGACCGCTTGATAGGCGTTCCGAACGCTCAACCGCCTCTGCCTTCCGATTACGAAGTCCAACCTACTCATCCGATCCACCGAGTGCCTTACCAGCTTGCTCAATTCTGGGACCGCGGCGTGCGCAAGCAGGTTGAGGATAAGACGGCCCGTCTGCTTGCCGAGCGCAAGAAGCAGCAACTCAAGGCAGGCAGTGCCACGGGTCTCGGAGCTGGTGAGGTTCCTCGTGATCTGCGCGAAGCTACCAAGCGCAGTCCCGTTGTGCGCACCTGGGTGCGATCCCTGGAAGAGCCTGTGCGACAATATCTCGCTACTCAGCAGGCTATGGCCGCAACGTCAGCTGTCACTGCTGATGAAGATGATGATAGTGCAGCTGAGCAGATGGATTCGGACGATGAAGAGATTGTGTTCGTCGGTAGGAACGGCGCCATGAGGGAGCTTAGAGAGAAGAAGGCAACATGGAAGCATGCGCATCGTGAAGTGTCACAGGAGACGGTCGACTCAGGCATGCTGTTTGACTCGTTCGGCACCGATGAAAGCGCCGCCTTCAAGTGAGTATCAATATCGAAGGTATAGTGCACTACTGACAGCTTCTAGGCGCTGGCTCACACATACCATCTCTGACTACTACGGCATCCAATCTCGCTCCGTCAATCTTTCGAATCCCACGCGCCGAGTCGTCTATGTTGGTCTAAAGACGTCACAGGGCGCCTTGCCTTTACGAACGCTACCGCGGCCAATGTGGGAAGTCTGTTGAACGACTTTGAACATTTAAGGGTACCTGACCCAACTTGAATAGTGTTTGAGATGCATGATTAGACGTACAAGCGTAGACGGTAAGCATGGGTATGTGTATAGGGCAATAGAAGCGATCTCACTGAGCTCGGTGGGCATAAGTCTGTTGTGCTGCGATGTGATATTGCTTGAAGGTGCTCATTGTGATCTGTAACACGTCGTTACCTGCATACTCGAGTGCATCTCTGGTTGCCCGGTCATAGATCGACAAATCGGGGGCTCCTGATCTTAATAGGTAGGTCTAAATGTAGGTAACCCATAGAGTACAGAAACATTGTGCCCCAGTTACTCCGTACATTTTCTGCGGTAGCCGACTTACACCCACTCTCGGTCCAAGATTCTCGAAACATTGTTTAGTATTCTCCTGCCTCCCATGATTTGACCATATTTGGAAACTCTTTCTTCTGCCCTCATACTCAAAAAGCTCGCAAGTCCGCCTTGACCGTATTCAGATACTAGCAGACCTGCTATTATTTGCGCTGCGCTGATATTGAGACCAGCACGGCGCAGGAATAACTCCCATACACCATCACGAAAGTCAAGGAAATGCCCAAATTGATGAGCTGATGAAGAATAGCGGGACATGATTGACAAAGCCCATTTAGAAAGGGTTTCATCGCAGCCAGAAACTAGATGTGTTGATATGCCTGCTCGAAGACTCGTCGTGAAACGTACGAAATCGGCATACCCAGAGATATCAGAGGGTGTTGGTGACCCGACGTATTCTCCTAGTGGATTCGATTCTGATACCAATATAAATAAAGATTCATATTTCTCACTTACTCGTCTGATTCTTGCACGAAATGGTGTGAGAGCACTGGATCCAGGAAGAGGTTTCTGTTTCACTTTTAGTATCGTAGTCAAGATGAGGCCGGCACCAGGGCTTATGGATATATCAGCCTCAAACGCCAAAGATGAAATGATTTCCCTTCTTTGAGCTGATCCAGGAGACCAAGCAACTGTGTTGTACTGCGAGAAGTCTCGGTCGATGAGCTCAGCTTGTGGCCAGACTTTCTCCAGATAAGAGAGAGTACTGCGACTCAAGTCCAACGAGACTATGTAGCGACAAGTCTCCTGAGGAATGTCGAAATTGGGAACCGGAGCGTCTTGCAGTTCGCTCTGGGCATCTTCTTGAATAACGGGTAGCATTGTAGGGCCAGTCATGGATGGCATGGCTCTTGAGGCTGCCGAAGTTTGAGAGGAGCTGCTGCCTTTCTTCAGCTTTTTCGGTAGTCGAAGCTGTATGAAACCAGACAACAAGTTGCTCGACGCACTTGAGTCAGCGGCCTTCAACAACAGATTCTCTCTCTCGCAATCAGACTTATTTCCTGTGCCCTGTCGTCGGGAACCTATCAATTCCTTCAAAGACGGCGCAACATGAGACTTCTGAGATTGAGAAGTAGCCGTCGAGCTGTCCTGATTCCCGTGACAGATTGATGGGGACGACACCACAAGAGAGGCGACTTCTTGTTCAATCTCTTCATCATTCAGAATTTGGAACACCATTAGTACGTTTCGAGAAACCACGTAGTTGTGACTGCATAGTTGGGGAGGCCTCAGGGTAAGCAGTTCTCTCTCAATAGGTCCCAACTGAATTGTTGCCTCGGTCAATGAAACTCGGCCACTTTCATGAGGGATCGGTGTCCATTTAAGTGATGCCTCGAGACGACTCAGCTCCTTGTAGCAGGTCAGATGAAAGGTCCTGGGAAGCGATTGTTGCAGCCATTCAAAGTGATCTTGCGAAGTTGACAAATGTAATTTCCATTCAGGATCAGGTATCCGAAAATCGACTGCTGGTATCCGCAATCGTAATAAGGCGTCTTTTGGGTTCAGTCGTTCTTGTTCCAATTGTTGATTTGCCTGGCGGTGTTTCTCATCTAAGATAGGCTGCAATGCTTCTTCGAAATATCCTCCATCCTCGGCTGGAGATTGGTGTGCTTCGTCAGAATGCAGGAGATGAGGTGCCAAAGTTTCTGCAAGATTATCCCGCACTGGACTGGTGTCAGTGCTAGATGGCAGCATCGGTACATCTAACTTGAGAGCTGAATGTTTCTTTGCTATATTGAACAAGAAAGCCGCCTTAGCTGTCGGAGGAGAGCTGGGCATAGTTGAGGGCGCAGGAGGCTCGGAGTCCACAAAGCCATGTTGCATATTCCAATCTAACTCCTCACCTATGGGATTGGATGGGCTGCTCGGTTCTGAGGTCAGATCGATCACCATATGCTCTGTGCTTGGCAGAAATGGTTCGTCCAAGTCAGAGGCAGGAGAAAGCGGAGGAGACACTGGCTCTAAGTTTGAACGATAATGCTAACTAAATCAGACCAAATTCTGAGCTGGCTCATCCTGACTCACTTTATCTAGAGATAAAATTTGTCTGATTTGGTCTGGCGTGCAAGCCTGATTTGGTGCCTGTTGTGTATAGAACGAAGCGTGGCCAGGTTCCGTAAATGTAGGCTCATCACCCTCCAATTCACGCAAGGCTAATGTTTGCCATCGTGAGACGGTGGATGGAAACCCAAGGCCTTCGTCTTTCTCAGCAATTACATAGCTCAATGGAAGCCATTGGGTCAGGATGTTGCAAGAGCTTGCAATCTGGATATCTTGCAGATATTGTGACAGTTCTTTTTGCAGATCATACCCTGTATCTATAATTTCCGATGGGAGTCGAAGGCTTTTTGTTCGACCAAGGAATCTGAATACAGAAGAAGCGGAGACCTTAGGGTCTGTGGGAATTTCGTAGCTTTCGTCGTCGAGAAACGGCTCTAATGTGATCTTCGTGCGAGGTAAAGGTGCTGCAGTGAGTCCAGGCTGGTCAATTAGCCCGTTCGCTTTTGCCGGTTCCGCAGTTTCTCGAAGCTGCCTGACAATATCTCGAAATCGATATGGGGCGCCTTGATGATTATAGAAACATTGGTTCTCAATAGCGTAATCGACGACCTCTCGACTTCTGGCAGTTGAGGTTGTAGTCGAACTCATGCTGAGAAACAAGGCACATTAGATAACTAGTAAGTACCTAGGATATCGTAAAGAGAGAGGTCAAGTTCGATTGCACATGATCACTGGAGCCTGAGTATTTGATCCCACAAGAGTTGGGTGGATTCCCTTGACTAACTCCTTCCTCTAAACTCCTTGATGTTCTTCATGTTTATTTGGGCAGGCAGGGGCTGGGTGCAGAAGGCGCGATGGAAGATGGCAAGAATTGCTTCATGGGCAGCGCACGCTTCATCACTGACTGATACTCAGGCTATACCATAATAACTCAGAGATAAGTTCTTGAGTATGACTTTTATGATATAAACCATTTCTTCCAGATAAAGATGTTAAGCTGATAATTAGAGGGCTGATATAGCATCCCTGACCCAAGGCAGCAAGAAAACTTTAAGAGCTTGAATCAGGGTGTTGAAAAGTATTAAGCTAAAGACCTACTAAGTCTATACTTAACTTACTCAAGTCTTTGTGTCAGTTGGGATCATGTTATATTTTCTTGCCTCCCCTCGCCTGCTTCTTACATGGGGTGTAAGTGTTTATGCCCCCACTAAACAGCATACATGCATCTCAAATCCATTTTAGAACCCAGGAACTTGAGAAACCCCCTCCACTGGACCGCTGTAATCCGCACTAACTCCGGGGGCTAGTGACGCACCCGATCCTGGAGACAAGCAGCTGCATTGGAGAGCTTTTGAACTTCGATAGCTCTCGTCGAGGGGCAAACACCGTTACCTTGCTTCTCTTTTACACCCTACACTTGCGACCTCCTTAACGAGCAAGACAACATGGCATATGTCGCACCTATCCATCGCGCTACAAGCATACGCCATGCCCTCCGAGCGAATGTGCTCTCTCCCGATATAGATGACTTGGTTGTGGCGTAAGAGCTCCAACGCCTTCGATGACGCCTCGAGCAAATGCTGATTGAGGCTTCACAGGAAGGCGAACCGACTCGAAATATGGCGTCTCACAGAAGAGGGCCTCGTGTGTCTACAGACGAAACTCATCCACGGATCAATAGCGATGCTGCAATGCTTACGACCCAAAGGATCAGAGACCGATCTATTGTTTATCGGCACCGATAGACTGCATTACTTCAACCTGGTCTGGAACCCGTTAACAAAGCAACTGGAGACCATCGAGCGCGTTATCGAAGACCTGGCAGAGCCATATATGCGACATTCGTCAAGTCAGAACAAATGTCTTGTTGATCCGACCGGGCGATTCCTAGCCATGCACCTTTGGGAGGGAGTGCTGAATGTTTTCAAACTCCCCATACGCAAGGGCTCTACCAACAAGCTGGAACGACTCGACCAGGTCAGACTCACAGAACTCTTCATGAAAGCAAGCACTTTCATCCACAGCAGAACCGGTCACCCGACCATTGCCTTTTTATATAAGACACAGTTGGAGCAGGAAGAAGCTCGATTGGTCATATATAGGTTGACTCACGATGACAAAGGGAACACCGTTTCCAAGTTCGACCCTCATAAAGACAGAGAGCTCGACGTTGTCATTCCTGACCCATACGCCTCAATGCTCATCCCTGTTCCATTAGATGAGGAAAAGCGTTACCATGTGCGCAACACCGAAGGAGCAAAGGCACATTTAGGTGGCCTCTTAGTCATTGGAGAAACTCTTCTTACTTACTTTGATGGCCTGACACACAGAAGTGTATCTTCGGTTCTTCAGGACCCGAGAATATTTGTGTCTTGGGCTGAGTACGATGGTACACATTACTTGTTGGCTGATGACTATGGACGACTGGATCTGTTGACGATTGACACAAACCTGGAAACCACCGGTGTTGTTGTGACCGGCATGACACTCGAGCCTCTCAAGATCGGTCGCTCACCAGCCATCACATCCAGGGCGTCCAATCTGGTTTATCTTGGGGATAACACCTTATTTGTGGCTTCACACCACGGTGACTCGCAGCTTTATCAGATCGACGTGGAAAGCGCCACTGTCACACTGGTCCAGTCCTTCTCAAACAATGCGCCCATTCTTGATTTTTCTATCATGGATATGGGCAACCGAGAAGGCGATGCTCAAGCTGGCAATGCCTTTTCGTCTGGTCAGTCAAGAATAGTGGCAGGCTGTGGTGCCTACCGCGATGGGAGCCTTCGAAGTATTCGAAGCGGTGTCGGTCTTGAAGATAGAGGTGTTCTGGACGAGCTAGAGGGAACTAGGGGTCTGTTTACTCTTCGTTCATACGGGTCTGACCTGGTAGATACCCTGGTCGTCTCAGCGATCACCGAGACAAGAGTTCTCAGTTTCGACCGCGAAGGCGGAATTGAAGAGATATACTCTTTCCAGGGCATGTCACTCGATACCGAGACCCTTCTGGCTTCAAATCTTCCCAACGGACAGTTGCTCCAGATCACTCCTCGGTCAGTCGTCTTACTCGATGCCGAAGGCGGCACGGTAACCAGTAAATGGGACGTTCCAAGCGGCAAGTCGATCACAAGAGCGTCAGCAAACAGCAAGTGGGCATTGCTTTCGGTTGATGGAACATCTCTTGTCTCATTGAATCTCTTGCAGAACCTTGCTGTCAATGTTCAACAAAGCCAAAACAACTCAGGCTCACAAGCTGATCAAATATCATGCATACATGCTGCCCGGGATCCACCAGATCTTGGTGTAGTCGGCTGGTGGTCTTCTGGACAAATATCGTTGATTGATATGGCTTCCTTGAAGCCACTACATGGAGAGTCCATGAGACAAACTGAGGATAGTGCTACAGTCCCAAGAGACATTGCACTTGTCCAGCTACACCCCCCTGAGATATCGGGGCCTACACTTTTGGTCGCGATGGAAGATGGCAACGTGGTTACGTTCAACGTATCTACCAAGGGCTTCGCTGTCTCTGGTCGCAAAAGCGTGACTTTAGGCAGTAACCCAGCTCGACTACATATACTCCCGCAACAGGATGGTACATCGAACGTCTTTGTGACGACTGAGCATGCCAGTCTCATATATAGCGCCGAGGGACGGATCATATTCTCTGCCACAACCGCCGATGATGCCACATTTGTTGCACCATTTGATTCCCACGCCTTCCCAGATTCCGTGATTCTGTCTACAGACCAGCATATTCGAATCTGCCATGTTGATAAGGAGAGACTTACACACGTGAAGGCTCTCCCTGTCAACGAGACTGTCAGACGAGTAGCTTACTCCCCGGGACTGAAAGCCTTTGGTCTAGGCTCCATCAAGAAGGAGTTAGTTGGCAACGAAGAGGTTGTGTCGAGTTCATTTAGGCTTGTCGATGAGATTGTCTTCAAGGAGCTCGGTTCACCTTTCCCATTGAATGCTTCAAGCAGCCTCGAGATTGTCGAATGTGTCATTCGGGCTGAGCTCCCCGATGTTGGCGGCAACCATGTCGAGAGATTTATTGTTGGTACAAGCTTCATCAGTGATGGGGTGGAAGACCCAAACGGTACTGGCGGCCGTATCCTGGTCCTCGGAGTTGACTCGAATCGTCAGGTGTACCAGATTGTCTCTCACAATTTGAAAGGCCCTTGCCGCTGTTTAGGTATGATTGATGATAACATCATTGCTGGACTGTCCAAGACAGTTGTGGCCTATAGTTTCTTGCAAGAGACGAGCAGTTCCGGCTCACTCCAGAAGCTCGCTGTTTATCGCCCGGCTGCCTTGCCTGTGGATCTCGACATATCCGGCAACATGATTGGTGTGGTTGATTTGATGCAGTCACTATCTTTGGTTGAATTCATCCCCGCACAAGATGGTAACAAGGCCAAGTTAGAAGAACGGGCACGTCACTTCGAGCCTCTATGGGCCACCTCGGTCTGTCATATTGAAGGAGAAAGGTGGTTGGAGGCTGATTCAAAGGGCAATCTCGTTGTCCTGCAACGAAACGTGGATGCTCCGACAGAGCAAGACCGAAGCCGCCTGGAGATTACGAGCGAAATGAATATTGGTGAACAGATCAACCGTATTCGAAAACTTCATGTCCCGATGGCGGAGAACGGAATTGTCCATCCACGTGCCTTCCTCGCTTCGGTAAGCACAAATTGCATTAAAACGTGAGACATAAACTAATAGGAAATAGGCTGAGGGCTCGTTGTATCTTTATGGTGATATTGCACCCCAGTACCAGGACCTGCTTATGACGTTCCAATCAAAGATGGAAGAGTATATTCATGTACCAGGAAGCGTCGAATTTAAGCTATGGCGCTCCTTCCGTAACGAAAATCGGGAGAGTGAGGGACCTTTTCGATTTATAGACGGGGAGATGGTTGAGAGATTCTTGGATATGGACGAAGGGAAGCAAGAGCTGGTTTGCGAAGGCCTTGGACCAAGTATCGAGGACATGCGCAACTTGATTGAGGAGTTGAGAAGAATGCACTGAGATGATTCTCATAGATTAATGAGTTATGTTGTTCTGGCCCTCACTGGGGTTGTCTTTACATGGATGTTAGTTGTTTGCGAGACGTTCAGGACGAATGGGTCAAAGATGATTGGTCAGAAGCCATAAAGTCATAGAGAGGCTGAATATGAGTCCATTGAGTCGTGACTGGTGTAAATAATGTACCCCGAGAGACTGGTCGATTATATATCGAACTTGTTCTCTATTTGAAAGTAATTTTGCGTCACAATGACAGATTCTCCATCTTCGTAGTCATTGTCAAGGCGAAAGCTGTAGAGGCAAGAAAGGAATCCAGATGCCCGGGATAGACCGGAAACCCCACCCGAAAGTGACCGGACCAATAGTGAGGCTTCAATTTCCGAGCTCAACTGGATCTGGCAGCCTGAGGCCACATTTTGCAGCCAAAACTTTCGGCAAAGCATCATCAGCCGATTACCACCAAGGAAAAGACCTCAAACCTTCCCTTCGACGCCCTCACCCTCGCAACCGCCACACCCCACGATCCCTCACGATGGCGACCCTCGCGACCGCTTCTCGTCTCTGCTTGCGCACGGCTGCAAAGCCCGCCGTCCCTGCTGTGCGCGCCCTCAGCACCACCGCCGTTCGAACCGACAGCGCGTCCGCCTCCGGATACTCCAGCCCTTTCAAGTTCCAGGGTGAGAGCAAGGGCTCTCAGATTCCCAACTTTGGAAAATATGTCTCCTCCGGCAGCGAGACAAAGAACAAGCTCTACTCGTACTTCATGGTCGGTGCTCTCGGTGCCGTCAGTGCTGCTGGAGCCAAGAGCACAGTTCAGGGTGGGTTGAAATCCGGTTCTAGGTCCTGTGTCTTGCCATTGGGTTGCAATTGGTGTTGTAGCTTGTTGGCATGATGTCCGGGATGGTCAATTGATGGTTACTGACGATGGAATGACAGAGTTCCTGGTCAACATGTCTGCCTCCGCCGACGTTCTGGCCATGGCCAAGGTTGAGGTTGATCTGAGCTCTATCCCCGAGGGCAAGAACGTGAGTTGGAATATGGTCTAGCACAACGAGGCAAAATTGCTGAACGGTTCTTCAGGTTATCATCAAGTGGCGAGGCAAGCCCGTCTTCATCCGACACCGAACCCAGGACGAGATCGACCAGGCAAACAAGGTCAACATCTCTGCTCTCCGAGATCCCGAGGAGGACAGCGCCCGTGTCAAGAACCCCGAGTGGCTTATCATGTTGGGTACGTGACTCAGAAAACTGGTACAGAATTTGAACCTCTATATTAACGACTCCTCAGGTGTCTGCACCCATTTGGGTTGTGTCCCCATTGGCGAGGCAGGTGACTACGGCGGTTGGTTCTGCCCTTGCCACGGTTCTCACTACGATATCTCCGGCCGAATAAGGAAGGGTCCTGCCCCTCTCAACCTCGAGATTCCCGAGTACGATTTCCCCGAGGATGGCAAGCTGGTCGTCGGTTAAGCGGACCATGTAAGAGTATATCTTTTATAACGGAGAAACGAAGGAAAGGAGAGATGGGAGTGGGAGCGCATTAGACTGGCGGGCGGGCCACAACACACAACACTCGACGCATGCCCATACCGAGGCCCCTGGGTGGGCGCAAGTTTGCTGTTTCTTAGACGTGGCCTTTCTGTCCATTTGTATAAAAATAAAACGTCCTAGGAAAAATCTCAGTCGACAGGCTCAAAGAGAGGGGTTGAGGAAAAGACAAGGGCGGGAGAGTGAGTGCAAGATGCATCTCGTGTACGAGGTGTTGTACTAATTGAATTTCATTGCCTTTACTTTGAGGTGAAATGATCGATTATGTGAAGTGCGAGAGCATGCTTATGCTCAGCACCAGACTTCTATACTTTGAAACGGGTATCTATTAACTTCAAGTAACGTCAGATACGCGACCTTGAAGAGGCTCCCCAGCCCTGTAATTACAGCTGATGACTACCGCAACTTTATATGTATATCCCGGCATACTGCAAAGTTAACAACGGTTGACAAGAGGAATTGTACACCGAGCAAAAACAGAGTTTCCAACAGACTTGACAAGCTGGAATCACTTTTATCTAGTTGAATCTACAGATCAGTACATTTATATGCACCCTGTACTATAACGAGGCCTGATATCACACATCATGGGTATAAAACATTCAGTCATGAACGGACACCCAAGCTTTTGATTCTATACCTGACAATCCGAACTCATTACATTTCATCTTAATGGCCATGCCCATCATCCTCCCTCTGCTCAGGGTCCAACTTGATCAGGGTGTCGATACGCATGATGCTGATGCAGGCCTCAACGGCACTCTTGAGCTGTCGGACCTTGCTGAGACTGGGCTCAAGCACACCCATCTTAATCTCGTCAACAACCTTGCCCTTGGCGAGGTCAAGACCGTAGTTCTTATAACCCTTCTTCTTGGCAATGGTCTTCTCATCCTCGCTGCCGTCACCCTCAGCAATGCGCTGTGACAGAGCGTGCCTTGATCGAAGCTGGGCAGTGAGCTCTGCGGCGTCCTTGGCAGCGTTGACCGCCAGGGTCTTAGGAATAACAAGAAGAGACTGAGCAAACTCGCCAATGGCGAGTTGTTCTCGGGAGCCGACGGTACCGGCGAACTCCTCGAGGTAGATGTGGAGGGCGGTCTCAACGGCACCACCACCGGGAACGATGCTGCCACTCTCGAGAGTTCGCTTAACAGCGCACAGTGAGTCGTGGACTGATCGCTCCATCTCGTCGAGGGTGAAGTCGTTAGGTCCACGGAGAATGCAAGAAGCAGATGAGTGGGCCTTGGTTCCCTTGACCAGAATGCACTCATCGTCAGAAATGCGCTCCTGGACGACCTCCTCGGCGTATCCTAGATAAGAGGGGTCGAACTTCTCGTCACCGTTAAGGTCAGAAAGTGTGCTGAGCATGGTGGCACCGGTTGCTCGGGCAATTCGTCGAAGATCCTCCTTCTTACATCTTCGCACACCCATGGCACCCTTCTCAACAAAAGTCTTGAGCACCAGGTCGTCAATACCCTTTGTTGTGAGAATGACGTTGGCACCAGCCTTAAGGATCATCTCCACTCGCTCGAGGATCATGCCGGACTCACGGGCTCGGATCTGCTCAAGCTGTTGAGGGTCGTCAACAGTGATCTGAACACCAAGCTTCATGCGCTCCTTTTGCAGGTTCATGTCCAAAACAGCAATCTTGGCATCCTGGATCCGCGTGGGCATGGCTTGCGAAGCGACAGTGCAGTTCAAGGCGTATCCCTTAACCAGGACAGACTCGAGTGTGCTCTTTCCGTGGGCCTTGAGGATGTTGACAGCCTTGACAGGGTACTTTGTCTCGTTTCGGTTGTTTGTAGACTTGACAGCCTGCATGGCATCTACAACCATGTCGGCGAAGAAATCCGAGTCGGCTCCAATAATCTTGCTGGACATGGAGGTCTTGGCAATGCTAAGGAGGGATTCGCGGCCGAGGTCGTCAACCTTGATGCTAACATTCTCGTTGAGGTACTTGATAGCCTCTCGCAGGGCAAGTCGGTATCCTGTAATGATAGTGGTAGGGTGTATCCGGTTCTTCATGAGTTCGTTTCCGCGACGTAGCAACTCGGCAGCGATCAGAACGACAGAGGTGGTACCGTCACCGACTTCCTTATCTTGTTGTTGCGCAAGGTCAACGAGAATCTTGCCGGCGGGGTGCTCGACGTCGAGGAGGCTGAGAATGGTGGCACCGTCGTTGGTAACAGTAACATCCTAGTATAAAGTGTGAGATATAGTCGAGCGCAGAGCGAGGAGGGCTAAGTTGCATACACCGATATCGTCCACCATCATCTTGTCGAGGCCGCTGGGACCGAAAGAACTCTTGACAACATTTGCGATTGCCTGTGTAGCGAGAACTGAATGACTATTAGCATGTTGTCCGTATTTGAAATCCAATATCAAAGGCTCATGTCTCCCCCCACTTCCCCCTAACATGTAGCAAAAGGCGGGACAAGATATAGACAGACATACCATTCTGGTCTCTAATATCAGAACCTGAGATCTTCTGGCCACCCAAGAAAAGGGTGCCGTTTCGGGGCTGCTCGAACATGGAAGCCATAGTTGCAGCTATTGGTAACGTTGACGGTAAAAGGCGGCTTCGTCAACGTGGGGATGGAGTCAGGAAATTCTACCAGCAGGCTACCGTACGCAGACAGAACCTGAGCTGTGAAGCTCCAGTGCCCCTCGACTGGACTTTTTTGTCGGAGGTTGGCGTTATTCCGGCGCCGACTGAAATAGGTGCCAGGTGCCGCTGTGTGCTGGTTACAGGGCGTGAATCGGATACCCACCCGAAGTCCAGGGCACTTGACAGAAGGTGCACGGACCCCAGAAACCCCAAAACTGACCCCTGCCGCGTTATCGGACTTCCTTGCAGCTGAGCGACCGCTGTTTCAATTGGCTGATAGGGCATTGGGCCTGAATTTTGGGCTAGATTTCCAGTGGTGCCGTGAGAGTCAAGCCCGGGCGGGAAGGAGGGGCAACCGCACAGCACCAACTGCACCTCCCTCGACTGCGGGGCAGGCACAGAGTCACGTCCGACGTTTACTTCGACTCACACCCCGAAGCCTTTCTTCTCCTTCTCCCCCCCTCAAAAGATAACGTCGCCCCTCTGCTTCTCGATTCCTTAAAGGCGCGCAAGCCACTGTTCGGTTGCCTTGAAGCTACTATCATCCTCTATTACTTTTCTGTCAATTACCTTTCGACTAACACACGAATCTCACCAAAATGGAGGGCGCCGCCGAACAGTCCAAGAGCGCCTTGAAGAAGGCCGAGAAGCAGGCTCGTCTTGCTGCTGAGAAGGCTGCCAAGGCTGCTAAGCAGACCAACCTTCCTGTCGTCGGTGGAAAGAAGGCGGACGAGATCATTGGAATTACAGTGTCCAAGGCCGAGAACTTCCCCCAATGGTACCAGGAGGTGGTACTCAAGGCCGAGATGGTCGAGTACTACACCGAGATTTCGGGTTTCTTCGTTCTCCGACCTCTTGCCATGCACATCTGGAACGAGATCCGAAAATGGTTCCAGGCTCACATCGAGGAGATGGGTGTTGACGAGACCAACTTCCCTATGTTCCTGTCTTCCAAATCTCTCGAGAAGGAGAAGGATCACGTCGAGGGCTTCGCCCCTGAGCTTGCTTGGGTCACCAAGGCGTAAGGATGCCCATATAAACCATCCCGCTTTCATGAACTTTAATTGACAATCCTCCAGTGGTGACAAGGACCTTGAGGTTCCTGTTGCGGTCCGTCCTACCTCCGAAGCCGTCATGTACCCCTACTATGCCAAGTGGATTCGCAGCCACCGAGATCTCCCCTTCCGCCTCAACCAATGGAACTCCGTCGTTCGTTGGGAGGCTAAGCAAACAACTCCTTTCCTCCGAACTCGTGAGTTCCTCTGGCAGGAGGGCCACACTGCTCACTTGACTGAGGAGCTTGCTGGCGCTGAGGTGCTCGAGATTCTCGAGCTTTACGCTGGTGTTTACGAGAAGCTTCTGGCTGTTCCCGTCGTTCGAGGCCGAAAGACCGAGAATGAGAAGTTCGCCGGTGGTTATTACACCACCACTGTCGAGGGCTACATCCCTTCCAACGGCCGTGGTATCCAGGGCGCTACCTCTCACGCCCTTGGCCAGAACTTCAGTAAGATGTTCGACATCACTGTTGAGGACCCTGCCAACAAGGGCTCTCACATCCACGTCTGGCAGAACTCTTGGGGTCTCTCAACCCGTGTCATTGGTGTCATGGTCATGATTCACGGTGACGATAAGGGTCTGGTTCTTCCTCCTCGCGTTGCCAAGACTCAGGTTGTCATCGTCCCTGTTGGCATCACCAAGAAGACTACCCCTGAGGAGCGACAGAAGCACGAGGAGCAGGTTGAGGACATCCGAGCCAACCTTAAGAAGGCTGGTGTTCGTGTCACCTCGGATTGGCGAGAGGGTTACACTCCTGCCTGGAAGTTCAACGACTGGGAGCTCAAGGGTGTTCCTCTACGTATCGAGTTTGGTCCCAAGGATGCTGCCAAGGGCGTTGTCAGCACTGCGCGACGTAACACCGGTGAGAAGGGAGAAATTGCCATCACCGATGTCGCTACCAAGATCCCCGAGCTTCTCGAGACCATCCAGGCCGACATGTACAGCAAGGCCGAGAAGTCTTTCCGAGAGCACCGCCTCACTATCACCAAGTGGGAGGATGTTCTTCCCGCTCTTGACAACAAGAACGTTGTGCTCATCCCCTTCTGCGGTGCCCCCAAGTGTGAGGACCGCATCAAGGAGCTCACCACTCGTGAGGACCAGCCTGATGTGCCCGAGAACCAGAAGCTTGCCACTATGGGCATGAAGAGTCTTTGTGTTCCCTTCGAGCAGCCCGAGGGTATTGTCCCCGGTGAGACCAAGTGCCTCAGCCCTGAGTGCCAGGGTAACGCCGACAAGTGGACCATGTTCGGACGAAGCTATTAAGGAGTTGAATGAAATTTTATAGTCAGGGAGCGGGAAGGCGTTGACCTGGCATGTTTATGATACACCAGTGCGATTGTTTATGACTTGATGTGAATGTGATTATATCATGAAAATGGGATGGGGCTGGTCACGGAATCAAAACAGTTAGAAAAGAAGATAGATCGTAGCGATGATATTTATCAACATCTCGTTGGTCTAAATACGGCTTTCTATCGAGCTACTACTTGTTTTTGTGCTGTTCGAGCCGGGATGTATCAGTATTTAACACCAAGCAAATCTTTCGTTAGCAATCCAGTCAACTTCCTGATCAGAACCATTGAACCAGTTTAGACTAGCAATGTTGTTGTTTTCTCGGACGATGAATTTGGCCCCCAGGGATTGGATGCCTTCTGTGACCCTTCGTACACGATCCTCGGGGTTCCAAACTTCAACCTTGGAACATTTCCATTCCTTGGCCTCCTTCTGGACGAAACTTGCAATGGCTTGTGTGCCTTTGACAAGTGTCTCATCTGAGATGCTCTCATCTTCGATGACTAGGCGCATGACACGAACGACATTCTTCTCGGGTTGGTCAAGCATGCCGTAGAAGCTGCAAGTCCAGAGAGCCCAGATCCTTGAGTTGGGGGCATCAGGTGGAGTGTATACGGCACCGTGGACAGTTGGTATGCGGGAGAAGATGTGTTTGCACATAAAGTTCTCCCGGTGAATATGCCATTTGATAGTGGTGATATCAGGAACTACTGCAGCGCTGACTTGAGAGGATTTTGAGATCCTGTCTCGAAGAAGTTGCTCATCTCGAGCTGCCAGGTCTGGAATGTCATCGAGAGTGATAGGCTTCAGGGATGAATCGGTAATTGGCTCAGTCTCAGTAACGGGAAACTCGAGATATGTGCTCTTGAAAGGTTCCCAGCCCACAGTCTGGTAGAACTTGGGTCCGACATCTGACCAAAGGACCGAGAAATCAGCAGCGCCTTCATTCTTATGCTGTCTCCTCTTCAGCTCATCCGCAATCAAGGACAGCATCTTTCTGGCATATCCCTTTCCTCGATACTCAGGAAAAGTGAAGACACTGGCCACTCCGTGAGCAGTTCCATCTCTTGCTTTTCCATCCTTGGTTCGAACAAAGGCTCTTTTGTTGTAGGTCTCACAAGATGAAAGGAGGGGTCTTTCGCCAGGCTTTTTATCTCCATCGGTGAGGATCCAACTTGTTACCCCGCCATCTCGAGCCAGAGGAGCCTCCAGGTTATCGTATTCTCTGGCGATATAGTCATCCATGGACAAGGCGGCTCCCCAATGGGGATGAGTGCCCTTCCATATGAGCTCTCGTTCAGAGGAGGTGGGGTTTGTAAGTATAAGAGATGGGGATGTGACGGGAGGGAGGGCTTCAGTTGACGCCATTGTGAATGTTTGCAGGGTTGTTATGAAAGGGATATTCTTGTATTGGATTTTCGCTCTGTATGTTCATAAACTGGAATAATGTCTCATCTCGAGGCGTCTTATACCTCCTCATAAACGGGAGAGGACATTCAGATCTACGCCCTTCTGGAGGCGGCCCCGCATCGGCGGTGGAGCTGGACATTCACCCTGAACACGCCGGATGAGTCGTATATTCCACGTTGCCAAGTATTCGTGACTCCAGTGATATCATTCGATTTCGTAAAATCATGTAATTTAACTTATTGGGAGAAGTTGCATTAGTCTGTCTTGGTCTATTCAAGTCTAGAAGTTACTTCTTTTGGCTTCGAAGATATGGTACCTTATGCTGAAAGGATCGTGGGGGCTCTTGACCAACAACTGGGCATGTGGTTCAGAATTGGAGAGGGAAAAGTGCGAGTGTCTTTCCATGATTGCTAATTGGACCATTGTATATCATGACAACTTGTAAGCCATGAGGAGATTGGTGGAAACAACTTTTTGAACATTGGCCACATACTTTTCATGACATGTGTGACATTCTACAGCTGTTTCGAGTTGAGCTGATTGTGAAATCAGTAGTAGTGATTAGGATATGTTTGAATATAAGGAAAAACAATATCATAAACGGTTATAACTACACTGTATATGATATCAATGTTGACTTTTCATAAGAAAGGGAGCTCTAGTGGTGGGGTTGGCATGACACGCCGAGCAGCTCCCTAGTAATGAGGGGCATTCTATGAAAACCTCCAATTTACATCCTACATCTCGAGATACCAAACTTCCATTGGACCACACAAAATGGCCTTACCACTTCCTTCAGGGCTCACTCCCTCAGAAGTCGCATTTCTATGCGAAATGGAACTCGTTACTGTCGTTCCTCGCCAACGCCTTGAGAGCATTGATCTTCTATCGGTGAGCGCGTCCCTGTCGCGTTTATACAAGCTCGACGCTGACCTGACCTGTTACGCAGGGAACGACGCCGACTCTCCGGCCGCCGCACAGAAGCAACTTACCTTTATGGCTTGCGATACTGTTGAAGAAGCAACGGCGCGCGAATATTGTTCCTCCTCCTTGGCTCCATCCCGATTCGTTACGCGATATTGTTCACCACGAGACAAAGATCGATCCTAAAGGATGGGCGCCACCTCCTCCTCCACCGGTGCGGGCAGATAGTCAAGGAAACGCCAGGAGACTAGATCCCTTTGTCGACGACGAGACAGTACTGTCGCCGCCGTTTCTTCCATCCTGTACATCAGATGCGCCTTCAGGTGCCCTGCCATATCACTGGTTCGAAGTCGCAGAAATGCTCCTCGCCCATGCCTCAGACGATGTTGCCTCCTCTTCAGAAGTTCGTTCGCTACTTCGAGATCTACAAGAAGTCAGGGCTGCAAAGATGCGGTCCAGTACCGCCCAACTCGAGGGTGGAGTCGATGGTGTCATGAGTCTACGAGGAGTTGGAGCTATGGAGCTTGCAGAGAGCAGAGGATTCGTCGTCGGTGTAGTGGAAGGTGTAAGGAAACTCGGCGCAAGTACAGAAGCAACACGGAGAGACGAGGAGGAACAAGGTGGTGGTGATGAGTCGGATGAGGCGAGCGACGAGGATATGGGACTATGACCCTCCATCTAGGCTATGAGCGAAGAATTACGAATTCACGAAAAGGGGTGAAGTATACATGGCGCAACTAAAGGAGAACGACTTGTAAGTCGATTATTATTCTATACCAACCTTCTCAAGGTACCTGTCTAACGTCTAAATTAAAACATAGCTCATTATTTTAAACTCCATGAAATGCCAAACATCGCTATCAACTCATACCTGCACTGTCGCATGAGCAAGGGCCAGCCTATACTTAGCAAGTCGTGCAGGATGAATTCGAACCCTCCCGCCAGCGGGAGGCTGAAGATGAGGTGCCAGCACCTCCCAACTTGCGCCCTGCAACAAGGCTCCCATAAAGTCCTCGCGCATATCCAGTCCCGTCTCTCGCAGATATTTCTCAGGGTCTGCAGCTGCTTCTTGCAGAAGATCCTCAGCCTTGAAGAACCGAGCCCAGTCCTTGTGCCATTCACTATGACACTGGTGGCATCCTCTCCCCGGGTTGTGAAAACAGGGATGAACTTCGTAGCATTCATATCCTACAGAATGAAACTGCTCGTACCAGTCATAATGGCGACGAGCTCTCAGTCCGGAGCCGTGCATACCTGGGATTTCACTGGAACTGTTAGTTCGCGTCCTGAGAATGAATGGATGTCTGGACTCACGGATCGAAAGATGGCCAGACCAGCGGGCTGATTTCACCTGAGGATGGGTCGTCCACAGGAGTGGCCATCTTCGCGTATGCGACTGGCTCGTTGCTCACAGGACTAGGCTCATCGGAAACAGGGGCATCAGAGGTCAGGGTCACAGGTTGTTGAGGCTCGGAGGCCTGAGTTTCTACAGCGGAAGAGCGTGTGGTCATGATTGTGGTTGTCGAAGTTTCAACAACCATGCGCGGTGACGAAGAGCGTCCCCTTTTTATTCCTGCTGCGGAAGCATCCTCATCGTCGTCACAAGATCGCTTGCGCTTTCCCACGACACCTCCTGAGTAGGCGGGAGGAGTGTCCAATCGTCCGATAGACTGAACAGAGGCTGGGAATGAGCTTCTCAGTGGTCCGATAAACTGAGCGCAGTCTGGGCTGTCGTCCTCCCCGCGACCGATTTGAGCATCATATCCGCTATAGTCGATGAACGGAACCTTTATATCTGCAGGACGCCTTGGTCGTCCAGAACGGCCATCGAGCCTGGGCGAGGAAAATCCAGCGAACCACGTAGAACGGTTCCTGGCCCCGGATATGTTACTCACCATTGCCCAGGCGCCTGTATTATCGCGTACAATGGTGGAACAGTCAGCGGCCGGACCGTTGAGAGGCGCAGTTTGGGGGGCGGCTTGCCCTGAATTGTGCTCATCGTCAGCCTCGTACCCGCTTGGATACTCCTGGTCGGAAGAAGAACCAGCAGCAATCAGAACACCCGGGGACCCAGGAGGATCAAAGGGGCCAGAAGAGCCAGAAGGCCTAGAGCATGGCCCTCCTGACGCATCATCATCATCGCTCCCATCGTCTCCCTCCGAATCTGATGAACTTTCAGAGCCGGTAAATTCTGTGTCATCGGAGGTTTCCTCAGAGGCTTCATAACCACTGCTAGCTCCGCTCCCACTTGACTCATCCTCAGATCCATCACTTGGGGGATCACCAGAACAACCGTCGCCATCGCTCTCATACTCGTCGCTACTCGGCTGTTCATGGCCCATAGCGATAAGTACGTCTATCTTTATCGTATCAGGACTTGGGCGGTTTGGAGGTGGAGAAGTTCGAGTAGGTGAATTCGGCGAAGAGATTTCTGAATCTGAGTTTGAGCCTGGGCCAGTGCTCGAGGATGGAATGACATTGGATGGCCCAGCTGCTAAAGGTATTGGGGATCCAGACGCTTGAGCTTCCGCTGAAGGCGAAGAAGATGGCGATGAAGGCCCTGAACGCGAGCTTGAGCTGGAGTGTGGATCCTGATCAGAAGGACCGGCTACCGGGGGAGAAGGGGATGAAGACGGTGGGGATGAAAGCTCCGAGCTGGAGCTAGGGCTTGCGCTGAGATGGCGGTCCTGACTAGAAGGGCCCGCTGCAGATGGCGAAGATGTTTGTTCAGAGCTCGAGCTTGCAGACTGATTTTGGTCTGGAGGATTAGCTTCTGAAGAAGCTGCACGGCGATGGGCTTTGATCTTGATTATCCTCCTTCCTGGAGCTGCATACTCACTCTGGTCCGAAGGGGATGAACGCCCTGAGCCTGAACTAGAACTTGAACTTGGGGATATGCTTGGGCTTGGGGAGGGAGTGAGTTTGGCCATTCCAGCTGCAGGAGGCGCAGCAGAAGAAGATGAGCTCGATGATGCTGCTGCTGTGTTCGAACCTGAGGACTGACCCTGGTTTGAAGGACCAGCAGCCGAAGCGCGTGCAGCGTGATTTAATTTGAGCGTGATTCTTTTTTTTTCTCTGCTAGCCATATTAGCAGTGCCGCCGAGCCTCTGAACAACATCCTTGAATGGCAAGGGCTCAGGGTCTGCAACGAGGGCACGTCTTTGGCAATCTCTATCAGATTCAAGGCTCGCCATCAGAGGAGGAGCATTGTTAAGCCGGGAGCGTGCTCGTGTTAGTCGCATAGCCGTTGGTTCAGGAGCGGGCCTGGGATTTCGGGGTCTAGGAGCAGCCTTGGCTCTGCCCTTCCTCTTGGGGTCGTGGTTCGCGTTGGATTTCTTGTTCGGCATTATGATTATAGTTGTGAATAGTTTCGATAATGGATGGGATGTTCAACAAAGCTCTGCCTTGCTAGAAATGTAATCTGTTGTGATACTAAATGGTTGGACATGTTTGGAACTGAGAAGACACAGCGTCTGTTATATGTTTTCCTCATCATGGTGACTATGAATGCAATGGTATGTTGTTGTGAACGATGATCTATTGCTTTATGAAGGTCTTGTCCTAATAGACAAAGACTATTTATTGTATGAACACTACAGACATCAAAGACAAAGCAGATGCTTTGTTTAAAGATACTATGGTTGTTTGAAGATATTTCATGTTCTCTGATGAACAAATATTTGCCCAACAAAGACGTTGGGTCTCTTTATCTCCGAAACTAACAAAGAGACTCCAAGCAGTTCCAATTCGAGCCAGTAGCAAGTATGAAATATATCCTGTTCACTGGAATGTTCACAAGACTCCAACATCTTTATGAAATGTAAATGTTATATTTCTCTTTATGTGAAACTATTATGAGTGGCAGGATATAGCCAGAGACCGGCGCGGCTACGAATCTTGACAAAGCCGGCAGCGAATGAGAGACAAGCAAGCCCCTTTGGTTGTCGTGAGCAAATTACCGTTTGCCTTGTTTGACTCATGGAACGTGATGTCGCTTTTGTTGCCCCATGCTTATTCTATGGTTGCACCTCTTGTCTGAGACTCATAAGTCATGATGGCCGGTTCACCCAGGTGACTCAATGAGGCTCTGGACTTGATTTTACGTTTTCTTTCTTAGACAGATCACGGTATCTGATAGCTGTAGGGTCGATAAACTACCAAAGGTTAGAAATTGCCGAAAAACATGTCTTGGTTTTGAGTTCATCATTACGGGCGAAGCTACCCTAGAAGCTCTCATGATATGTTGCAGCCGTTAAAGCTAACAGTGATGTACCTGGACAACCGAAAGTGTATAAATGGAAGTAGCATAAGGACCTCTACACAGGCTTCAGATACTAGCCTACTCAGAGAAGTGAACATCTCGCAATGATAAGTAAAGATTGATACCTTATATATGTGAGAAGTTATGAGTTAGGGAAGCATACTCATATCTTGGCTTGGATGCATATCGTCTGACAGGAAGCAGGTACAGTTGGGGTAGCCCCTCCCTCATGGCAACCGGGTCTCCACACCGCACCTTCCGGGGCAATCACACGACCAAGCCATGACCGCTATCGCCTAAAACGGCAAGTATCTACCTTACGTGATCGTCATGGTACCTGCCTCGGATCTTATCTCTCCAGGCAGTTCCGCGCGTCTTCGTCTTCTTCATAACCTCTTCCAAACATCATCTTCTTGCCATTCATCGTTTCAATTATCGCATTTACAGATACAATGAAGTTCTCGCAGGCTTCTCTTCTGGCGGCTTGTCTGCCTGCTGTCTCCGCTCGCTTCATCGAAACTGCCGAGGCCGACAACGTCATTCTCCAGCCAGACGAGCTGTTCCTGGTCGAGACCGCCCCCGGCAAGACGCAATGGGTGACTGAGGAGGAGAAGTGGGAGATGCGCCGTGTAAGTGTCACATTAAACTCCCAGCTCTGAATGGCTCACTAACACTCTGTAGAACGGCCAAAACTTTATGGACATCACCGACACACCTTCGCTCGGCTCCAAGCGCATCAACGCTGAGAGCACGGTCACTTTCCCTAAGAAGTGCGTGAACCAGGACGATGTCAAGAAGCTCTCCAAGAACCTCGAGAAGAAGAACATGCAGGCCAACCTCGAGAAGTTGACCAGCTTCCACACCCGATACTTCAAGTCCGACTACGGCCTTCAGTCCTCCGACTGGGTTCTTGAGAAGGTCAACCAGATCATCAAGGACGCCGGTGCTGAGGATACCGTTTTCGCCGAGAGCTTCCCTCACACATGGAAGCAACACTCCGTCATTGCGACCATCCCTGGCCAGTCTAACAGCACTGTCGTGATCGGCGCCCACCAGGATTCCATCAACCTCTTCCTTCCTTCCATCCTCGCCGCTCCAGGCGCTGATGACGATGGCAGTGGTACAGTCACTATCATGGAGGTGTTCCGCGCTCTTCTCAACTCCAAGGACGTTGTTAAGGGCAAGGCTCCCAACACCATCGAGTTCCACTGGTACTCAGCTGAGGAGGGTGGTCTGCTCGGAAGCCAGGCTATCTTCAAGTCGTACGAGGAGAATGGCCGCGATGTCAAGGCTATGCTTCAGCAGGACATGACTGGCTATGTCCAGAAGACTCTCGATGCCGGTCAGCCCGAGAGCGTTGGTGTCATTACTGACTTTGTCGACCCCGGCCTGACTAAGTTTATCAAGACCGTCGTTGAGGAGGTATGTTTGTCTAGATTCCTTTGTATGTTCTTATGCTAACTCTTATTTCCAGTACTGCAGCATTCCTTGGGTCGAGACCAAGTGCGGTTATGCCTGCTCCGACCACGCTTCTGCTTCCAAGGCCGGCTACCCCTCAGCCTTTGTTATTGAGTCCGCCTTCGAGTACTCTGATCCTCATATCCACGGTACCGATGATAGCATTAAGTATCTGTCTTTCGACCACATGCTCGAGCATGCTCGCATGACCCTTGGTCTTGTTTACGAGCTTGGTTTCTACGACTTCTCTGACAAGACCGAGGAGAAGTGGAGTGACCTGTAAATGACAGATATTGTGGAATTGCGTTTAGAGAGCAGCAGTCTCCTTTTTGGATGGGCCGCCTCGATTCAGTTATTATGAGCAACGGATTACATACGAGGATATACGCATAGTTAGCGTTGAATAAGACCATCTGTTTGAAAGTCCCTAAAATGTGCACCTGCAAAGTACTCACTGTGAAACCCGGAAGATTAGAATTATATCATGAATTTCTTACATATAAGTTGATTTACCCTTTTGTCTATACCCCTATAAAGAAAAACCCTGAGCGCCACTGATGACCTACGAACACCCATTGTTTACATATTGTCTACTGGCCCTGGCCATTTCCATTATTAGGAGGCTGCTGCTGCTGTCCCCAGGGCGACTGGCCGTTCTGCTGCGCTTGCATACTCGACATCAACGCAGCGAAGAATGCCGGGTTGACGAAAGATCCACCGTTCGCAGCCTGTTGTTGACCTTGTGCAGCTGGCCACCCAGGAGGAGGTGGTGGAACAGCTGCAGCATTGCCCTGAGCAGGTGGTTGAGGCCAACCAGGAATTTGGAAGCCAAAGTTGGGCATCGCTGGTGCTGCGCCTTGAGCGGGAGGTTGAGCGCCGGCCCATGGGGATGGAGGAACAGCTTGTTGGGCATGCTGAGGAGCTGCCTGAGGAGGTAGCGAGTAGCCGTCTCTAGGCTGGTTGAAACCTCCTCTTCCACCACGTCCAGAACCTCGTCCACGAGCTCCACGCCCTCGAGAATCGCCACGGCGTCCTCCTCGCTGGTGAAAGTTTCTGCTCGATGGAGGCTCGTATGTCTCTGTTGTAGAGGGGCCGGAACCATAGCCAGGTGGTCGTGCTAGAGGCTTATAGGGGCCGTCATCGTCATCGTCGTAGTTAAGACCTCCGTCCGGTCGCGACTCTTGTCGCAGAGGATGAGGCTCCTTGCCTCCCCTGGCGGGGTCCTTCTTCCACTTATCCTTCTTCTTCTGCTTGATCGCTCGCTTATACTCGGCCTCCTTTTCATCGTCTGAGAACTCCATCTCATCATCGCCGACTTCTTCGTCATGAAGGTTACTGGCGTCTGAGCCCTTCATGTTCTTTAATGGCTCGGTAAAGACATACGCGGCGTGGTCGGTAGGGTAGAACACTGTTTGGCCAACCTCGAGTCCTAAATCTTTGATATCCTGGTCTGATGTGAAGCGCACAGTATACATGGGCTGCAGAACCTTTCCGATCGTATCTGCAATCGCACCGATGACGACTCGCTCAGCTGTGCAGAGCACGGATCCGGAATCAAGAACTTGGTACTCGCCAGGCGTGAATGCCTTGATCAACATCATGTTCTCCACAATGTGCTCGATAGCTCCCAGCTCTTCAATCTTCATCTCAGGTGTAATTGTAACATCAGGCTTGGGAATTACTTCTTCAGGAATCTCATTCTTTGTTCGGACCTGGGTGGTTCTTGAACCAGTAGCTCCTCGATCGCCCTCATCATCAGATCCTCCTTCAGCCTGCATGAGCAGGCGTGCGGTCTCTTCCACGCCCAAAAGTTCGTAACCTTCGTTGTCGTCGGAGTCTTCGTCGGAGGAATCAGAGCTGCTTGATTCTGAGGATGATTCGTATGGTGAAGAGTCGACTTCCCATTCGGGGTTATCGCCCTGGTCGTTCTGAAGTGGTACGGTCTCGATATTCTCTGTAGGAGCTGGCTGAGAAGCAGGAGTTGGGTTTAGACCGCCGATGGCGGCCTCGAGGGCACCTGTGAGAGAAGGAGGGCTTTCGGGTTGATCGACTGCCATGGCATCTGAATCTGCGACTGATGTGGGCTCAGCCTCAGAGGGCTTAGCCTCGGTAGCAGCAGATGCTGAAGGCTGGTCTTTGGGGTTATTGGGAGCAGCATCTGTGATCTCGGTATCTTGAACGCTTGCGGCAGCAGCAAGAACGTCGGCGGGCATGGGCGGAAGAGTCTCGTTGGGTTTGGCCTGTCCGAGGCCGGGGATTTGGAAACCGGACATGTTGTATTGCGGGCGTTGTATTATATACTGTCTTGAATAAAACGATAGATGGAAGATTACTCTTGACTCATTGGAAACAGATGAGATGGTAAAAACCAAAAGACAGATTTGAATGCGACAGGCGCAAAAGTTAAGATGAAGAAAAGCAGAAAGTTTCAGAGCGCCTCTTCCTCATGGGTAAAAGACCCTTCCTTACTAGCGCTAGCAAGAAAAAATCAAGGTGAACAATAAAGTGGGGCCTGTGTCCCGGCGCTAGTACCCCACAACACATGCTTCACCGTCGGTGAGCCACGCGCCTCGGTAAAGCCTTAAAGGCACCTCCTGCTGTAAATGTTAGTGCTAGTGTTAGTGGTTAGTGCTGTAGCAGGGCTCCTTCCCCAACTGTTGAAGGAAGCTCCAAATTCCATACCCACCCACATCTTCTCTACCCACTCACTATGACATGACGACAACATTCCTTTCCTTGTAAACCATCATCAACTCACGTCGAAATCGAAATCGACAGCAACGATGGCTCCAGGTACAGCTCAACAGTCGCAACAGCGGCAGTTTGTGCATCCAACTGCTAGTCATGCCAAGAAAAAGTATGTAGAATACCTATTTCATCCCACTTCGAGAGCTCTACTGACCATGCCTTTCTCAATTTAGAGCTCCAAGCGCATATTCTATGCAACCGATTTCCGCCTTCTACTGGTTCTTCGGCGCCGCTCTCGTATCCGCCTGGTTCGCTCCGATTCAAGATTGCGATGAGACGTTCAATTACTGGGAGCCGACTCACTACTTGTCCCATGGCTATGGTCTTCAGACGTGGGAATATTCTCCAGACTATGCTATCCGCAGTTGGCTCTACATCGTCTTCCACGCTATTATCGGAAATGTGCGCCGAATATTTCCTCACTCGAACAAGGTGAGTTGCATACGATGAAATATACAAAAGAGGTCCATTGACGCTGGATGTTAAGGTTGCCGAATTCTACTTTGTGCGGTTTGGGCTAGCTTTTGTGTGCGCCATCACTCAGACGATCCTTTTCATGGTCACCAGCACCACACTCAACAGCCGTATCGGCCTTTTCTTCCTCATCGCAACTGTTGCTAGCCCCGGAAACTTCCATGCAAGCACTGCCTACCTTCCATCGAGCTTTGCGATGTACCTGGTCACAGTCGGAGCTGCAGCTTTTATGAATTGGCGAGGTGGTCTCAAGACTTCTCAGGGCATGTTTTGGTTTGCTGCTGCTGGAATTCTAGGATGGCCCTTTGCTGCTGCGCTTTGCGCGCCGTTCATGCTCGAAGAGCTCATCCTGCTTGTATTTGGTGACAAGACAGCGTTGTGGGAAGCATTTGTTCGCATTGGCCGCGGTGTAGTTTCTGCAATCTTGCTTCTTGTAAGTCTGGTGTTTCTCTACTTCATGGCCGATCTAACATATCTAGGCCGGTGACTACTTTGTCAACCTCTTCTTCTATAAGAAGCCGGTTTCTGTGACATGGAACATTGTCAAGTATAACATCTTCTCATCAAACCATGGCCCAGAGCTATATGGAACAGAACCTTGGACATTCTACTTCAAGAATCTGGCGTTGAACTTCAACCTCTGGTTTGTTCTGGCTCTTGCTGCTCTGCCTCTCTTCATACTCCAGAAGATCATTTCACCATCTGGCCAAGGGTTTCAAACGGGGTTGAGAACCGTTGTGTTTCTCTCCCCCTTCTACATGTGGCTGGCTATCTTCAGCGCACAGCCTCACAAGGAAGAAAGGTTCATGTATCCGGCCTATCCTTTCCTTGCGCTCAACGCAGCCATATCTCTTCATATGATTTTGACTGCTTTAGGCAACTCTGATCCTAAGACGCTTGTTGGAAAGATTCCTGCCAAGCTGAAGCTCCTGGTTGTCACTCTCACTATGATTCTGTCTATCGATGTCGCCATTTTCCGAGTCTACGGTATCTGGTCCGCTTACTCCGGACCTATGAAGATTTATTCTCCCCTTTGGGAGGGCACAGACGACAAAGAGCCCATTGGTCGTGAGGAGGATACCGTCTGCTTCGGAAAAGAGTGGTATCGTTTCCCCTCATCTTACTTTCTGCCTCGGGATATGCATGCCAAGTTTGTCCGCTCCGAGTTTAGAGGTCTTCTGCCTGGTGAATTCGCTGAAGCCGAGACTGGCTTCGGCTTTTGGAGCGGCACTTGGCTCCCTACGGCGGGTATGAATGACCACAACGAGGAGGACTTGGGCAAGTACACTGAGCTCCCCGCGTGCGCATTCTTGGTCGACACTCAATACCCAGAGAGAAACGACCCTCTGCCGCCAAATGAACCCGACTACATTGCAGACGAGAAGAACTGGGAAATTGTCAAGTGCGAGCCTTTCCTTGACGCTGCCAAGACACACATGCTCGCAAGGACCCTTTGGGTTCCGGATGCGTCATTCATTCCGGACAAGTTCAAGAGAAAATGGGGCAGGCACTGTTTGTTGCAGCGAAAGAAGGTTGCTGAGCCTGCTGCTGCCAAATAGAAAGCTTCAATATTTTGCGAGCGAGCGACTGCGTTGATAGCAAAAAGATACAAAGTACTCATCTGCCAGATAGATAGACCAGGTCCAATAAAATTGGATAGTACTCAAACAGTAATGCTCACGCATGCAGTGTGCGTCACATCGCCTCAGGTCTTATTCCTACCGCCTGCTGTGATACTCTTTTCCAAACAAATAAGGCGAGTGAGGGCCTCGAAATCCTTGATTTCAACACATCCAGGCTGTTCTCAGAGAGTCATGGTTACGCATAACGGCAGAGCCCTACTTTGCAAGAGCGTCTGGTACCACGAAAGGCATGTACCTTTCCGAAGAGCCTCAGGTACCGGTGTGTTGGTTGTAGGCAGTTGCTCATGATGAGCAACGTTTTTCTTATATTGGCGCTCTGAGATCAGCCATTGACCGGTTTATGAGTATAGAATCGAGTACTTGCGATGGAAATCCTGGTACTGAGCTGGGTGTCTGGTTAATATGATCAACCCTCCACGGTCTCAAGTTCGGACACGCCTCCTGCCTGAGCAATAATCTTGGCATCAACTCAGTGCTTCAAACCCGGTTTGGAGCAACCTCCTCAGACGACAATATCTCGTATATAGTTTCGTATGGCGACCAGTCGTGTCCTTGGTGCAAACGCTTCACAGCTGCAGCCTTCACAATAAGGAAACTGACAAGTAAGTAAAAATGCAGACAGTCTTGGCACAAAGCACCCAGAGAATCCGATGCCGAACAAGAGTCGCACAGCTGCTGCGGGATTGACGATATCCAAGACTATTCTCGCCGTGTGCCGTGTGCCGTGTGAGGTCAGATGAGCAACCCGCACTTGGATCATGATCTCAGCGGCACATTTAAGTAAATTGAGTTAGATTCAAGAAAACAAGATTGAAAACCTTCGATGCTGTGGAGGCCGGTCGAAGTGCTACAGCCAAGGCGAAACGGTACTTTGACTATGGTGATATCATACGTCGATTTTAGCTTGTGTTAGGATTTAACGTAATGAAAACAGCGTACTCCGTACAACAGTGTGCATATGCAAATGGTGTGCTTGTCGTTTGTGGGGAATGCCAGATATAGCGCATTCGTATCAGAATATCCATCGCCAGGAGAGCCTAAAGTAGGTAGCCTCCCATACTCAAGCGAGCATGCTACATACTGAAGCAACCGAGTGGTCTCGCTGAAGTAAGAAAGTTTGATATAGATATATAACTGATTTATCATCGCTATCAAATCAGCACCGACTGTCACTCCTAGCAGTGTATTGTATGCCTGTTTCATATATACTCCACTAAAGCCCAGTTCGAGAACCCGGGGAAGGAGAGTGAAGTCCGATATATTGCCCTACAACATCAGAAAAACCAATAATCCTCGTAAATAGAAACACAGATTGAGTAAATTGCTAGTCTTCCATATCGAAAACAGAAATATCCGCTCCTGTGTGTAGAAAGTCGAACGTAAATAAAGAGTCATCTTCAGTTCGTGAACCATGATCAAGATACACTGCAGGAATATCCAAGTATTCCTCTTGGCAGGACATTCTTGGTCTCTTGGTGAGGTGCTCCGCTTCCTCAGACTGTCGCTTATGTTGAACAGGCCAGGACATTGAGACTGGGGTGCTGTTTAGTCCGATGCTTTGACCCACGTTGGCAAACCACGGTGAGCCGCTGGCCGAGTCCTCCAGTGGCTGAGTGAACGGTAAGAGAAGGGAACAATTTGAGACGGCTTCACTGATAGAACTAACTGTTGAAAAGTTCTCGGGACCTGGTGGTGTGTCTCTGAAAGAGCTCACCACACTTTCCTGTAAAGAGCTGGATGATCTTGTTGAATGCAGACTTGACAGCTCGTTGCAGGCTAAAGAAGGGGTGCTGTTTGCTTCAGGCGATCGTTTCTGGCGCACAACTCTAACCAAAAGACCCAGGATCCTACTGAAACTTAATGCGAGGTTGTCAATATGGGCTTGCTCGGCAGCCTTTGCAAATCGATCCCGAAGAGCTTCCAAAATTGGTATTTCCTCTTCTGGCCGACCGGGGGTGCCATCCACTTCTCCTATTGGCTGCAACAAGGTATCTTTAGCAACTATGAAAGCAGCCGCTAGTGGGAAAGTTGCAGCCAACCGAGGAAGGGCTGACGTCGCAGAATCATCACTTTCAGTTACAGCGGGTTGAGTTCGAGAACTCCTTTTCGTCTTTCTTGGGCTAGGTTGGTCGAGAGATTTGTGTTGGCCTAGTACCTCTTTCAAAGTCTCAGAAAGGCGTAGATCTGGCTTTGCAGCTGTGGCCAGTAAGAAGACAAGACAGCATGCTTTGGCATCCTTGAAAGGCTGGGTGGATTTCATGTCATCATTATCTTTGCTTAAGCAGATCCTTGTTGCGAAGAAAGATAACATGAGAGAGAACGTTTCAGTGGACGTCAAAGCCTTCTGCATGATGCTATGAGTCGAAGACCACTGTTCCAATCTTTGTTGTAACTGTGCCAGTACCTGGTAATGTCTCGAAGGATGTAAGTTGGGTGCACCGGCCGCATGGAAGGCCTGGTAAACTTCGTCTTGAAGCTTCGCAAGCTCTAGGCGGGCTAATAAATCGGGTGTTCCTGTTTCGGCTTCGTCAAAGGAAGGGGGGATGCCGGAATCATAGCCTGGTAGCCAGGCTGTAGATCCACGGAAAATTGCAATATTTTTATCTCTGATATATAAAGATCTAAAAACCTTGTGTCGTTCCAATATGTCTTCGGGTGGAAGGTCATCGGAAGATGCATTGATTTGATGAAGGCCCATGGTGCGAGCCAGCAGACAGGCTTGGGCGAAGACGAGTTCCGCAAGCGAAGTCGTGCTGTACTGCTCGGCCACGTAACTCTGCCGTAACAGTTAGTTCAGTTTCACAATAAGAGCCAAGATGTATCTTACCAAAAGAGCAAGTGCCTGGACATTAACGAGCCTTGGTGTTAAGAATACTCGAGGGTTATTAACAGCCATTTTCAATGTCTGTAGGAGTGTTTGGACAAAGTGGCTGTTGCCCTGAATCGTGGGTTCTTTCTTGATACCAAGAAGAACAATTACATTGAAACAGACAGCCCAACCTTCATCTGCAGGCCCAATAGGTTGTGAATAGATTCGGCCGACGTGGGGTTGGAAATTAGATCGAACAAAGACATCAGTTGCATAATCGACGTTCTTGAAGAAGGGACCGATGACAAGGTTGAGAAATTGTCGAGGGGGAAGACATATACCGACAGGATGAGACAGCATATCTAAGTGAGGCTCGCTGCTTGCCTCATTGAGCATCTCCTGCAACATCATATGCTCAGAGACAGCATTTTGTCCAGAGCCATTGTTCTCCGAGACACAAAATGATGGGTCGTCGCTAAATTCCTTGCAAAGGGCATAAAGAGAGCATGGTCCATGATAACGATCAAGTGATTGTGATGTGTTTCTGACAATATGACGGTTTATGTGAGGGGTTGACGTCGAATCCGTCCCAGAATGGTTCTCCGGGATCCATTCCTCAGCAGGAAGGGATAAAGATCTTACACTACTCCCACCTTTGACAAGTGATGTCAGGTCCGAGAGATCATTTTGGATGCTGTGCAGTTGGCCTTCGAGCGTCTCGAAGTTTTGACATCTGAAACACAAACAGTTTTGTAAGCTCTTGTGCCCCAGTCGTGGGGTAACAAATTGCGCTTCCAGACTCACAAGAGTTTGACATGATTGACGCGCTTGCCCGGAGACGAGTATCGACATTCAACACCGTCTCGCTTGCAACTTTCACATTGCGGCCGTTCTCTTCCACATCTAATCTTCCGTGCTCGGCAGTGTGCACAAGCCAAGTCGTGTGTAGACCACATTTGCGGCTGTTTCCGTTCTCGTCAGTCAATGCCTCTCAGCAAGTTCGTTAATGTTTTCAAACAAACCTCTTTGCCCTGGTTATTCCACATTTTGTTCTTGGTTGCAGATTGAAAAGAGTCAAAGACTCCGGGATTTCATCAGTTTTCAATAAAAGTTACAAGGATATAGATGAGTGGCCAAGTACTGGATGCATTCAGTCATTGGACAGGTCTGAAAGAGGGGGAGCAGGCTCGTTAGGAGGACAAGAATCGCGGTACGACAATCGATATCATTACGTGAGAAATTATCTTAAGAAACAAGTCAGCGAAAGGTTCAAAGGAAGGGTTAACCTCGAGAAAGTTGTGGAGGTCTTGTCTCCCCCACGGCCAGACAGTGGCTTGCTCGCTGGCATAATGATGATCAAGGCCGCGATACCGTCAGCTCCATCGGTACAAGCATACAAATCCGTGTACATCCATGGGAGCTTAGTCGTGGATTCGAGGTTACACACTTCGTCATATCGTAGGTAACCCCGTACGTCTTTGCCTAGCTATTGGTATCGCTACATCTTGCGTGTGGCCGCGGGACTCGGGGGCGCCGCTCTGATGGCAGCACAGAAATATCTTGCAGAAAATTGGCGCTAGAGTCTTAGCAAAGGGGGGTATTAGAGTGCCCGTGTTTGTAAGGAAATAAAGGATTACAAAGAAGAAGTCCTTAATCGTCAACGCTTTGAGGGAGGTTAAGATGTGTGAGCCAAGTTCAGCGGTCAGCTTTACCCGGATGAAAGGAAGGTATGTACTTCCCTCTTACCCGTCTTTTGAGGTAGTACCTGAACAAAGCTACTCCTTCCAACATTGATAGTAACTCAGTGTATGGAAGTAGCGGGCCAAGCACCCTCCTTTCAGATGCCAACCTTAAGGTAGGTACGACTTACACAGGCCCCCAGAATTACTTAAGCTTTTGCGTTACATCGAACTCGGGCTTCTTGATTTTGGCACTTTTGTCCTTCTTCATTTTCCATGAACAAAGCTTGAACAACTCATTGGAAACTTGACAATTGTCGATTTTACAAGGATCCTCCTTTTTGCATACACGAATCAAACGACAGCCTATGATAGTTTGTGGTGCGCATCCTTGCCGCGGCGGGCTAGAAAAGCTGAAGATTGCACTGCCGGCAGATGTTTCACACACTTGCTACAGGGCCAAATATGGCGCAATGCATCCTTTGACAGGCATCCTGCATATCACAACGCCTGGTTTACTCTGTACACGCCTCCATTTCTCTGTCAGAGAAATGGCGGGAGAGATTGCCTGAGAGCAATGGAATACGCAGTCAATCACCTCATGCTTGTTCCGGTTTCGAGTTTTGAGAACCCAAAGATCTGGGCCATTGAACACTGTGTATCGTCGTAGTAGCTCAACTCCCCCATGTCCTATGTTACATTGTCGAGGGCCTGTCTTGAATCACTCAAAAGCTTAATCTAATTCTTGGCCACGACTCTATTTCTGCAACTGCGTGAGAACGATACGAGCATCGCAATTGGACGGACCATTGCGACACGGCAAGGCTGAGCTGCTGTTTGTCATTCCGAAACATTCTTCAGGTCGAACCAGTCGGAACTGCAGGCAGTTTAGTATGACAGAGCCGCGCACCGGGGCGGAATGTTGGAATGATGTAACACTGAACATGCTGCAAAAAAACGATAAGCATGAGCACAAAGATACCAAAGCCTGCTCACTGAACGCTTTAGATGGTGAAACCAAGCGTCTGACAATGGCCGCAGTCTGTTATCACAAGAAAAGTATTGGCACTCAAGAACGTTTCAAAGAAAGAATACAGTCGAGCGCAGGATTTCTGTGTAACAGAACGATCAAGACCTCGTTCAATGGCAGTTATTTTCAACGTCCTGTACCAGATTCAACCTAGGGAGTTTCATGGGGAGACGTATTGAGTGAGCATCGTATCGATGACCGTCTTACGAAGAAACGAGACAGGCATAAATGAGACAAAAGGGAAACTTTGTCAGATAACCAGAAAAGCCCCCTCTTCCCCTCCTAATGGAAGTGTTGGAGTGCCACATGGGGATCTGCTCGCGGGATCCTTGCATGCTGATCGACAGCCATTACAACTCGCATTGACAATGACTAGGAGGCTATTTTTGATATCCCCAACGAGGATAGTTGAACTTCTCGAAACTTCTATGGGCAAACAGGGTCTTGACACTACGGTGATGGCCAGCCGGTTCGAGTGATTTCGCCATAATCAAGCCAGCACCGGCTTAATAAATAAGCTTCAGATTTGGGCTATTTCAAACACTCCAGGATTGTCTGTTCAACGCCGAAGCGATGAGTCCTCATTTTTCATATACGACATGCTGCTCATTGAATGAACTGATGAGGATAGTCACCGATATCTCCAATGTTGCCGCAATGGGAACATCCACCACGTGGAAATAAGGCCGAAGTCTATCGGGCACGCCAGCATACATTGGACTCAGGTACTGAGGGCCGCCACCAGGAAACCAAGGATCGATCCTGCGTTAGGGGGAGCTGGTGGAATTGAGTGTGTGGTGGCTGACAATTTACAACATCACGACAACAACCAAGTGAATACACACAACACCGAAACAAGCATACGGACTAGGAGAAGATGAATACAGTTTCATTAGTCTTACTCCCACAAGCCATAGGCTCCCTGTTCAAAAATCAGCATAAGTGGGGATCAAACATCCAGCCATGCCGAAATGCCGGCCGCCGGCTTACACGGCCTTCCTGATACATCGGTACGGATTGTGTTCATTACATTGACGGAGCAAATACCCTCCGCGCTACAACGGATGAGGCTTACGCGGGAACGGGCCGGTCTGACGCAACATGCGGGTTTTCTCTGCCAGCCTTGGAAGTGTTTCCGAGTGGTATAAACACGCCGACGGGAAACTAGTCAGGTTGGGATAAGAACTAACCGGGCACAACCTGGGGCTGGAACCAGTCGGAGATATGCTTACTCCTATGAAACGCGGCGACAAATAAGAAAGCAGCAGGAACAGGTTGTAAGCTGCGAGGCCAGATCACGGCTTACTCGCTCAGCCCTATGAACTCATCAATCAACGCTAACGGCATCGATGCCATTGCTGACATGAGGCCTTGATCATTCCACAATTACTCGACTAGGCAGGTAACGACTCTTGGTATCGAAACGCAACACATCTTCTAAAACGGAGTTGATTCTCGACCCGTCGGAAGCTTTCCTTGGGAGAATGATAATCTACAAGGGCACTCGTCGTGGACACCACACTCAGCTCCTTTCATGACGATCGTTGGCTAGGTTTGAGCATGTTTATATCAGACAACGCTCATCGGACTTTGAGTCTCGGTATCGCGCTCTCGCGCTTTCTTCCAAGTCCGAAGGTTGTTTGACGCATATCAGCTGATGTGGCGTGTATCCCGGTTGCCTTTGAAAACGCTTTATTGCCAAATGACATCTAGGCGGTGATAAGCCTTTTGCGCTTTTGCCCTATAGCATTACATGCCACTCAATCCTCACACATATTATTCCTTATCTTGGAAAATCTGACTGAAAAATCACACCCTGTGTGATGGGTTCTTTTGTTTTTCAAGTCAGATTAGTCAAGAATGGAAAGTATAATGAGTGACACGCGCTGTATTGAGAGAAGCATGAAGCCCAAAGTAACATTCGGCTACAATTTTGGTGGTCAGTCATGTGTGAAGCAACCAGTGGATATATACTTTTTACTTATGTTCTATACTTTCAGATTTTCAATGTAACCCAACGGCCCTTATTGGTCTTCTTTGCTTCTTATAGTCTAACCACCTGACAGTTTTGGGGGACTTATATTGATGTCAAACATAGTTCCCATTGTTGGCAGCAACCTTGCAACCAATACGGATCTAGTCTCCTGGAGAAAGAAGGCAACAAGCATGAATCGGCCCTAACTCAACATTATGTCCGCGAACTACTCGCGGATACAAACAGATATCCGCCCCGGATCTCAAGGTCAATCTTACAATACCAACAGTGAGCATCGAGCTATATGTTATCACTGAAAGATTACAACCCACCATCTCTTCAACGAACCGGTCGACTACCACCCACCATCTATGTCATAAGTCTCGAACTCGTCTCTGCATAGATAATGCAATGTTTGCTGTCAACAGTTGCTTCATGAACCCCATGTCTATCTCTCCAAACAATGTCACACAAGATTGCGCGCGACACGGCAAACTTGTTCTCGCCGATCCCGATTCTCTGTACAACTCGACCCAGAGCGCTCCCGTCTTTCGAACATTGTTGACCATCATATCAGTAATCCTAAGCGGGAAACAAGGAGACCAGACCTTCCAGGCTGACGAGATGTGCCCCCACGAGAATTTGAGTGGCAGGGAGACTGACGTGCATATCATTGACGGGATGCTACGTTGTGATGTCACGGCACAACTGCAAGAGTTGGCAGGGAGATGCTAACTGATGCATGTTTCTCTGGTGATATGGATGTTGTGGAGTGTGTTCATGTAGTATCGCCAAGGAAGTTGTTGATAGGTCGACGATAATCGGACATATAAGATCCTCCGATTTCAAATGTTAGCACCTTTAGTTGTTTTAATAAATGAAATAAACATATGGGTCCAGTCAACTGCTACAAACTACTAATTTACAGAATAAACCACAGAGCTAAGTGGTATGCGAACTTTGCTGCAAATATCTCTACCGTGACAGCGGAAACCACCCACAGTCCTGATAGTTCAAAAGCACAACAGAATGCAACGCGATGATCTTGCTGCAACCTGTGTATCTTTTCGTATGTCTGGAAGACTCATCTTGGCAATGATCATAACTCTTCTCCCCGGTCTCCCAAAACTGTCAAAGCCCCGTCCGGAGAGGTAACAATGAGGCGTTGTTTAAGCTACACACTGAGACATACAGACGGCATTATATCGGCATATGTTGCAGCTCCGATATGATACGGATATCGTATATCGAGTTGTATTTCAACTGAAACATCAGTATCCCGGCAGTCTATTGTTTCGTTTGTTTTTGTTAGTGTACACCCCTGAGTAGACAACTCCTGTATCCTCTACTCCTGAACTGAAGGCAAACAAAATTCTTTGGACAAGAGATTCTCCCTGTACGCCTTTATCGGAGATTATATGACACAGCATATCTCTCTCCTCCAGTTCAGGGTCCACCCAGCATAACGCCGTATAATCAAAAACCCTGTCTGTTCCCTCGCCACCACTTGCCTTCATAACGTCTCACAACTTAGCGGCGATCTCGAGAAACTAGCTCTACTCCTTCAATCTTCGGGTAGCTGATGGGGACTCTATTTACTACATGTCCAAGGTGCCGAGTTACACAATCTGCTTTGTGAGAGGACAACCCCATATTCTGGATGAATGACACTTTGATAAAATGATGTGTTTATCACTGCAGATGTTTCATATTTCAGATCGACGATCATATGCTTGTTCTCTGGTAACATGTCTCGGTAAAATCAATAGGGTAATTGATTATGCTGAGGAACAATGTTGATCACTTGGCTCTTGTAATGGTTATACGCAACCCAACACGGAGCCCAACACTTGTATATTGCTTGACAACCAAAAGTAACTATGAACGATCCGGTTCTTAAGGAAAGACTTTGAACTATTAGTAACACGATATCAATCAAGCTCCCGGTATGACTCCACAATGTGCTTGTCCCATATCAGCCACACCTGAGTCGTTCAGACCCCTCCATTATGATACCGGGCCTTCAAATACAAATTAAGCATGGTCCGATTACGTCCTCATCTCTAGTTACAGTTCAGAAAGATCATTCATGAATCATAAATGGAGTCTTTTCTATACCATTAGTAGTAGGCCTAATTAGATACTCTAAGTGGCGGAGGCAGTGGGTTCCTCGGTCGAAGTAGCAGAGTCGGTAGAATCAGCTGAAGGCGTAGGGGTGTCATCGACGGGGGCGCCATCGACCGCACTTGAAGTGGTAGCTGCTCCAGTAGCAGTTGCAGTAGGCTCAGTAGAAGGCTCTGCAGAAGTGACCGCAGCAGACGAGGGATCTGCTGCTGAAGTTGGGTCTTCAGCAACAGGGGTTGCTGTAGCACTTGTAGTGACTGTTGTTGCCGCGACAGTAGGAGCTCCTGTGGCGGCAGAAGTAGGATCAGAAGAGGCCAGTGCTGGGGAAGACGTAGGGTCTGAAGCAACAGGATCACTAGCAGCAGTCGTAGTATCCACGGGTGCTACTACTGTGGTTGTAGTAGTGGCAGCCCCAGAAGCGGCTCCAGTAGCTTCAGATGTAGGGTCAGAGGAAACGGCTGCGGGAGATGAAGTAGCAGCTGGAGAGGAGGTTGCTGGAGCGGCTAAGGAGGATGGAGCTGAACCATCGTCAGCAGATGAAGCTGGTGGTGAGGATTCAGCGGCAGAAGATGTGGACACTGAAGCAGCAGGTGTGCCAGCAGCACTCGTAGTGTCCGTTGTGGCTACTACTACGGTTGTAGTAGATGCGGCTCCGGAAGCACTGGCCGGGTCCGAAGAAACAGGGCTTGGTGAAGCGACGGGATCGGACGTAGGAGTCGCGCTGGCGCTTGAGGCCGGAGTATCAACAGTAGATGTCACGGTAGCAGTAACAACTACTGTAGAAGTTGAGTTAACAGTATCAGTCACTACAGAAGCCGCATCGACAGTCTGAGTCTCAGTGTTGGTCTCTGTAGATGTCACATCGGTGGGAGTTTCGGTAGCGGTTACAAAGACAGTCTGTGTTGTTGTCACAGTGGCGGTGCTCGTGTCGGTAGCGTTGACAGTTGCAGTAGTGAAAACAGTGTCAGTCTCGAAAGCTGTTGCTGTCGTGTTGACTGTGGCAGTACTGTTGACAGTTGAGGTCACCGTGTCAGTCTGGAAGGCTGTAGCTGTGGTGTTCACTGTTGCGGTAGTATTAACAGTTGCTGTAGTGAAAGCTGTGTCGGTTTCGAACGCAGTGGCAGTAGTGTTGACAGTTGAAGTAACAAACTCTGTAGATGTGGAGTTAATCGTTGCTGTTGCAAACACTACCGATGTCGTTCTGACTGTTTCGGTGGTATTAACTGTTGAAGTAGTGAAAGCTGTATCAGTTTCGAATGCAGTGGCAGTAGTGTTGACCGTAGCAGTGACGAAATCCGTGGCCGTGGTGTTTACAGTTGCAGTGGTATCAACAGTAGAAGTAACGAAAGCCGTGTTGGTCTCAACGGTTGTAGCCGTGGTATTGACAGTTGCAGTAGTGTTCACTGTAGCAGTGGTGAAAACTGTATCAGTCTCAAAGGCTGTCTCTGTAGCATTGACAGTAGAAGTCTGGGTCACGGTAGTTGAGTTTGTGACGAAGACAACAGTTGTAGCTGTAGTTGCGTCGGTCGACGTGGTGAAGTCGGTCTCTGTGGACGTGAATAGCACCGTAGAGTTGACTGTAGCAGTCTCGGTGCTAGTCTCGACATCAATCTCAGTGGTCGTGAACAGAGCTGTGTTGTTAACAGTTTCAGTCTCGGTGCTGGTCACCTCCTCTGTCTCTGTAATGGTAAACAGAGCAGTAGAGTTGACAGTTGCAGTTGTGGTGGCAGTGGCAGTGGCCAGATCAGTCTCTGTAGAAGTGAACATGACCGTTGAGTTGACAGTAGCAAACTCAGTCTCTGTGGCGTTGACAGTTGCAGTACTTGTCACGGCAACAAGACCCACCTCTGTAGAGGTCACAACGGCCGTTGTGTTAACGGTATTGGTCTCAAGCACAGTGTCCGTCATTGTAATAGTGCCCGTCGCTGCATCAGTGACATTCATCGTTGACAGAACAGTAGTAGTCACATCGAGGGTTGCGGTGCTTGCTAAGGCGTTCTGTAAGTAGATGCTCTGTATTTGCATGACTCTTCTGCTACTTACCCGGTGGGCAGGGGACTGCAAGGGCAGTCTCGGCTGCCAGAAGGCCGAAGCCCACCAGGATATTGAAACGCATTGGTTCGGAAGAGCTGTGCCGTGTAGTAGAGGTCCAAAGGAGACTGATAGAGAAGCAGGGATCTCTCAGGATTCATGAGACTTTATAGACACAATGTCACTTGATCCTGCGAATGAGACCGCCTTCTGCGATCATGTTGTGAGTTGAGAGCCATGGCGTCCACTTCCCCTCAATAATCGGACCATATAAAAAGTTATTGCCCTATCATTCTTAGCCTCGGATCTTTTCCCGCCAGTTCTTTGCCTTCAATGTGTGTTTGTTGTTGGAAAGATGCTTAAGCCCTTCGCATATTGAGTTGGTGGAGGTATTGAGATGGCGAGGGGGGATTTCTGGCTTGGCCGAGGATATATTTGATACGAGAAATAGGCTGATATGATGATCCTGTCAACAATGAAAGTGATTGCACCATATGTTGAGGCTGAACTTTGAGGGAAAATCCCTGCGGGGATGTTGAGCATTTGAGTCTCTTGAGGATATATCTGGTCGAGATTAGAGACTGCAATGATAATATTTCGATAGAACTATGCCGTGGCCTTACCTGGAATCATATTGAGTATCTTATGCCTGATTATCTGTACTCATAAGATGTGTATGTTCCTTGTGGTTGTCGAGTTGATGGTTGAGGGAAGGTTGAGGTTAATCGGATTAAAGTGGGACAGCTTCCGGCGTTTACAAACTGAGCCCCCGCTACGCCCCACCCCGCTCCGGGTTCCGGCTCCGACATTCACATCTACTGGTTAACCACTAACCATAAAGGTATCTCAACAGTCTGATACACGCATCACCGTTCCCTTCGTTGAGAAATTGAGTTTGCACTTGAGCCTCCTATTGGGCGCGCTCTCGTATGAAAGATATCTCGTTTGTTTAGTGAGTTATACTTTGACCTTGGCGCCCAACATTCAACTCTGAGAAAGCCAACAGCCGCGCGGTAAATTTCAATAAACTCAATGGCCACCTGCCCATCTGTTAAGGGAAAATCAAATTATGAAAATGCCAATCAAATGGCTACTAGTTTCTACAGAGTTCGCGGTCTCTATCTAGATATAAACGAAAACGTTGATGTAAAGACTATAGGGTGGGCATTAACCTATATCTGTCACGTTTTGAAGCAACATTGGCGGTGAGAATAGAATCTATCAGCGTCATCTGTTTAATATAGGAGGAGGATTCTCGATTGGGACAACAGTCGATAATGCTATCAACTTATCAAAGATACATAGTATTTCGTCATTCGGACTTGCGGATGCTGACTAAATTAGCCTGCCCCTCCCCCACGTTTTAGGACATTTAATGAAGCTGTCACCTCATCTTGGAGCTACACTCAACATGACATAGCATAACATATCACCGCCAAGAACTCAGAATCCTTCCATCAACGCCCGAAGCTTCCCTCCACTGGCTTTAAACTACGCCCGTAATTTATATTTATTATTCTATTATCAAGTTTCCTGGTGTTTGTGGATAACATACTGGCTGTCTATCGTATCCCCACCTCCATCTTATCCAACCTGAGCTCAGAGAGCCATAGTCTATGATGATGACGACTCACGATAGCTTCATCGATATTCTACCAAATGAAGTGAATTTCCCCCAGAAAACATGAGACATTTCAAGGAACTGACTTTTCTTTCAGACTCTCACCTCAATCTTGGCTCCGTTCTCAACTCGAGATTTACTCTCTTTCGCCCCGATTAACCGCCGCATCTGGTCTCTTGTCACTCGTCTCCTTCGCCAACGCCTGCTCAAAGCTGCGCCCCTCCCAGACAATAAGCTTATTTTGGAGTGTTACCACCCAAGCGACCAGCTTTACACACCTTATTTGGCATGTCGCTACCAGGGTATCGTGGCGCAAGACGGCCAGCCCATCAGTGAAGATACGCCCGAGTTGTCTGACCTGCGAGCTTTGTATGCCTCTTACAAGCCAGTCTTTGCACCCGAGAACCGAAGTATCAAGAGGAGCCGAAGACGTCCCACGGAGGCGCAGCCCTCTGATGACGTTGAAGACGATACCGCCACTCAAGACGTGAACCTTGATGATGGCGAAATGTTCTCTCAGCTTTGTGCTGTTACGAACCTTGTCAAGGAAGGTCCAAGGAGCGGACTATTCATAAGCCATGTCAACATTGTCGATGGGGTCATCCGCGTTTTCCGAAAGTGGCTCGCCAAGATGGCCAGCAGACAGGATAAGTCTCAGTCCGACTCTGAGAATATTATATGGATTGATACGCATAACAACGTTGGGATACGATTCAGCGTTGCGCCGGCAGCATCTGAACATATGCCACTTATCTCGGGTCCAGATGATGATCCACCAGTTCATTATAAGCTCGTGTATGAAGGTATGATTCCAGTTCATCATTGCTCGATATTTGCTGATTAGTGATAGAGTTGCTCGTAAGGGCGAGTAGTCTTCTTCTGGCTGTGGAGCAATCTGCGGTGCAGGAAATTGGAAACTCTGGAAAGACTCTCGTGATTCACGGTGCTGCCATGTAACCGAGTCGAACGCATTGAAACACTTATACATGACTGTTTCTCTTTGAGATTTTCAAGATATGCCTTCAGTTGAAAACATTCCATGTCAGTTGTCACTCATAGATGCCCAGTTATCGTCAAGTCTAGTATTCTAGTCTAGATTGCGATACACATCGCCACTCATCACAAGCCATAAATCTTATCAGCGTACATATAGGCCAGACATAAGAAAAGGATTCCTTCTAAAACCTCCCCCTCAAAGACTCGCCGATCTCTTTCCCGGCGCCTCTCCCATTCTTCGCAGCTCAACGTCACTACCGGAGTCTGTGTCGTCCAGGAAACTCTCGCCGCTTCTCCCAACATGCTCATCATGCTCTACCCGCGTCTCAATCATCTCTCTATCCAGCGCCTGAGGATGGCGCAGGTTTCTGTGCCACTCTCGAAGAGGTTTTCCACTCGTTACAAAGAAAATGACCGCGTTCCAGAGCCCTTGGAGGGGAAGGACGGCGGCTGTGGCGACGTGGTACTCGTAGGGAGACGTACCGACGAGCCAGCTGTGGATGCGGTTCAGACTGCTCGGGATCCAAGTCACCAGCACACTAAGGGCGAAAAGGAAGCTCGTGCGTAAGTAAGCCCGCTTGATGGGATCGTCGATGACGAATTTGTTGACGGTTCGGTTTGTCGCTGATGTCATGCGACGGAGAGGGGACATGCTAGTTCGCTCTCTGCTGTCAATACCAGGAGATATGGAGGTCGAGAAGTAGTGACTGTGAGATCCTTGGACAATATGTGGGTTCTCATCAAAGGAGACCTGAGGTGACGATGGACCAGGAGTGTAGGCGGGCTTAGGTTCACTAGGGAGATGGTTCGCTGAGGGTGTTGAGTGAACGACCTGGACTTCAGTGACGATAGTGCCGTAGAAGCAGTCTTGAGGGACTGACAGGAACTCGACTTGGCGTTGCTAACAAGTGTTAGCTGGATAGGTATTGTTTATATCAGACAGACTTACAGCTTGGGGCTGGGGTGGCTCAACAGGAGCTGGCTCTCGGCTCTTTGAGGTAGTCAAACTCTTGAGTTGGTTTCGAGTATGGAAGACATGGTAGCCAACCATGAAGTAGAAGATGATCGAGCCAGCGATACAAACCCAGACGAGCATATAGTAAGTGTATATACGGATTCCTTCCCAGTCTTGGTTAACCCAGCACCAGATCTGTCATCGAGTCAACAACAATGCCCCTTTGTTTTGATAACCCACGGCAGACTTACAGTGGCCTCACCAAACACAAGGCCGCGGTTCGGGTTTCTAACCAGAAGCAACGCCATGGCAATAGCAAAAGGGCCACCGTAACAAATGAGACAATATATCCACCACCATCTTCGGAATGAGTCGGGTTTGGCGCGGAAGAAGAAGACGAGGAAGACGTTGAATGCCATGGCCAGAGACCACCAGGGATCAGACTGCATGAACCTACATGAAGTCAGTGATAGTCCAAGGAGAATGAGATTATGAGAGGCAACTCACATATGGAACATGAAGCTCTGTGCCTGACAAAGAGGCGAGGCAACACCCAGTTCCAATCCATCCAAGGCGATGATACTCGCAACACTTGCACCAACATTCGCGACACTCGCAAACACGATGAAAGTGTTTTGAACATTTCGAACTTTTGGAACGAGCGCGTACGCGACGAAGATACAGAGGACAGCAACCAAGCTGATAGAGCCTCCTATGCGCTCAAACAGCACCAGCGTGGTCCTCTGGGTCGGTTCAAGAAGCTCCAAGCCTCTTCCCGCAACGAACTTGTGACTCATTTTTTATAGTGGTGCTTTCTAGTTTCCCGAGTCCCCGAGTAAGGGAGTGGGGGAGCGAGTGCAAGAAGCAAAAGAAATGATTGGTATGAAGCAAATGAAGGTGAAAATTGAGGACGAAGAGAAGAGAAGGGAGCAAGAGTGAGAAGAGGAGGAGTGAGGTGAGGGAGTGTCAAGTGATGCCCTTTTGCGTAACTCGTTGTTCAAATGTGGAAGACAAGAAGAGAAATTGGCGATAGCACAAGAGAGTGAGAGAGCGTGAGAGAGAGGGAAAAGAGAAGAGGGATAACAATGGTTTGAGTCGTCCAGAGAGGGCCAAGGTCGAAGCGTCGTGTTACATTAACGCGATGCAAGCACCCGTTTCTGCCGTTGCCGTTAGACGAGGGATCTTTTGCCTCTTTATGTTTTTGGACTGTGAGAGGATGATTTTGATTTTTCGACAAGCGAAGACCATTTGTGGTCTCGGCGGAAATAGAAGGGGGGGAGATATACAGACTGCAATAGCCAGCCTGCTTGATAGAATGTGTTAGTTTGACCAAACATGTCATATACACAATCTCTTGGCTCTGCAACTTGCCTTTCCTCTTCCGCCAATCCTTTCGAGTTGTCGCCCTCCAGGAGAAGGAATATCAGAGAGTGAGTGAATGTGTGTCTCTTCTGAATTCCCACCGACGGTTGAATTATAATGTTGGCTGAGGTTGGCTTTGCAGTGTCACTGACACTGACACTGACACTGACACTGACACTGATGGCCAAAGCACCCTCTCTCTCTCTAGACGACACAACACAACTCGAGATATCCTATCTCTTAAGAATCAAAATGTCACCAACTGTCAATCCCTGCCACGCTCACATCGGCCAACCCCAACTTTATACTATCCACCAACACCCATTCCCCCAGATTCTCATCCCCAGATTTGTCCCATCTCCCGTTGATAGTCTCAGGTTTCAACCAAAACGGTCAGTCCACACCAAAAACGGTGGCTCTATAGGCTACTACTCGACTGTTTCTATGCACTGTTGGTCCTCTCTACGATCCAAACACACAAACAAAGGCGCCCCTCGAACGAGTCTCGACGTTGCATCTTCCACCCCGCGATCTGAGGCTTGGCCTTGGCATCGCCTGTGCGTTTCGCTAGTCTCGATCTCTAAATAGATGAGATGGCATGGTCCCAACTTTCAGCCTCCCCGGACTCGGGGAGACCTAGCTTCTCCTGACTCAACTAAACTCTATACAAATCGAGATGACGAGCAGCCTAGCAGAGCTGATGTCTTTTTTTTTTAACCTAGCTTTAGTACGTTTCAATTGCGGTGAGAGGGGTAAAAGAGAAACATGGGCTTCATTTTAAAGGCCAGAGCTGTAAGCTCCCGTGGGCTGAATCAGAGTGTGACATCACCAGCACCTTTCTCGGCGCAGACTCGAGCTCGATTAGCCTGTACCCTGCTGATGAGGCTTGGATATCTATCGTTTGGAGCAGGCTGATTATGAAACGTGGCGGGTGGCTGCTGCGACAAACAATAGCCTTGATCCAATTACTCTGCTCTCCTTGGCACATCTATTGTATGTCTAGGCAATGTCTATGTCTGCATGGCATAGGCCATTCTATTTCAGGTACAGGACCAACACGGTATAGGTCAGCAGATCCAACTGCATATTTGCCCTGTTTATTTGCTTCTCTGCTCTGGCTGGCTGAATCTCAAATCAGGCTCTGGAATGCTATGCTCACCTACTTTTCTAGAACATCAAAAGCCCATTCAATTGGCTGTCTCAAAGACAAACCCACAGCACAGTTTCTCACCTGTAGCTCTCGCATGAGAGAATTATGCACACAGCCGTCACAAAATGCAGAGTAAAGAGACAAGTCGGGTAGTGCATCGATTGAGCTCAGAGCCACTTTACACTCTAACTAACAAAAGAACTCAAAACTATACACCCTGTATAATGCCATCCACCGCTAACAATCCTCCTATTTCTGACGTATCGTAAACATTATTACAGTGTGTAAAGGAAATCGGGTCGCTTATCTCCCATCTCATGGATCTCCGCCTCAGACTTGCCCTCCACTAGGTGATCCCGCTCACCAGCCAACCGCGCCTTGTTCTCACGCGAGAGCAAAACATACATTAGGAGACTTCCACAAAAAATACCACCAAACATGTAGGCAAGGACGGTTCCATGTCCTGGGTAGAATCGTGGACCGTTGATGAAGACGTTGCTGCTCACAACACCGTTGAGGTTGCCCCATCCTATGACAAACCCAAGAGTGATGCCTCGCTTGTAAACACCCTCAACATTGTTGGCGACCCAACTGATCGTGATTGGAATGACAGGGTAAATACCCAGGGCACCCAGGAAGCAACCAGTGTACTGAACAGCAGGGTTGGTAGAAGCGATAAGCATGATGAAGCCTGCCATACCAACAGGGGCAGCGCACAGGTTGAAGATGCCTCGCTTGTTGAGTCTGTCAGAGTACATACCAACGCAAATAGTAACAACTGCGGCCAAAGCGTAGGGTGGTACGCTGAGAAGCTGGTTCTTGACGACGGCCTTTTTGTCGGTGAAGGCCATGTTCTGGATGATGGTAGGCAGGAAAACGCTGAAAGAGTACAGGGGCATCAGGGGCCCCATGTAGATGAGCATACCGCAGTAGGTCTTCCAGTCGGTGATGGACTGCCAGAAGTACTTCATCTTGAATTGTTCCTCCTGGGCAGAAGATTGCTTATCGGCAGTGAGTCGATAGATGACACGAGCTCGTTCCTCCTCAGTGATAAACTTGGCATCGGTGGGAAAATCGTGGACCATCCAGAACGAGATGATACCAACAACGATGGTCATGAGACCTTCGAGGATGAAAATCCATGCCCAACCAGCAATACCGGAGACACCATCCATCTTCTGGATAGCAGCAGCCAGGAGACCACCAAAAGAACCGGCAAGAGCTGCAGCTGAGAAGAACCACGCGGCACGAGCACCGAATTCGGATCGCTTATACCAGCAGGATAGGTAGTAGTTAATTCCGGGGAAGAGACCGGCTTCTGTGACACCAAGGAACCATCGAGCAGCCATGAGGCCGTCCCAGGTCTTGACGAAGCCCATTCCCAGCATTGAAGCACCCCAGAGGACCCTGAATACGAATTAGTTTTGTGCTAGTGGTTTACTGGGGATTTAAACTCACATGATGGCAGGAATGAAGATGGATGGCTTGGACCACTTGAGCAGGACATTGGCAAGAGGCTCAAAGACAGCGTATGAGATGTAGAAAATGGTCAAAGTCAAGTTGAAATGGTGAGTGTCCATATGCACATCATCCAGTAAACCAGCGATCTTTGCATTACCGATATTGGTTCGGTCGAGGAAGCAGATGAGGTAAAGGAGGCAGAGCTGACTGTGGTCAGTAGGTTACATGTTATATAGTGCAGAGTTGTCATACCCAAGGAACGAGTTTCATATCGATCTTTCGAAGTAACTTCTTCTCCTGAAACCTTGTTAGTGCAGGTCATCAAACATTTGTTTCAATGCAACTTACAGCTTCCCTCGCCTCTTCCTCAGTAAGTCCAGCATAAGGGTTAGTAACACCAGCAAGATCAACTTCCGAGGTGGAAGCCTTTTCCTCCAAAGTTTCCTTTCGATCGTAGTCGCTCATGGTGAGGAATCTCAAACAATCCAAGAACTTTATAGACAAGGGTTGTAGGTAATCTATCGTAAGATCACACGAGAAGGTAAAGGGTAGAAGTAGGGTCGGCTTCTAAAAAAAAACGTGGTGGGAAGGAACTGATGGAGGACGAAGGATGCAGAGAAGCAACCAGCCGAGACAGAAGGGGAGGAAGGAACCTAAGAATGGAGGCTCAAAAGAGGAGGAGGGTGGTATCTGAGCAACTGAATCTCGTCAATATGAGAGACAGAGAGAAGGAGCTGTAGGGCCAAGTCAAGTATGGAAGGCAATGAACCCCAGACGCGGGAGTGACAGTGCAAGTGCAACAAGGGGGAAGGAAGGAAACCCTCTTATTTGCGTAGTATCAACGAGGCGAGAAACGGGAGAAGGAAACAAGCAAAGAAGAAGCAAGTTTCCAATTCTGACTTTGTTTCTGTTCTTGATGATAGTTGTAAATGGTGGCCTTGTCTTGGACTGTTCTGGCAAGATATCTCGTTCGAAAAACCTGGGGAAAGTGGCCCTTTTAATAGTCAATTATTTCAATCTCCCCCAGGCTTGAGTCTATCCTAGGAAAGCCTCACTTCTCAACGTATTAGATCCCTAACTCGGCGTGTGGAGAAGTTGGGCGCCCACGTTTCTCATCTTGAGCCAACGATGTAGGGATGATGGTCTTGTTCTTGATAGTGCGGAGAGAAAGGAATTGGAGTAGTATGCAACCATAACAACAACCCTTGAAATCCCTTGTCTCCTCCGTTTGTCCGTCCGTTTACTGCAGCCGACTAAACTAACCGACGAACCACATGTCAGAATCCTCCTCGATGTGTCTCTCCTCCACATTTACAGGGTATGAAAATCTCTTATGTCTCAGAAGGGGAGGGGGTGTAGAGAAATACTCGCCGCATGAGAATCTTGCTCTTCTTTTCTCTCTTGCGGGGGCTTGGGGTACCGTTGCAGGGAATACAATCCTTGCACGCATCAACTTACATTGTCCTTGACTTGATATGACTTGACTTGAGTTAGTTGGAAATCATTATGGAGCCCGGCAGATGGGCCATGTAACGCTAAACGTGACGCTCTTTTTGTCTTTTTCTTTCCTTGTGTTTCCGAGCGACGGCCACGCGAGATGGCGCTCTGAGCGTGTTGGGCCATGTAACCCATGTACGAGGTGTGAGCCGTGATGAAGGGAAAGGTGAGAGAAGGATAGAGTGAGTCGGGTCAGACTAGCGAATGGTCATTAATTGGTTTACAGGGTAGTAGACTAGATCATCAGGGTTGTGGTGTAGTTTCGTTAGTGTGAAAATCACTTAACGAATCTCCAATGCCAAGTTGAAGTTTATTTTCTCCAACTTTCTTAGAGATCAGCGCCGTGTCTTCCGAGGACTAACGACGTAGTAGATAGAATTGATCGGTGTACATGTACCATTATTTCGAAGCCTGCTGAAATCGAATCGTGCATGGCATCTCATCTCATGTAATGTAATGTCATGTCATGTAATGTCATGTTACTGTGTCTCCAGATGAAAGACCTTGTGTTCAGAGATGACGGGGGACGGGCCATGTCATGTCATCCCATTCTTGACACAGACGCAAACATGTCCCTAAAGAGATTCAGATTCACAGATTCTAATTCTGGGGTTCACTGTTGGACGACTGTTTGTTCACATCTATCCCTACATTGCCTATCTTGCATCGGATCCGCTGTTTGCCTAGGCATTAGGTCCAACTATCGGAAGCGCGTCTTTCAAAACTAACCTAGTATCCCCTCATCAGTCCCAGTTTTTCTCTCTCACATTCGCTGCTTTTAACACAGCCAAGACTTTGTATCTCCATTCTCAACGGCACTTTAGTTTCCCCTCTTCTCACTCCTTGAGCCAAGATCTTCAGCCAGGAACAAGGAAGAGATCATGGCTTCATTCTAGCCCTGTATTCTCATACTAACAACTAACTAGTAAATCGTATCAAACACCTTTCGAGTAAGCCCCAACGAATCAGACACTCTCAATATGTTTCGTGATACAAACCAATCTTCAAAAAGCTATTCGTCCCCTCCTTTAGGTCTCCCCTCCCACGTATAGCACGGTCCAGTCCCGGTGTTTGCTCCGCACGCTACGGTCTTCCCGCCGGTCCCCGCCACGTTTTTGGGAGTGACATCGCCTGGAACATCAGCCCGCTAAACACATTTTGGAGATGGTTTAGCGCTAGGGAGCCTGCATATGACGCTTCGTTTCTGGAACGTGCCCTAGAAGCGAGGAAGAGAGTCTGTCCAGTCATACCCTTCTGATTCTTCAGCCACCCCGTTGATGCCGTTATTACAGCATATGAGAGTAGGTCAAGATGGTGAATAGGGATTTCAGCTCGGATACGTACATGTTGAAATAAAGATGTGCAAGGTGCAGTATAATAGTTGACTGAATATACATCTGTGGCTGCTTGGTGATGAGACAAGCAGAAGGCTATCTCTCACCGGTGAAGCAGTTCAAATATCTATCATATTTCCACTTATTCTAGGCAGCAATGATATACAATGCATTATCAAGTATCAAGTATCAAATAATAATCAATTGTATTTTGATATGATAACAGCATCTCATCGTCTGCAATGCCCTCATGTTACCCCATCTTCCCCGCAATCTTTGACTTAGACTACCCGTTCCCCCACTCAAGCCATCCATAACTTCAACCAGCTTCAGCTTCTCCGCAGATTCCATCAAACTCAAACTCAAACTCTCAAGATAAAATACAAACCGTGTCATTCTCGTCTGTTCTCCCCCGTCTCGTCTTTCAAATCCTCACCTCCTATTGGCTCTTCAATCTCTTCCCCTCAGGGATCTTTGGAGTGGCCTGATGGAAGGGAACCGGCGGCGCGGAGGGGAAAGCCCGTTCAACGCCGTAGCGCCCGGCTTAGTACCCGGTAGTTGAGCATTCTGGATGCCTTCTCCAGCGTAAAGTGAAGTGATTAAGCCATCGCGGCGGCCGCGGGAGCCAGCCACACGGAGATCAAGCGCCGTTTTCCTCACCTCCACACGGCTCCGGATCTCCCCGTTGATGATATTCCCCCAGAATCGCTTCATGTAGACCAGGTATTCCCCAGGGTCTGTGTATCTCAGTATGATTTCGGGACGGAGATGCCTCCGCAATGTGAATCTCACTTCCCCACGATTCTTGATGATGTGTTCCTTGTTGTTCGAGATCCTGGGGATGATACCACAACATTGTGAACTAGGCCGTTCAAGGCCACTGTAAGCACTTGGCTCAGAATACTATGAGTTGATATCGCGGATTAGTAAATCTAGGCGACACCATCCAACTTACAAGGTCCTTGATCAAAGGTGAGCAAGTTGTCCGAAACTCCGAGTGCCTTATCCTAGAAAACAGCCCATTATTTCGACACACTATCGACTGAATGTAACCACAATCCTTCCAAGTCAGATTTTTCTTACCGACTCCTTGGAATTGGATCTCTCGACATCAGTCCTTGGCAAGCGTTTGTTCTTGTTCTGTATTTTCAGCCAGCAACTTCGAGTCTGTGCTCCTTAATCTTGAATATCTCTCCTTTCAGTCCATGTTTACAGTTAATATGATCCTTTATTAGGCCACTCCCTGTGCTTCCAATCAGCTCTTTCAAATCGATTTCAACAAGTTAAGCTTAAATAAGCGCTTCTATCGCTCAGAAATCCTGACCGAAAGGGAGCCTGCAGGCCACGGTGAACTCCAAGGTTATTTCCCGGTAACGGGTGATTGCATTCGATAGACGCAGCTGAGTTCTCATTTTGCATTCTTACGAGGATCGTTTTTCTAATTTCAAATTATCAGTCCTCGACTTGGCGAAAACGCTGAGTTACACAACGCTATAACTGTACAACACCACTACCCATGCAGCCAACCTTGCATCTACAGCCCGTCCAGTAACAACATTAGAGTGTGGTCATTGCATGGCCAATCTCCAGGCACAACACCAAGGTACCAAGATCTACGGCGCGGGTGGCCGCAAGATACGAGATTCTGTTCTCCTATATCACTGCATCCCCTGGAAACCAAGAACTTGGTACTATTCTCGTGCAACACTTCCACGTCGGTCACCGATAAACATTCCGAGCTGCAGTCCTTTCACGACCTTATTTCTTTTATCTGACCAATCGCTGATGCTTTATTCTCTTCTGCTTCGCTGACTTTGGTATGATAAAACATTGTCTACGCGGCTTTTTTTCGCGGCTTTCTTCGAGGCTATCTACGCGGTTGAAGAAAGTCCAAGCTCCTTATAGAAAGCTTCCGAACTAGGTTCTCGGCCCAAGAACTCCCTCAAGAATTCCAACTCTGGGATACTTCCACCTCTCTCAAGAACGGTATGGCGATATCGGCGACCCTCCTTACCGTCCATTGGGTTCTTGGCGAAGAATGAGTGGAACATGTCGAGCGAGAACACCTCTGAGTAGAGGTAGCCGTAGTAACCGGCATCGTAGCCGCCGATGAAGTGGCCAATACCGGCGTGCCTATTGCCCCATTCACTACATGCAAGTTAGTTTAACAGTCAAATGTTATCTCCAGTAGGTACTTACAGTCCCTCGCCCAGGTCCTCAGGGCCCTTGGTGCCGGAGATCTCATGCCTAAGGGTGTTCCAAACTCGGCCAGCGTTGAGCTTCTTGACAGCCTCATGGGACTCGGGTGTGTGCACAGTCATGTCAAAGAGTCCAATAACGAGTTGTCCTAGTGCACCTATAGCGGAGTTGAGACGCTTGGTAGAGACAAGCTTCTCAATAAGCTCGTCGGGAATTTGCTCTTGAGTCTCCCAATGCTTGGAAAGCGATTTAAGCACGCTAGGTGTCCAGCACCAGTTCTCCAGCATTTGAGAGGGAGCTTCAACGAAATCGAGCACTGTGGAAGTTCCATGGAAGTAGCTGTAGCGGGTGCGGCCAGCCAAGTCGTGAATGCCATGGCCCAGCTCGTGGAACAGGGTCACAACCTCATGATGCTTAAGCAGAGAAGGTTTCTTTGGTGTAGGCTTGCTAAAGTTGCAGACAAGAGCAGTGACGGGGTAATGCTTCTTGCCATCCTCAGTGACATAACCAGGCTCGAGGTTGAAGTTGGCGTTGTGGCCATACTTGTTGTCACGGGGGTGAAGGTCCAGGTATAGGTAACCGTTGAAGCTTGAGCCCGAGGCCTCATCGTCCCACACGCTGTAGATCAGAACATCCTCATGCCACACAATGTCTTCGGCCTTGCCAGTGGGGCTGAGCCTCGCTCGCTCTTCAGGCTTGAGCTCGACAAACACGAAGCCGAAAATCTCCTCGAAAATCTTAAGCATGCCGGCAAATGTCGACTCAACAGGGAAGTACTGTGAGATGGCGGCTTCATCAACACTATACTCCTTCTCCTTCTGTATTCTGGAGTAGAACGATGTGTCCCACATGTAGAAGCTGTCGTCAAATGAAAGGCCGCGCTCCTCGTAGTCCTTCTTCTTGTACTCCTTCAGTGCGTTGATCTCCTTCGCACCACCTTCGGCCAATCTGTTTCGAAGATCGTCTAGGAAAGTGCGAACAGCAGCAGGAGTCTTGGCCATCTTTTCTTCAATGCGCAGAGCGGCATGGTTGTCGTAACCGAGAAGGCGAGCGGCCTCATCTCGGAGGGTGATGATCTCTTGGAAGATAGGAACATTGACATTCGCCTGAAGGTTCAATTAGCCGAGATTTTGAAGTTTCGTTACTCGTCTCACCTTGTTGGATTCCGCGATGGTGTACTTGCGGCGAGTATCGGCATCGATAGCATACTTTATGAGAGGGAAGTAATGGTTGTACTTAAAGGACAGCTTGACTTTGCCCTCATTTTCGCCAGTACCCTTCTCCAGGGAATCAATGTCAATGTCGTCAGAAGGAACTCCCTTGAGTTCCTCGGGAGTGAACCAGATGGCACCCTTCTCCTCGTTAAGGTTTTTCTGGGCCTTTATCTCAAGCTCGCTCAGACGCTTCTGGATCTCCTTGAAGCGGTCTCGCTTGGGACCGGCGGGCAGCCGAAGACCGTTTCGAATGTACTTCTGTCGCTCCTTCTCAAGGACGTGCGCCTGCTCCTTGGTGAGATCCTGAGATGCTCGGTTGGCGTAGGCAGCATCGACAGCGTTGAAGACATCCTCCCGCATGTTGCATTCAATGCCGAAGTCATTGAAGGCGCTCTCAGCCTCAGTGGAGGCATCGCGAAGCTCCTTGTTGGTGGAAACATGGTGGTAGAAGGTCAAGATGCGTCTCTGCGTAGCAGCCAAGTTCTCGTCAATGAGGATGGGCTCAAGCACATTGGCAAAAGACGCCTTGTCGGCAGTAACATTCGCAGTTACAGAGTCCAACACATTCTTGGTAGCATCGCAAAGCTTCTTGGTATCGGCAGCGATCGATTCGGGGGTGGCGGTGAACAGAGGCGGTGCCTGAGGAGGGTTACGATACTTGTCGGGAGCCATTGTGCTAGTAACAAGCTGTCTTCGTGATAGAATAGTTCGTGGGGCTTGGAATCTGAAGTGATTCACTAAAGAGCCGAGACGAGAGAAGGCTCGTGAGGAAGCCAGAGTGACGGCGACGAGAAGAATGAAGAGAGAGAGTAGGAGGAGGAGGAGGGGTCTGCGGGAAGCACGCTTATCCAGCTTGGATACAAATATGATGGACGGGCTCGGGATGTTTCTTGGGATGTTAGCCGATTGGCTTGACCATGGATGATTGAGGCAACCTACAGTTGAAAGAGGGGCTTATGCTCTGAGACTAAATCGATTGATCCGTCTCTAGGCGTCAAAGGCGTTGAGAGGGCGTTACTGTAGATGCAGCAAGATGGGGCGATACCTTAAGTGAAGGTGCAGCTAAGGTAAAGCTCCTATGGACCCGCTTCTGGGTGGAAAACGCGGGGCAATCGGATGCGGTGTCATGATCAGGGCGGCTAATGAGTTATCATGTGCTATAATTATGGCATAATTTAGGCTTGAGGCCATAACCGAGTTTAATTGATTTATGTGAAACTGTTTATGTAAACAGAGGCGAAAGCCATGATAACTTCACCAAATGAGACACCGTCAAAGTCAAGGCACATAGAGCTTCATTTCTAGACTCCTGTCCCCTAAGTATCTACAAAAATCCAACATGCTAGTGCGTCGCAAATGCGCAGCAATAATTCATCATTTCAGCGTTCCCATAGCCGATTTCCATCCATATCCATAATCAATCAATCAAGCAAACGCCGGTCCGTCAACGCAGATGCATAACCTAACCCGCCCATATCTGTACCTTGTCTAGTTGGCGAGAATGGTTCGCACGAGGTCTGTAATTGTATCGCATTAGCTGCTGCCCCATTGGGTATCGGGTATTGTAGAACCTACCAGTGTAGTTGACCTGGCCTGAGCTGGTGTCAACGGCCTTGAGGAGCTCATCGACCTCCTCATCAGTCATCTTCTCGCCCAGGTTTGTCAGAATGTACTTGAGCTGGCCGACGCCGATGAAACCCGTCATATCCTTATCAAACACTTGGAAACCGCGGCAGTATTCCTCAGGCTCGCCGGGATCGCGGAAGCCGCCGGGGCGGTTCAAAACACGCTGGAATGTCTCGAAGTCGACTGTGTCGCCAAGGTCAGCTATGCGCTTTTAAATCGCATCACGGGAAGTGTACTCACATTCACCACCGACATTCTTCTCGAGGTCCTGGATCTCAGCGAGGGTAGGGTTCTGACCGCAGGCGCGCAGCAGATCACCGAGGCTGTCAACAGTGACACGGCCGTTTCCGCGCTTGTCGAACAGGGCGAAAGCCTCCTTGTAGTTGGTAGAAGCCTGAGAATCGAACTTGTTAGAAGACATGATTGCTTATGGATTGATTTCGAGGCTCGAGTGTATGTGGAAAATGCGTTCTGAAGAATGCGATTGAAAGTGTTGCTACTCGGTAGTTGTAGAAGTATGCGAGATGCAGGTAGAAAAACCAAGGCTTGTGCCGGGCGAGCTGAAGCAAAACCAACTTCCAACTTGTTCGTGCGGCCAAACTGTCGAATCAGAGGGCGGGGTGCATTGTTTACGTGGGCGAAGAAAGGGGTGTCCGGGGCAACTGAGCTCACTCACCATTTTTGGTTTGTTTTATTAGAGGGGTCAACGTTGACGTTAGTGGGTGTGGGTGTGGGTGGCTGGTTGAGTTGGTGACACAACAAACAGTTGCTATAACGGTCGAAAGATGTCTTTGAGATGGTTCTCGAGTGCAGGAAA